GATGCGGCGCCAAGGGACCGGCCTGACTTGCACGAAATGGGGGCACGCAACGCTAGCTCAGGGACGATCAGCAGAAAAGAATAGGGATGGACTATGTGGCGCTCACTCGGCTCTCGCTTTTTGGTGCGGGAAGCGATGCGTTGGTCCAATGTGGCCGCAGACTAGCGACCGAAATGGTGTCGTTTCACGGACGTCCGAGAAGCGCACGTCCATGTCCGGCGGTCTCTCCACGGGCCTCCGGTGCGACGAACAGGCTCAGGCACACGCTTCTGTCTCCTGAACCATGGTCGGTCGGTCGGGCGATCTCGACGTTGTGATGGAGACGCGGGAAACAAACCGACGCCAACACGCACACGATCAAACATGTCAACATGTCGTATTTAATACCCAGGTTTCCGTCTCCCAATCCGGTTCTCGAAACAGCTCAGCAGAACTCAATCACCACTCTCACTCAACAACTAATCGACTTCTCCTCGGTCTATCTCGACGATACCTTTTCTTCAATAACAACACCATTTCCCCGACTTAATCCAACCCCTCCAAATCAGTCAAAATGCCTGGCCTTACCTCCGAGTCTAAGGGTTCCAAGTACGACCGCATTCCCGGCCCTCTGGGTCTGGCGTCTGCGTCCCTTGAGGGCAAGGTCGCTCTCGTCACCGGTGCCGGTAAGTCCATCTGATATTTCCTGTTTGCCCTGGACGGTGCACAACTCGATTGCCGGCAGACTTTAGTCATGGCTTTCGTGATGCATCTCGGGGTCTAGTTCGTCCGATCTCGTGAGAAGGTTCATGCAACTAACACTGGCTGCCATAGGCCGTGGCATTGGTCGCGAGATGGCTATGGAGCTTGGCCGTCGTGGTGCCAAGGTCATCGTCAACTACGCCAACAGCGCCGAGACCGCCGAGGAGGTCGTCCAGGCCATCAAGAAGTCCGGCTCCGACGCCGCTTCCATCAAGGCCAACGTCTCCGACGTTGACCAGATCGTCAAGATGTTCGCCGAGGCCAAGAAGATCTTCGGCAAGCTCGACGTCGTCTGCTCCAACTCCGGTGTCGTTTCCTTCGGCCACGTCAAGGACGTCACCCCCGAGGAGTTCGACCGCGTCTTCAGCATCAACACCCGTGGCCAGTTCTTCGTCGCCCGCGAGGCCTACAAGAACCTCGAGGTCGGTGGCCGCCTCATCCTGATGGGCTCCATCACCGGCCAGGCCAAGGGTGTCCCCAAGCACGCCGTCTACTCCGGATCCAAGGGTACCATCGAGACCTTCGTCCGCTGCATGGCCATCGACTTCGGTGACAAGAAGATCACTGTCAACGCTGTTGCCCCCGGTGGTATCAAGACTGACATGTACCGGTAAGCATTCCCGACAACCCATAACACACTTTCCAGCTCTAACATTATCCCAGTGACGTCTGCCGCGAGTACATCCCCAACGGCACCGAGCTCGACGACGAGGGTGTCGATGAGTACGCCGCTGGCTGGTCCCCCATGCACCGTGTCGGTCTCCCCATCGACATTGCCCGTGTCGTCTGCTTCCTGGCTTCCCAGGACGGTGAGTGGATCAACGGCAAGGTCCTCGGCATCGACGGTGCCGCCTGCATGTAAATTGCTATCTAATATAATCGGAGTTACGGATTACTGGGGCGGGTATTAGTAGATTGGATCACCTGTACGTCTTAGACTAAAGATACGGGACTTATAATCAATAAAGGCGCATGCCTCATTAGAAATTAGCATCATTCTCCCCAATAATTGTGATATCATACTTGTTGGATCACTGGATACCAGCTCTATAATATTATCACCCTCAACAGCCTCGTACTAAAGTACTTCCCTGGTGCCGACCTTATTACTATTGCTAATGCATATGTCGGTTTTCATGGTCGTGTTCAGTTGGTCATATTTGCCCGCACCCGACATCAAACACTTTTTTTCCTAGGAGAAACTCACCCGGTGGTGTATCATTTTGATTTTGCATTATCAACTGTGCTCAAACACAACGGAAGTTTGTGCCCTATGTTCAGTGTTTACACGAGAATAAAACCACTGCCATTCCCAACCTCCACAAGGTTTGGCCTCGGCAACTTTTGCCCAGTCTCTATAGCTTCTTCCTCGAGACCATCATCCAACGTCAACCGGCCGTGATTAAGCACCCAACTCAGAAGCCCGGAATACTGGATCTTATCATCATGAGTTCCCAACCAGTACTTTGGCTCGCTCCGCCGTACAATCTTCAGCCCGTTTGTGACCCCGAGCGTTGTGCCTTTCTCCATAAGACCAGTCTTATGAAGCGGGTGTACCATCGCTAATACACTCGACTCCGGATTTGCTTTTTGTGCGGCTTCGACAACATCTGGGTCGACCCCATGCGGAGAATACAGAATCACCTCGCTCTTTCCGTCGGCGCCAGCGAAGCTGAATACCATGCAATGGTATAAAAGCGGATACACACCGCACTCATCTGGGATGCGAAAAACGCATAGCCAGCTTGGTATTTCGGGGATGCTGGGCCACGTCGTGTCTGTATTGCGCACAAAATCTGGTATGATGACGACGTTGTCGAAGTGCTTCCACGCCGAGATAATCGCTGCCGGCTCCTTGACAGCAAAGACCCTGGTGCTAGCATCGAAGGTTCGCAGCGTCTCCTCGTGCAGGTGATCGGTGTTTATGTGAGTGACGAGGACCGCGTCCAGCCACGGCTCGCCCTCGTCTTTCGTGCCGCCCGCCGAGGTCTCAATCTCCTCGATCCAGCTTTCAATCCCGGCCAAGCTGTCGAAGGCTTCCTTTGTTGGGTGGCGCATGCGGAAGATCCACGCATAGAGGGTCAAGGCATCGCCGACGAGCCAAGGGTCCTGCAAGATGTGGTAGAATGCTTTGCCTTTTGCGCCGGCTGGTCGAGGAATCGATATGAGCCAGGTGTTGTCGCCGTTGGCCATCGTCATGATCGGCCTGTGCCGCGAGGACTCGGCCGAAGCCAGCTTTTCGATAATGTCTTTGCGCTCCATGGTGTTTGTACAGAGAGGTGTGAGCTTTCGCGGTTCTCGGCCAGTTGAGAATATGGCGGTTCGTGAACACGCGGTCGAGGGCGGGGAAGGTTTAACTTTAACATTGTCGAGTGTTTATTGTGGCGCAACAATAAGCTAACGTAGCACCTGCTGCGCCACTACTGATGATCCTTGCCTTGAGAGCTCGGGGTTTATTAGAGCTCACGTATGATTTTAGCGCAGACCGTTCGAAATATGTTGCACAAGTATGATTACCACTATTGCGATGAAGCTAATTTGCTGGGTCGGATTCGAATGCAGCCTTGGCGGGGTCGTTTTCACGCTCGAAATTGGTCAACTTCACAAAAGGAATGTTGGCGTTCCAACTAGACGATTAAGGGGATGGTCTTTGCCTGGAGGATTCAAGATCTCCGTTTGGTTGTACGAAATAGGCTTGGCATCTAAGCGCCCACGAGGAGGTAGATAGATATTGCTCGGTGTATGAGATGTCTCCTCATCCAAAAGCATTATCTGAAGATCAGTTTCTGGACAGTTCAATCACGACGTGATTCTGTGGACTCATGTAGACACTTTGGGATCTAATGCGATAAACAGTAACGTGCGCCTGCGACCTTGCAATCGAATTCTGAATCTTCCACGAATGCAATTCCCGTGGACCATCGATATGGTAACGAAGTACTGTGATGCATCACAAAAGTGACACAGATCCAGGCCATAGAACCAAAGGGAAAGCAGGATAACGCCACGTAGAGTCCATCCTCATACCGATGAAGTGGACGAACCGGTGGAGGTACTGAGGTGACAATTGAAACCTCGGCTGACAACCTGTCAGGACCCGGACTGTTGGATTCGGTGTACCGAAAATTCCAGGCCATCGTTCCAGATTCCTATCTAAGTTGCCTTCCATCATCTGGTCTTCGCAAACACGCAATATCACGTCAAATTGCCCAATCGAGTAATCATGCGCTCCCTTATTGGGCGTTTGCAAACTTTCTTTCACGGGACTTTTACCAAGGTGGTGCTGCCGACTCGTCCGACAGCCGAAACCGAGGCCGGTGAAAAGATGGGACGCATGAGCCGGAGCCAGAAGTCGGCGTGCGCCCCATGAAGGGTGTCCGATGCCGAGCTCGGGGACCGGACGCAGACCATAACAGGAAGTGGTTTCGATTCGAACATGGGCCGGCCAGTGGCGGCTCCACTCCGTTTGGGCAGTGAGACTGGAGCTCCGTTGTCGCCGCGTCGGCGTCTGCAATCGACTTAGTCCTTCTGGATTGTAAGTCCGATGCCATACCAGGTATGTAATGCCACCTTCTCGACATATGACAGAGATGGTAATTCTTAAGGATACTCGGAGAAGACTACTGCATCCCAAGGAGCTTGTAAACTTTCGTTTCCTCAAACTTGCCCCCCTTCCATCACATCTTCGCATTTTTCATGGCTGACTTCGCGAAGGGTTCCGAAGCTGAGACAGAGGCCCAACCAAGCGTGAAGCGAAAACGGACCGCAATGCCGCATACAACCGGGGGAATCGTAACAGTTTGAAAAGAAGGCAATGTTACAACAAACTATCCCTGCATTGCAGCGAGGTGACTCATCAGTGAAGCATGTACAGATGGAGATCGGACTTTGCTAACAACACGAAGACCAATCGCTCACCTCGCACAAATCTAAGCAACTTGAAAATACGTTACACATATGCGGTCTATGTATGGTAACGACAAGAGTGCATATAGCAACCACTGCGAAAATTTCGTTAGGAAAGAAGACGAACGAGAGGACAGACATCAAGAGCCATCGACGGGGAAGGGTCTTGTGTAAGATATACTAACAGCTGATGCATTAGCCTAGCGGAAGGATGACTTGAGGTTTTTCACACTGCCACAGACATTCAGGCTGAGGACACGGAATCATAATAGATACCAGACAATTCTTTCTGGTTCAAAGCTATTTACAAGAAAAGGGAAGATGTCGTAGAGACATGCCTATTATCACATTATCTAGAGCCAACGTCTCGCAGGCGCAGTCTGGTTAACACCGCCGTACTGGATACGGAACGGCTGCGTCTCAGTGACATCGTACTCCTCCAACTTGGACGCATCGCCAAAGACGCGGAGCGACTTGACGGCGAACTTGTACTTGCCCGCGGGGGCATAAGTACCATCATCGAGCTGGCCATCCCAGTTGACGGAGAAGACGCCGCGTGAGACGTACAGGTAGGGGAATGAGCGCGGCTGGCCGATGGTCTTGGTACCGAAGACCTCCTTGGTGATGTTGGGCGGGCAGCTGGTGAGCGGCACGAGGTCGGCGCGGACGAAGGGGGAGCCGAAGGCCATGTTGACGGCGAGGGCGGGCAGCACGGCGTCGGTCTCGTTGGCGGTGCCCGGGGGCGGGAGGATGTAAGTGTAGTTGGAGGGGACCTCCTCGAACTCCTCGGCCTTGGCGCTGGTGGAGGTGGTCATGATGGCAACGTCGAGGGTGACGTGGCTGTGGAGGCTGCCGGCGATGCCCTGGTAGGGGAGGATGAGGCTGGTGCCGTCGGTGCCGTTGAGGGCGATGTAGCCGGACCAGACGGGGAGGCGCTCGGCGACGAGGCTGGCGGGGGGCGTCGGGGTGACGAGGACGGTGGCCTCGCCGCCGGCCGGGACGGAGACCTTGTCCTCGCTGAAGGCGAGGGTGGCATACTCGGCGGAGAGGTCATTGGGGAAGGTGGCGGGGAAGAGGTCGCCGGCGGCGGCGAAGGTGTAGGCGGTGGCGGCGCCGATGTTGCTCAGCTCGTAGGTGACGTCGGCGGAGCCGGTGTTCTTGATGGTGAAGTTCAGCTCGGGGATGAAGTTGTCGGTGTCGTTGAAGGAGAGGTTGGAGACGCTGAGGATGGCCGAGGCGTGAGCGGCATCGTAGGCCTGGACGAGGCCGGCACCCTGCTGAGCGATGGGGGCGAGGAGCTCGCCGAAGCCGGTGCCGTCGTTGAACTTGACCGGGTTGGCGTTGGCGGAGAGGACGTTCTCGATGGTGGCGGGGTCAAGGGTCTTGCGGACCTCGGCGATGAGGGCGACGATGCCGGCGGTCTGGGGGCAAGACATGGAGGTACCGGAGAGGACGGCGTAGCTGCCGAGGGCTCTGGGGTAGGTGCTGAGGACGTTGCCTCCGACGGCACCGAACTGGGGCTTGGAGTAGGCGTCCCAGTTCGGGCCCCAGGAGCTGAAGGTAGAGACAGAGCCGCCGGTGGCGTTGTTGGCAGCCTCGGTGAGGACCTGCTCGGCCTCAGCAGGGTCGCCCATGTTGAGGACGACCTCCTGGCCGGCGGCGAGAGCCTCGAGCCAAGGGGCGGCGTTCTCAGGGGGGGTCATGCCGATGGCAAGGATCTCAGGGACGGCGGTCACGGAGACGGAACCAGCGCCGGGGGCGTTGTTGTACAGCATGATGTACTTGGCACCGGCGGCGGCAGCGTTCTGGGCCTTGGCGACGAAGGTGCAGGTTCCGCGCTTGATGAGGACGATCTTGTCGCTCAGGTCGGGGGTGCCGACAGGGTAAGCGTCGCAGCCCAGAGCCTCGGTGGAGGTAGAGTCGGTGCTGACGGCCCAGAGGGGGAGGGAGACGCCGGCCCAAGCATCGGGCTCACCGGGGGTGTATGTGAAGTTCTTCTCCTCGCCGCCGGCGATGGTGTAAGACTGCTCGATGAGGACGGCGGGGGTGATGACGTTGTCGAAGGAGGCGATGGCGGTGACGTGCTTGCCAGAGGCAGCGGTGGAAGCAAAGAAGATACCTGTAGTTTATCTTAGCATGGGGCATTTCAAAATGATTCAAAGAAGTCATCTCATACCCTGATCACCAGAGTTACCAGCGGAGACCGTGCAGGGAACGCCGGCATCGACGATTCTGGAGACGGTGGCAGCCCACGGCTCATCGGTCCAGCCAGAGGGACCACCAATGGAGGCAGTGATGATGTTGCTGCCGTCCTCGAAGGCGCGGTTGTAAGCGGCGATCAGGACGTCGTTGCTGACCTCACCCTCGCAGCCGAAAACCTAGTTCGAACAGTCAGATCGGAACTTTGGTAATAAGATTGTGGGTCACATCCGGCAGCCGGAAGATCATGGAGCAACCATATTGATATTACGTACCTTGTAAGCACCAAGAGTGACACCGGGGGCGGTACCGGTGAAACCGAAGGGGTTGCTCTGAGCGGCAATGATGCCAGCAACGTGGGTTCCGTGACCGCCGCAGTCCATGGGGTCGGGGTCGGGGAAGTGCTCATTGTAGCCGTCGTACGCGTCGCCGACGAAGTCGGTTCCGTAGCTGACCAGGCAGTCGGAGCCGAAGCAGCCGCCGAGCGCGGGGTGGAGGTAGTCGATGCCGGTGTCGATAACGGCGACCTTGATGCCCTTTCCGCTGACGCCGTCGGCGTGCAGCTTGTCGACCTGCGTCATGACGTGCGTCGAGAAGACGTCCTCGCCCTCCTGGCGCTTCTTGAGGTCGATGTAGTCGCGGCCCTGCTTGCCGGTCCAGACGACCTCGGGCTTGGGGATGCTGTACGTCCGCACGGGGTACATGGCCTTGACGGACGGGAGCTGCGCCAGCTTCGCGGCCTTCTCGTCGGCGGTGTCGAGGTTCTTGAACTGCAGCGACGCGCCCTTGAACAAGGAGTAGGTCAGGTTCATGCGGGTGATGGTGTCAGACTCGGCCTCGGCGAAGAAGTCGGAGGCGTCCTGCGGTTTTCATCTGTGAGTACACTGCGCGGTCGAGAAGACTACGAGAAGCTGTGTGAGAAGCATACCTGTCCGTCCTCCAACTCAACGATGAAGGCACCGGGAACGGTCTTGGGGGAAGTTGACTTTCCCTGGACGGCGAAAGCCGCCGCAAGAAGCGGCAGCAAGAGACTGCTACGAACCATGATGTCTGGCTGACGGATTACCTCGGGGAGACCGGAGCTGGCGAGGGAAGAAGCATCATGAACGCTGCGCGTCGGGGGGCACAACTTTTATAAGTCCATCTGCACAACGTCGTATCGCAACCCGTACCTCGGCGGTGGGGGGCTCAACTGGCCGGGGACCTGAGCAAGACAGGCCCTCTAGCGCAGGCGGACCCTCCAGAGAATCAGTCCATGGGCCATGTCGTTGTCGTCATGAAATGAATGGGGGTCCAGACGCTTGCTTGGCCAGGAAGGTGGAGGATGGACGGGAAAATGCGAGCGAGCGAGCCATGCAGGTCGTCTGCAAAGGCGCGGTGCCAGTGGATGGTGGCACGCGATAGCGTCCGGGGTAGGTCTGTATGCTCAAGCAGGGGTTGGATGGGATCACGGAGGGAGCTATGGCCGGGTTGTCTACCCAATGTTCCAATATGGAGACCTCAAGCAGGTCTCGCTGCAGAGGAGAGGCGACATCCCGGCTGGGACATGAGAAATTGCAGGGAGCAATGTGCACAGTCTGCGCTGCTGCAGTGCGTCGCGACGGAATGCGACCGCGCAAAGAAGGAAGCAGAGAAAAAGCAGAGCCTGGCCTGGCGATCAGCATATTAAACGATGCTTTCTGAGCTGCCTGAATGAGGCTCCTTAGTGGTGGAGGGAAGCATGATTGATTAATTGGCCCTGGTCATTGGAGCTTTCTGCCCAGATGGCCTTCCTATCTGGGTAAGTGTCTCCGCATCTCGTTGGTGAGAGTTGAGAGAGAGACAGAGAGTTGTTGTTGCTGTTCGAGCTGGGGTCCCTGGTCCAAGACCCAAATCATGGTGGACCGGGAAATGGTCACTGCTTCTTTACGGGAAACTTGAACGGGCCAGTTGGTGGCGAGTTCGCCGTCGGCTGATGCAGGCTGTCACTTCTATCGCTGGAGGGTGATTGGCAGACGCGGGAGATCGGGATGGGTTCGTTGGAGAGATCTCTGGGCACACGCCGAAGCGGCGCCACCCTTCTTTGTGTTCGTCTCGTCTTTAGGTTGTTGACCGTTGAGGGCGTTGGAAGAGGCGCGGGCGGACAGGGCCAGCCATGCTTGTTGCCGACGGCAAAAGGACATTGGGGCAGACTTAATGCCATCGGTTGACAGTGACAGCTGTGATATCAAACCGAATTGGCCTCCATCAATTGGCTGCCAGGCGTTCGTGGTTGGATGTTTCGTTCACTGCGAGCAACATTGACGGGCAAGGGGCCTGCTCCTATCAGGATTCAGCAAGACACAATCAACATCAGTCGTCATCGATTGTGACCGTCCAGTTTCTCATAAACCTGAGACCATACGACACGGTGCCTGTGATCCTCTGTTCGAAGATGATGGAAAGTTACGCCCAGAGCCAAGAGGCCAAGGCAACTCGACTGCCGTGGTAGTAGTGCATCGCGGACGCTGTTTGGTGCGTACCTGAATGGCCTCGTGTTGTGTGGAGCTTCAGGTACGACGGCAGCATCCACGCGGGGACGGACATCCTGGCCGTGATGTGGGTTCGGGCGATTGCGTTGGACGTGGCATGTGGCACGTCAATGGCAGTGGAGGTGCTGCTGCTGCTCTTTACAAAGCCCCAGAATCCAGAGTTCAGAGTCCAGATGAACAGGAAATTGGGTTTTAGGTAACCGGGCGCAAAGTTGGCAGAAAACAGAAGGTCGTTTGGCCCCGATTCATGACGGCCGAGACGGTCCAGTTCAATCCGGCAGGCCATCTTTGCAGAGGAACCTTTGCTAGCCGCCATCGCCTATTCTTCCGCATCAATAGACCGGTCTCCGCACAGCTGAAAGGCAAAGTGGACGACACGGTGGAGGGGGCATTGAGTGATGGGAGGGAAGACGAAGACGGCTCTGGAAGGGCTGAGTGAGGGGGCGACCACGGCCCATCATCCCATCATTCATGGCTGCCCCCGTCCCTTCTGGGGCCTGCCATCCGATTCACCTGCCGAAAAGTCGATAACGCGGTGGCCACGACCCCGGCCATAGCCCGGACGCACACAGAGAGAAGCTTGCGGGATGTGGACGGTCGACGGGTCTGCAGAGCAACGCTGCACGGCTTAATGTGAATTTGACACCACTCGAGCATATGGATGAGGTCGTAGTAAAGGCATGCTGAATGTTTTGCATTCTATGAAGAGGGGGAAACTGAGGGGGGTACAGCGTGACAGTACACGGCATATCTGGCTCAACTCCCAAGAGGACACAAGACGGGACGATGCGACCGGAGGTGGAGGTCGCAGGGGAAACAAAAGAAAGACGGCCCAGTATTGATACGCCCGGACCACCGTCTAACGGCCTGTTTGTTTGCTTTAAACCGAAAAGGGGCTGCGCCCCTGTTGGCTCTTCGGGGGCGAAGCTGGGCATCGGGAACAGGCCGCCGGTCTTCATGACTTTCCGGAGAAGCTTTGAATTGGACTGAGCAAGTTGACGAACTTTTGATATGCAGGTGTGGCGAATGAGTACCCAATTCATTTATGTTTACAAAGCCACAAGCGGGCTCTTGGGAGGTTTCGGGAAGGTGAACAGAATGCCATTTCCGCGGCGCCATCCACTCCATTAACCTAAAAATTGCTTTGAGGGGCTCACTGATTCTGCTTCTGCCGGGGGCAATCGGAAGATCGCCGGGCATTCCCTACCTCCCAGTGGTCAGCGCTATGAGCATTCCATCGCCCACGAGGAATTGGTTCCGGCGGTTATTGGTATTTAACCTTAATGAGATTCTTAACTCTGTTCGCCGCGGAACACGCGAGAGGCTCGGAAGCTAGGTTTAGGCTTAACTTTCTCGACCTCGTGCGGTGCTTTGCTGCCGATTCAGCACCATACCTAGACTTGCACCTGCTTAGGGCCAAAGAGCCTGCAAGACATGATCAATTGAAATGCAGGAGGTCCAAGTATCCGTCGCAAGAAGCGCTTCATCCAGAAATTGTAGAACGTAATCTTGACTGAGTAAACGACCCCAAGGGCCACGCCTTCAACGGTCGGTTCATCCAAGACAGTTACACGCCGATGACCTCAATACATGTTTCAACCGGACGCTGTTCAACCCAGACGGGGATGAAATAGACAGTGTTTCCGTCACACTCAAATCTCGGGATGCCGGCTCTTTCTCATGTAGAAGACTGTGGCGATCTTTAAGGAACCCCAGACTAGAGGAGTGGAAGGTGGTGGATGCATGCCACTGCTCGCGTTAGCTGATCAACCCAGCTTTCCAGGATGATATGGAGCTGTGCCTTACAGATGCCACCGTCGTAGCCCGGTCCGCTGCGTGCATCCGCCGGCTGGGCATTCTTGGTTTTTGCATGGCAGAACAGGCCCTGAAAGGCTGGCCAAGAGGCAAGAGGGTGGATAAGGCCAACATGCTCCACTGAAGAGAAGCGTGGCAGACGGAAGGTTGGTCGGCGGGTTCCATATCGCATTTTATTCTGACGAACTTTGTTCTGTTCGTGTGTTGCTAGTGTCCAATGAATTCACCCAAAGCTGCCGGAGGGTCGCTCGTAGATGGTCGCCACTCATTTATCCAATACATTCCTCCACGACGTCTGAGCATCATGAAAACGGGACTTCAGATTGCCGCTTGCTGTAATGAGGATGTACAACCTTTTGATCCATCTGTGTTCCGAAGATTCTCTGAAAGACGGCAAATACATATGCAACGGGTATGAATTACTCTAGAGAAACAGCTTTTGACCTCTCCAAAAGCCCAAGCATCTATGACAATCTATCATGCAAGTAGCTCCCTTGCAACCTCGTATGAGTTGATGTACTCAATTCCCTCTTTCCTCCAGGTATCATCTTCCACGAAGCTGTTGCTGGCATTCAGGACCAGGTTCTTCGGCGCCGCGAGGTCATACTTGGGCCAGTACGGCAGCAGCCCGTCCCGCTTTGTGACATTACCAGCCTTTGCATTGGGATCCAGGTCATTGACGAACCTCACATACGCCTGCCCAATACCCCGCGCCAACTCCAGGTGACTATCGTACTCCGGCGACGGGCCCAACAGGCCACTGATGTTCTGGAAACTGAACGCGACATTGTCAAAGTGCTGCACGCCGTCCAGCTCGGCCCTGTTCCACAACCGCTGGTCGAACCGGTAGCTGTACACCGGCTGCCCCGCCTCGCCCGCGTACAGCTCGCACATCTTCCGCCGGCCCGAGATCATGACCAGGTCCCCGCCGATCGAGGCACCCCGCCGCCACTGCAGGCCCTTGGCGGGGTACACGGAGCAGTTCCAGATGGAGTGCGGCGGCTGCGTGCACGGGTCGTTGGGGTACAGCTCGAACAGCTTCCGGATCGTCGGCGGCGAGAGCGCGTAGGAGCGCCAGAACATGAACCCGTTGAGCAGGTTCTGCTCGGTGTCGGGCTTCGGGCTGTTGGGGTTGAAGTTGATGCCCTCGTCGCTGTTGGCGCCCGTTAGGAGGGGCACCTTGACGTACTTGCCCTCGCGGATCAGCTGGCTCGGGTACCCCGTCAGGAAGTCGCCGTCGACGAGCGGGTTCCAGACCTGGCTTGGCTTGGCTGCGAAGAGGTCGTCCTGGCTGAGGCCGCGTAGGCAGGCGAGCTGGTCTTTGGCGGTCCAGCAGCCGGTCGTGCGGGTGAGGTTCTCGACGGGGACGGTGTAGTACGCCAGGTCCTGGACCTGCGCGCCCGTCGGGCCGCCGCTTTCGAGGATCGCGGCGCGGTAGAGGCCGTCGTCGCGGCCGTCGTAGCTGAAGAGGTGGTAGGCGATCGACTGGGCCCCGGCGCTTTCGCCCCAGATTGTGACCCGGTCCGGGTCTCCGCCGAACGCGGCGATATTCTCCTGGATCCACCTGAGAGCCAGCCTTTGGTCGAGGAGGCCAGCGTTGCTGGATCCTTCGGCTAGAAGGGCCGGGGTTTGGAGGAAGCCGTACATGTTGAGACGGTAGTTCATGGCGACGCTGATGATGGGCTCACCCATATCCTGGCTGACCTTGACGATTCCTGACAGGTTGTACTGAGGGTCCGCCTGTTGCATCGTCAGTCAAACTCAGACAGTGTAAGTTGAAGTTGAAAATCTCACAATAGAGCCTGTGTACAGACCACCTCCGTATATCCAAACAAGAACCGGCAAAGGCTTCTCTGGCTTTCCAGTAGGACGGACGACGTTCAGCGTCAAGCAGTCTTCCGACATGTTGAAGGTCCCACGGTACTGCATACAGCTGTAACCTTGCTGTGTCGCATCTCGGACCTCATCGAAAGAAGTGTTGAGGCTTTGAGGCCAGCGGTACCTGAGCTGGCCAACTGGAGGCTGGGCAAAGGGGACGCCTAGGAAGGCATCTTGGTCCCAGTCTGAGAGATGTACGCCCCTGTATGTGCCGTTGACCACCTGAGCTGTAGGCTCCTGAGCAGCCACAGCCCGGAGGCAGGCCAAAGCTGCAGTGGCTAAACAGTACAAACGCGTCATTTCAAAGAACCAGAAGCAGCCGCCTGGCCTAACAACTCTTCTTGCCATGATTCCATCGCTCTCCCCCTTTTATACGGCCGACAGCGCGCGGACATACCGCTGCGCTGCTCATCAACTCGTGGCTGAACCATAGGAACAGCATCGTTGGCCCCCTGCGTGATTGGAGGAAAATGAACAACCGCAATGAAAAGCTCATCGTCCTGATTAACCAGGGGCCGGAAGAAATAAGCGTCTACCGTCTGAGGTAAATCATTGGGGAAGAATGCGGGGGATGCGGGGACGCTGTCGATGGCCTATGAGCCGGCCGGGGAGCGATCTCGACTTGGGGTTGAGGGCCAGGGGGCGGACATTACCAAGGACGGTGATAGGCGTCATGGGCTTTCGATAATGATTTTCCGGCACCACGAGGCGAGTCGCTGCAGGAGGGCGTCTGCATCTCGAGAGAGAGCCGAGGGTCGGACGGAAGAATTGACGCCATTCAGGGTAGCACTGAAGTCGGGTCTCTGATGGCCAAATATGAGAGCCTGCTGCAATTTGTAAGCTTGAGATTGAGATAGAGGATGCATGCTGTACGATCTTACCTTGGTGATTGGTTATCTGTGAGCATGGCTGCTTCTTGTGAAGGCATGTGATTGAGATGAGTTGACTTGGTGGAATCGTTCTCACGATGAGACGCTGGAGTGAGACACCGTGCGCGTCACCGCATACTGTCCTGGCACACAGTAAGGGTCGGCTAATTGTCGGATGAAGATCGCCCGCTATTGACGTCAACCGAGCCGAGCTTAGAAATTTGGGATCAAAGCTTCCGATTCTTAGCTCGTCGGGAAAGTCAATTTGACGTCAACGGTCTTAACATCACGACCCCGCCAGACGATTGCTTTTACTGCAAGTTCCAAACAGTATATATACGCAGACTTTCGACTCGAAATCTCAACATGCTCTGCAGATCGTGCCGACGCGCAATTGCGCTCTCCAAGCCCGCATCAAACACCCTCGTCGCCAGGGCTTCCGCAACAAGCTTCCCGATCGCAGCGAGAACCTACTCCTCTTCCGCTATTTCTCCTCGAACGACCGCAGTCTCTTCCCCATTTACATGTCAATCCGCATCTACATTGAGGCCCGCGACACTCTCCAAGCGCACCTACTCCTCCGCGACGGAGACCGCACCACTCGAGAAGCCCGACCACCTCGATGCCGCCGAGTCGACGATATGGGACAAGCTGGTCGCCGAGTTCTCCCCCTCAGAGCTCATTGTGCAGGACGTTTCCGGCGGCTGCGGCTCCATGTACGCGATCGACATCACCTCGGCCAAGTTCAAGGGCGCCAACATGCTGAAGCAGCAGCGCATGGTCAACGCGGTGCTGGGAGACATGGTGAAGCAGTGGCACGGCATCCAGCTGCGGACGAAGGCCCCTTGAGCTGCGTTCACGGACGGAATGATATACAATGACGGAAAGATGGAATGCTGCGGCGGCATGATTGTACTATAAACGGCGGTGTACGGACATAATTATACCTCAATGGCAACTCCCCTCCAAGAAAGGGCTGAGACGATGGAAAATACAGCATGAAAGGAATTCTACGTTGGTACGTCTTATGCGAGTGACTCAATGGCGTATTATCACAGTTCGGAACGGGCAAGAGGCGTTGGTTTACGCCCAGTCGTGTGTTCCTTCCATCCTGCCCCACGAGTATTCAACGGTCAGACCGCGGTCAAAAGCGATGCGGCTTTATTCCTGCAGACAGCACCACATGCGCTTCTCCAAATCCCAACTCTCATATCCTAGAATCTTCGAAGCATCTGTCAAGATCTGCTATTTTGACTTTCGTCGGGAATCTGGCCAATGACAAGCGTCGTATTACTCCTCCTGCTCGCCTATTGGGACCCTTTATGGGTCGTCCGGACTTCTTTCTCCAGCCTCCAGGACCTCCGTCCAGGGTTGGGGACTTTTTTCTTCAAGGGACTTGCTTTATGAAGCTGACAGGCCTTCGGCGACATTCGGCTTCTGACAGTCTGGCAATGATCCGCCGTGGACTCGGCCGAGATCGTCAGCTTACTACAGGTCTCCTCGGTTTCCTTGCATCCTCGATTCAAAAAATCACAAAATTCTTCTTCACGCTCAGCAGACGCATTCCGAGCTCCCTCGCATCGTCCAATCAAGCGATCGTCGTATCGGCTCATGGAAGTGCCGACCCTTGCTGCGGCAGCACGCCCAGACAACACATCAGCCCTCGATTGGCTGGGTCGCTTTGGCGACAGGGGCAGGATGCAGTCAGATTTTGGCGAACCCTTAGAGAATGCAACGCCGGGACTTGTGCTTTTTGGTGGACATTCATACTGCCTGGAACAATGATGTATGTGAAATCACTGGACGAGATTCGAGGATGCGCCCATCGTGCCCCGATTTGTGAATGCGGCCCGGACCAGAAGACCCATGAGACAGCAGGACCCCGGCGCCGAGGACCCGGAAGTCATCCTGGACCCGAAGAGATGCTGTCAGCATCGTCATCAGACCCAGAACGATGTGACAACAGACGGGGATGCAATGCTTCTGCCCCTCGTTAGACGTAGCACGAGAGCCGGGGCCGAAGGGACCATAGAAGCCAGATAAAAGTGCTGTATGAGGTCCGTCCCGAGTGGGATGGCTCTTGATCCTTGATCCCTCACCAGCATCTGGTGTCTTCCGCCATCATGGCTTTTCCAGACATTACAGCCTCAGATATCTCCGGCTACTTCTCGCCGGTCTACCTGCTCCTCGCCTTCGCAATCTACTACATCGCCACGTCGATCGCAGCATGGCGCCGACTGCGAGCCTTCCCCGGCCCCGCGCTCGCCCGGTTCTCTTACCTCTGGAACATCCTCAACTCCCGCACCGGCCGCCCCGCCGAGACCTTTACCCGCCTGAACCGCGAGCACGGCCCCCTGGTCTGCATCGGGCCCAATGACCTCGTCACCGACGACCCGGACATGTTCCGGCGGATGAACGGCGCGCGGTCGACGTACAACCGCTCCTCGTGGTACAACGCGGCCAAGTTCAACCCGCACGAGGAGGCCATGTTCAGCATCCGCGACATCCGCAAGCACGACAGGATGAAGGCGCAGGTCGCGGGCGCGTACTCGGGCAAGGAGAATGATGCGCTCGAGAGCGGGATTGATAGCCAGCTGGCGGGTCTGACGGAGCTCATCCGAAGGAAGTATGTTACCGTGGGCGAGGACGTGAGGCCGATGGACTTTGGGAGGGTGGCGCAGTACTTTACGCTCGACGTGATTACGGAGATTGCGTATGGGAAGGCGTTTGGGTACATGGCGACGGACTCGGATATCCATGAGTACATCAAGACAACGGAGGATGTTGTCCAGATTCTGCAGATGCTGGGCGAGGTGCCGTATCTGTGTACCTTGTTCTGGTCGAAATGGGTGTTGGGGACTGTTGGACCTAAGCCAACGGATAAGTCTGGAATGGGAAAGATGATGGGGTGAGCTCCCCCTCTGCTGTTGCAACTCCATTGGCACTGACTGGCCTGCAGAGTTGCAAGAGACGTGGTTGCCAAGCGGTTCGGGCCTGATGCCAAAGATGAGCGCGACATGCTCGTAAGTCTGTCGAGACGCTGTTGCTGCGAGAAGTCAGACTGACTTTGATAGGGCTCTTTCGTCCGCCACGGGCTCACGCAGGGCCAGGCCGAGCAGGAGGTTCTATTCCAGATTACAGCCGGCTCGGACACCACTGCCACGGCTATCCGCACGACCTTTCTTCATCTCTTGACCTCACCCAATGCATACCAGACCTTGAAGAGAGAGATTCACACTGCGATTGCGGAGGGTCGCGTGTCTTCGCCAATTACAGCTGAAGAGGGCAAACAGCTGCCTTATCTGCAGGTACATATCCACCAATTGCTCTCGGTGAATGTCAGCTAACGCGAACCCTGCCAGGCCGTAATCTACGAGGGTCTCCGGATGAACGCCCCATTTACGGGTCAGTGCTCCAAAGAAGTCCCTGCCGAAGGAGATACCATCGATGGTCGCTTCGTTCCTGGTGGTACGCGCATCGCGCAGAACTTCTGGGGCGTGATCCGCCGGCTTGACGTCTTCGGAAAGGACGCAGACCTCTTCCGGCCAGAGAGGTGGCTTGAGGCGGACGAAGCGACGAGAGACAACATGGTAAGGACCACGGAGTTGACGTTCGGTCATGGACGGTGGGGATGCTCTGGGAAGAACGTCGCGTTTATGGAGCTGAACAAGATCTATTTTGAGGTAGGTCAGGCCTGTGTGATGCGAATAGGACACAACGCTGACGTTTTTCATACAGCTCCTTCGAAACTTTGACTTTCAGATCGTGAATCCCGGCAGGCCATGGCATAGCATCAACCATAACTTGTGGATGCAGCATGAGTTCTGGGTGAAGGTGACTGAGTCTGCTACGAGCTAGACGTCGAGATTTAACGGGGTATTATTTAGACGACAAGGAACCTGAGAAGATATCTTGACTTCGAACGAATTATGGCTAGACAGGATGCACTAATAAGTACGACGTCTCGATCGTTGCCTGTGGGCTATCACGAGAAACATGTCAAGACACCTTCCCAAGAGACTACACTAATGAAAATTCCAACTCCCGGGTAGAATGATGTCGCAGGTTTGCTACAAAATAATGTGCACTACTATGTTAGCAGGATTTGTTGCGGTTCTGAGGTCTTGGTCGAGGTCCAGCAGCTCGCTCTAGTTGGGGCGCGGTTGAACCAGGCCAGCCACGGACACTAACAGCCAGGTGAAACAAAACCTTCTCTTAGCCGCACTTTGCACTCAGCACAACTAAACTCTGTCAAATTCTATCGCTTCCTCACAGAAACAACACCAGCGAAATTCCAGTACGCGACACTCTGCGAGATGATGCTTCGCACGAGAAGCCAGTAGGCTCAGCTACAAGAGGCGATGAAGTGAATGGAATGACATGGATCTCCTAATGCCTTGGTGGCTCAGTGGTAAAGCGTCTCACTCGTAATGAGAAGATCGGGCGTTCGATTCGCCCTCGAGGCAACAATCTCATCCTTTTGCTCGTTTTGGCCTGCAACGCTTCATCATTTGTTATTTTTACTCGGTTCTGCCCTCTAGCTTTTGGAGAAACTCATGACCATCGACTTCATAATTCCCTGGTGTTCGTCACTTCAAGCAGATTGTCATTTGAGTTACTCAACTACTCACTGCGAATCAAGTGCTTGAAGAACTCGCCCAGGAACAACGCAGATCGCTTAGGATACCGCGTCTTCTCGGGGCTCTCAAAGTCAATCCACGTCGCACCGAACCTGTCTGAGAACCCAGCCGCCCACTCCCAATTGTCCGTAAAAGTCCACCCAAAGTAAGACTTGATCACCACGCCCTCCTGCGAAGCCTTGGCTACTTCCGTCAAATAGCTCTTGAAGAAGTCAATCCGGAACGGATCTTCGAGAACGTCGTCCGGCCCCTTGGGTTTCCAGTCGTGCTCGCCTTGTGCCGTGGTCCCGTTCTCAGTGATGTAGATGGGCACGCCGTACCGGTTCCAGATCCAGCGCAGCAACTTCGCCCACCCCCACGGCGTCGTGCGCAGCCAGTACGTGTCACTCATCGGCCCCCGCGGCACGCCCTGCTTATTCTCGTCAAACTGCTCAATGTTGCCCTTGTGGTCGTTGATGTCCGCCGGCCCGTCGCGGTGGCGCACGTAGAACGCAGAGTACGAGTTCATCCCGTACACCTCGGAGCTGCCCAGCACGAGCTTGCTCTCCTCCGGCGTGAATCGCGGCAGCCTGTCTCCGAGCTGCGCCCGCATCGACGCCGGGTAGTCGCCCGTCTTGTACAGCGGGTCCGCGAACCACGCAATCTCGAACTCGCGCGCGCGCTCGGCGGCCTCGACGTCGCGGGGGTCCGCCGCGTCCCAGGGCTCAGACCAGTTGCCGTGCAGCGTGATCATGACGGTGCCCTGCTGCGTTGGCTGGAACTCCTTCTTGTACATGTCCGCGGCGTACGCGTGCGAGACCAGCTCGGTGTGCGCGACGATGAAGGGCTCCGTGCTGGAGTCGCCCTCGTCGTTGAGCTCGCGGAAGCTGGAGCGCGCGGGGGCGTGCACGCCCGCCGCGTAGCCGGCGAGGGTGTACACGCCGGGCTCGTTGTAGGTGATCCAGTTCTTGACGCGGTCGCCGAAGCGCTCGAAGCAGATCCGGGCGTAGCGGACAAAGTCGGGCGTGTAGCGGTCTTTATCAAGCATGCCGCCATATCGGTCCTCGAGCGCCTGCGGGGTGTCCCAGTGGAAGAGGGTGACGAAGGGGGTGATGCCGTTGGCGAGGAGCTCGTCGATGAGGCGGTTGTAGTAGGCGATGCCTGCCTCGTTGACTGGATCGTCTTTGCCGCCGAGGGGGATGATGCGCGACCAGGAGAGGGAGAAGCGGTACCCGCTCACGCCGTAGCGCTTCATGAGGGCGACATCTGTCTTGTACAGGTCGTAGGAGCGCACGGCGTCGTCGCCTGTGCTTCCGTCCTTGACTTTGCCTGGTGTGTGGGCGAACTTGTCCCAGATGGACTCGCCTTTGCCATCTTTGTCCCAGGCGCCTTCGACTTGGGCGGCGGCTGTTGCAAAGCCCCAGGTGAAGTCGGGCGGGAGGGCGCCCTTGATGGACTCGTCGAACTCGAACTGCGTGGCCATGATGGTCAGTGGGTGATGTGAGTGAAAAGAAGACGGCCAACTCACTGTGTTCTCTACATTGTGCAACGCATCTCATGTACGAATGCACGACTCAAACCCCACCTCACGATCATGTGCTAATAGCTGGAGCTTCAGAGACGCGATTTCAATGGAGGGGCATTCCTGCGTCGGGATGAAATGACGATGATTCGTGGAGAGGGCATGTCGGTCAGAGCTGGCCCGACGGCTGTTGAGCGGATGGACGGCTGAATGTCACTTCAGTGGGGTTCTCTGAGCTACATGCAGCATGTTCAAATGACGTAGCGGCGCCGTGTCTGGGAGACTCAAGAAGACTTGAATTCTTGCAGAGATTAATTGTTTCTTCGTAGCTCATTTCATTTCAAGTCGATGCAAACAGACTGAAGACTCTCAGAAGGTTTAGGGCTGGGGCTCACACTGAGACAGGTATGAACAAATGAAGGCAGACTAGACAGAAGCTTAGCGCTGAGGGTGGTGTGTTGGGGCCTCAACTCACAGGCGTGGGGGTGGTTGTAGCGTCCCCGAACCCATGGAGCGGGCCGTCGTTTCTCGGCGAGAGATGCCGGTCGGTGTGTTCAACCACAGGTCTTAGTAATGAGCCGAACCATCGTGTTTGAGCCTCAATACTGCAATAGGAGTCTTGATATGATGGGTTAGTCTCTGTCCTATTCGGTTGGTTGTAACAGCTTACCGCAAGAGCCTCATAGGGCTTTGGCTGGACAGCAGGTGAGCACTGATCTACAAGATGGCTGGAGGGCAGTCACGACTGAACATGTGTTCAACATCGACCATTTTCTCTGAACAAAAGTTCACTGGAATCTTATGCGAGACTTCAGGCAAACAACAGTTCGCTAGGGATAAAGAAAAGCACTTCAAGACAGAAAGAATCAACGGAGGGCATTTGGTCGTTGGCAAATTGGCTGAGGAAAACCGCAGCACCATCCTCATAGGTAGTTGTTTGAAAACATGCCTCGTCATCTCGGTCTGCCAACGCTGTCCACCCCGCGATATCCACCTCTCAATATGACAAGCTGGGATGTTACAAGTCGATCAGCAGGGTCCATCTGGTGGCTCAGCCAACTTCAGTGCATGACCCCTCGAGCGGCCGCACGAGCCGAAACGGTTAGACCACCACGAGAGGGCATAAAGTCGCGCCAAGCATCTCACCACGTATAATCCTCACGACTTCAGTTAGCCGTATACAACCGCCAAAAGATCCATCAGCATGGTTCATCTAAAGATCTCCGAGACACGACGCGGAAAGAGCGGGCGTTTGACCATTCTCGTCGAGTTAATGAATACTAAAAGGGCGCGAAAACCCCCGGTTGCCTGCCTGGCGAGTTCACCAATCCTGAAAATCGCTCATATACATTTTGAAGAAAAACCCTCTTTTTTAACCCTCTGTTTTTATGAGAAACTCGCTTGGAGGCCTCCCGAATATCTTGCGGGATACCCAGTTCGGACAATCATCGAGAGATGACGCAGACGATGGTTGTGTCATGAGGGATAATTCGCCGACACATCCACCACCCGCGCCCACCGATCCGAACCGGCCCCTGAGCGAGCTATCCTCAACCCGGGCGACCTGAAAAGCCGGCCATGCGGGAATTTTTCAGACATCACTTCCAAGGTAACATTTGCGTCGGCCTCTTTAGCATCGACGACTGATCATCTCGTGCTAACGAGGGCAGATGGTCTGCAACGGATTCAAAGTTTATGCTTTCCGGTCTCTCCGTCCAGCAGCATCGACGCGCAATCGTCCGTGTCCCGTGCCCCCCAATCGGACTCAGAGGCAACCGAAGACGGCCTGCCAACGGACGAAAAGCAGCGGCCCATCCGCTCGAGGACGCGAGGGACCTTGGGGCTTCTGAGACACACGATGCTGTCGTCCTGGCTCAACGTGCTGCTCGTCTTCGTCCCCGTCGGTCTTGGGCTATTCCTGTCCAATGCCAGCCCAATCTTGGTGTTTATTTTCAATGGAATCGCGATCATTCCGTTATCAGCGCTGCTCACTGGTGCGACTGAGAAAATCGCAAGCGATGCCGGGGATACGATAGGCGCGTTTCTGAACATCAGCATAGGAAATCTCGTGGAGTTGATCTTGTTGTAAGTGCCCCCTGGACCCGGTCTCTCGGTATGAGAATTAACATCCGTTCTCTTGGTAGCATGTGAGTGATACTCTAGTAGCAGCGATTACAGGAACTAACAGCTCAAGCGTGGCTCTCAAACACAATCAGATTCATGTTGTGCAGGCGTCCATCCTTGGTTCAATGCTTGTGAACCTTTTGCCCATTCTCGGTACGGCCTTATGTGTCAACGGCCTATGGCATGATGACCCGGTCCTCAATACAACAGAGACACAACTTTTGAGTTGTCTACTGTTCGTCTCTGTGTTTGTCTTCCTCATTCCGGTATGTTGAACTTGAGTATTACATTTGAGGGCATCACTTAGACAAGGCAGACAGCGTTCTATCACACCTTCAACGACATCGAAGACGCCGGCGAGGCAATTCTGAAGATGAGCCGGGCATCAGCATTGATGGTACTACTGATTTACATACTCTACTTCGTTCACGAGTTCAGGACGCACTCTGCAAACCGTTCATATCACGCAGCCCCGACACACTCCTTCGACCTGGAAAGCCTCCCCACCTCCCCGACAATAGCGCCACAACATGCGAGGCAGCAGGTTCAACAGGCTGTTCCTTCCAATCAAACGATTCGCTTCGCAGACGAAGGGACACCAAAGAAAAGTCAGGATGCACCTGATACAACAGGATATTCATCGCAGCTGGACGGAAACGAGGCATCTGAAACCGACTCGGACGATGACAAACCAGACGAGCGCCGTGGTCGGGAGGCTTGGAAGTCGCGGAATGCTTTTGATCGGCCTAGCTCTCAACATTTCATGGCGAGAACGCACAGTCGGTCGCTGTCACTTTCCGGTAGCTCTCGCTGGACAACGTTCAGCCGAGAGGGCTCTTCCGTCGGAATCGAACATCGAAGATTAGTCAGGTCAGGACTCGCCAACCTGCAAGCTCTTCGGAGTAGCCATGCAAGCTTAGACACCGCCCAAGTCGGACAAGTTCAGCATTCAAAGTCCATCATGGAGAGGCTGGTTCCCGTCATGATTCTCATCATCAGCTCTGGATTGATGTCCATGTGCGCCGAATTTCTGGTTAGCACGATCGACGAAGTAACCCATCAGGGGCATCTCTCCGAATCCGTTATCGGCCTCATCATCTTGCCAATTGTCGGCAATGTCGCCGAGTACGTCACCGTTGTGACGGTGGCATCGAGGGAGAAGCTGGACCTTGCCATTGCCGTCGCCGTTGGGTCCTCGATCCAGATTGCCCTTTGTGTAGCGCCCTTGACAGTGATCTCAGGTTGGATTCTCTCTAGAGACCTATCTCTCAGTTTCACTCTCTTTGAGGTCGCCGCGCTGATGGGGACAGCACTCTTGGTGAATCTGTTGATACTGAGCGATGGGAACAGCGTCCTGCGAACAAGCGGACTCAAGGGCGGTCTCATGTGCGCGTGCTATGTCATCATCGGGTACGTCTAGACTCTTGACAAGCATGCCAAGTGACTTGCTAATAAGGAACAGATTTGGAGCATATCTTTCTCCGGAACTAGACGGGTAGACATAGAAATAGGGGAGGTCGACTTTGGCCCGCCTGAACGGCCCATTGGTCTCCTGGATATGTGATTTTGCATAATAAGTAATATAAAATAGCGACCCGATTGATCCAGTTGTCTCGCGATACATTTAACTTGAGATTCGTTTTATTAGCTGTGTCACTGATTGGGCGAGGCTCTCCAGCGGTATATGCAGCGTACTTGCTGACTGACCCCATAGTTCTTCCGTCTTCGAGCGAGTCCTTGTTGTTCCCGTGATCCTGCAGTAAAAATGCCCTGTTATAGCCGCCGAACGCCTGAGTGGGCTGGTCAGCTGTTATCCTGGCTTACGGGTTGTGTGTAACAAGACGCTCTTAGCGATTGGCTATATCTGATTTATCTTCAAGCAAATCCTTAAAGCCTGGCCCCTCACTCGATTGCGCTCGCAGGCCTTTATCTCAGACCACCCGGCGCGCATATACGCAATGTCGCAACCGCAACCACTTCGACGACGGAGTCTCCCGCTGCTGCTGCCGTCTAGCAACATCTAGCTTCAATTAATAACAGCAAAGCCTATTAGTAGTAGCTATAAAAGGAACTACTCCTTACTAGTATTTACTTCCTAAAACTAGATAACAGTGTTAAGGCACTACTTATCAACTTATAGACAGTATCAGAAGCAGGGCAGCCAGATAGGACGTATATTTATATAGGCGTTAGTTAGGAGCAATAGGACGTTCTACGCTAACACCCTTTAATTAAAACGGTTCTTTATCTCTAACTAAGAGGCGTTATTAAGGGTAGGGTCTTCAATAACAACCTAGTAGAGGTATGGTTCAAGTAGCTCGGCATATCGACGCTATTTGAGTTCATCATAACAGAAGCTCTTGAGCTGTCGAGTTAGCAGTTCCCGAGTTCGTCGTCGTCATAGATGCAGCGGTAGATGACGAAGCCCCACGTGTGTATCCCAAAGTGCGGGCGCGTCCGAAGTTCTCAGATTCCATATTGTGCCGGCGAGGTGCTTATCTGTTGGTTGGATTTGTTGGAAGAGGGCGGTCAAGGCCAAGCCGGGCATAGTTGCGATGGACATTGCTTTTTCTAGCCGACGTACAGCCAAAGTACTACGCCCCTGCAACAGATACCGAATACGTGGTAGTTGTTCTGCAATTACACAGGCGATCATGAGACTCTGACTGGACGTCGCTTAGAATGCCACAGCTCTAGCAAGGACTTTAAAGGTTTCACTGAGCTTGCCTCTGTCAAACTGCGGAAAAGAAAGCGGAAATGAATCAATCCATTAATTTCATTAATAATCTCAATGGATGGAGATTATTTGCTACGACAAAGTCGGACATGTTTAAAATGCTGCAAAAGGTGTGTACCAAATTGCGTTAGTCAATCAATCAAACCCAGTGAGCCAAACATATCTAGATGCTCTGCTAAGCTCTAGTGATTGCAATAGGGACCAGTGCAACTGTAAAAAATGCATAGCACACAAATTACATACAATCATCGAGAAAGAAAAGTATCCTTATCTATGTAGCTTAATGTATCTCAGTCTTGCCGTGCAGATAAAATGTGTCCGAATACCCATGATTGCATCTGCTCACCATCTTGTAGTTAAAATTGGCTCTTTCTAACGTTGGTGTGCTCTAGTAGCCGTGGACATCCTTGATCGGCAAACTTACGCCATGCGTTCGGGCAAAGCAACCAATCAGGTAAAGCTTAAATCACGCACTGTCGGATCGAACCTTGACTCATACGATCAAAACTTCAAACCCAATCTTTGTTTTCCACAGCCTGCCTTCGTGCTGCCTTGAAGGTCACGACCATAGTCGGGTTTCTTATCTACAGCGGAAGGATTCGCGACCGCTATGATCTGAATACGTCACAACCATACTCAACTTTCTACCCATCAACCTCATACCCTCACAAATCAAGTGGATGATCTGCATTGACGGCGACACATGACAGTCAGACAGTATGCAGTGGCTTTCACAGGCGGAAAGGTCCTGTCACCACTCCCCAACCAAGGACTCTACCCCGCCGACGTGCTAGTGTCCCGCGATGGCACTATTGCCTATGTCGGCCTTGAGAACCGCGACGAGGTCGCAAATGCCGACGTGGTCATTGACGCAGAGGGGAAATGGTTGCTTCCTGGCTTTGTCTCTGCCCATAGCCATCTATGGCAGAGCAAGTTCGCCGGACAAGCCCCCAATAGCAACGTGACTGAGTGGGGAGACGGGATCTATTCGGAAGCCCGCGAGTTGCCAGCATCAGAGTTCTATGACCTCACAATGCAAGGCGCGAGAAACCACGTCCGAAAGGGAATCACGACTGCTTTCAACTTTACGTTTTCCGCCCGCTTCCGCGAGGGCCAAACGGACCGGGCGCAGTTCGAAGGGGCTCTGGACTCTGGAATCCGGTTCTTTCATGGGTTCAACATCGGAGCCATCAGAGAAACATGGACTCCAGAGTTAGCCTTGAAGCGCGCTCGACTATTTGTAGACTGGGCGTCTACCTTCAGCCACTCAAATCAATACCTCGGCACCATGATTGCACACCACGGGATCAACTACGATACGGACATCAACACACGCATGGAGGCTGAGGTCATGCGAAAATTGGGCCTGGGGGGACAAATCCACTACTTGGAAAGTCCCCGGCCAGTAGATGTCAATCTAGAACAGTCCCGCTGGAAGTGGCTCAGAGATGCTGGTGCAGTCAACTTGAAGCTTATCCTAGGCCATTTCCTCCATCCAACCCCCGACATTCTTGACGAGGCTTCCTCATCCGGGCTCAAAATGAGCTGGAATCCAATGTCCAACGGACGCCTCGGGTCTGGGATTGCCGACATTCCCACATATCGAAGACACAATCTCCCGATCGGCATGGGTGTAGACGGAGAAGCGAGTAGCGACCGGAGCGACCCGTTCGAGAACATGCGTGTGGGCCTGTACTCCGTAAGAGGCAAGTATGAAGACCCGTCGGTGTTGGCTCCTCAAGACGTCTTTCAGATGCACACGCTGGGTGCTGCGGATGTTTTGGACGTGGTTGATAAAGTCGGAAGCCTCGAGGTCGGCAAGCTGGCGGACATCGTTCTCCTTAACCCCCCTCACATGGGCCATCTAGGGGATCCCGTATCGGCCTTTGTTTTCTCGTCTGGGGTTGAGGATATCGAACGCGTGTTCATTGGAGGAAAGGAGGTCTGGCCGCGGACTCCTCCACTTGCGGAACCCACAAGCAACTGGCCGGCTTGGGAGTTTTGATTCGCACAAGACACAGAGCGACAACGAGACAGAGTCGGGGTTGTTAATAATCAAGAAAGAGTTCATCTCCCGAACTTGTTGCGGATGTCAGCAAGCCCGGGGAGAAAGTCTTAATCCCGAGCTCGGCCGTGGCGAATCCGAAAACTTGGCGCGGTCCCGCGGCTCAAAAGATCGTCACGCCACAACCCGACATTGCGGTCGAGAATGCTGGGGAACCTGGCTCAACCACGCTGACTCGCCCGACCAAACTGATTTCGCTACCAATTTTAGACTTTCTTCTTAATTGCCTTTAAATGGATCAGACAAGCCATTTAAGGTTTCCCGACCCGTGATACAAGCATTCCACTAAACTCGAGACGAGAATTCTAATCCACTGCGTTGTTGGTGCAACTTTAGACGAGCAACTTTCGAAACTTCTACATTCTATACGCGGCTTTTACGACTGCATGCTTGCAATGACGTTTGTGTAACAGCGCCCTATTGATGACGCCTTTTAGACTAGGCTGCGATCTGCAAATCTGGAAGTCTCCGCCTAAACCTGACGACCATGCTGCAACTTGCTCAATCACAATGACTCGCTATGTCGCTGTTGTCAATACGAGTCAACGCTTCAGTGAAGACATCGCCAAATCTGATCCACAGATGACTTGCGCCCCGTATCAGCCAAAGGAGCCAAGACATCTGCAGCGGAGCAGATGTTGATCCCAATCCTCAAGAGTCGTCTTCCCTGGACTCCACGCAAAGCTCAACAGACAACAGCATTGCAGACGATGGTTCATCTAAAAGTATTAATACGGACCAGCAGCGTTACCAACTGACAATGAACTTACTCATCATCACCTTCAGACACTCAAACACTTCCAACTTCTAGACACTCCTTCAACTTCAATATCAAAATGCTTTTCCAGCCGACTCAGCTCGTCATCCTTGCCCTCGGACTCCTGTCCGCGACCGCGACCGCTGCTCCCACCGAGATTGAGCACTTGGAGGGCCGCGCCGAGGTCAAGGACATTGGTGCTTGCTACAGCTCCAGGTTCACTTGCGCCTTCCAGGGATGCCTTGCTGGTTACACCTGCTCTCAGCACACTGGAGGCACCAGCTACTGCTGTGTCAAGTGGGGTTGTGAGTCACGACCTCCGCCCTACTACTCGTCGAATAAAACTAACGCACATCAGAAACTCGCATGTTTATGCTTGATTACCACACTTTTAATAGCCACAGGTGGTGGCTTCGAACTATTCAAATGATACCAAGACCAAGCCTGTACATACTCTAGAATACGGTCTAGCTAGTAATCTGCCCTTGAAGGGCGCTTCAGAACTTAAACCGCTGAGGCCCTGCGATACAAACCCATGACTGCGGGGGATTTCTTTCTCGCAATTGACCCACATGGATGACTACCTGACAATATGGCATGACTCCCCACTAGCATCTGCCCTTGAATGCGTTGAAGATTCACGAGAGTCAACCTAATTGTCAAGGCTTTCTGGGTCTTGCAAGTCTTCGTCTCTCCGCGAGTTGTCCTGTTCCCAACCCTTCCGATCATCTTTGGGCATCCTAATAAAGCCAAAGTCCAATACCAATGCCGCCGCAGACAGGGCCATAGCAAAGTACAAGGCGGCGCGAAAGCTCGTGACGTGACTTGCGCCATTCTTAATAAGTTGCGACTCAATGGTTCCAGCAAAGCCGAGGCCTAGACTGTTTCCATAAAGATTTAGCGTGCCGATCAGGCTTCCAGCAACGCCTTGCTCTCGCTTTCCAACGCTGTTACTGGCTATGATCTGTGCAGCCACATAAACGAAATCGGGGCAGAGAGATCCGATGAAGATGGAGGGAAACGTCTGTGCCCAGTAAATTTGCTGCTCCGGCATTGTTGCCAGCAGCAAGCATGACACGATGGAAGCCAAGATCCCGATTGCCATGATGCTCTGCGCTTCGATGCGGGGGATCAACCACGCCGCCAGTCCAACTGACATTGAGGCGCCTACAGCGTAGGGAATCCATCCTATGGCAACATGAAGGACAGTCCAATTTCGTAGGAGCTGTTGCCAGGCGACCATGTACCACAGGCTGATGCCAACGGACATGTATGTGAGCAATGCCACGAATATTAGGGCCGTAAATGTTGGGGCGGCGAAGACTGTCAGGGGCATGATGGGTTCCTTGGCAAACTTGCTTTCCCAAACCATGAAAGCTATGAATAGGAGAAGGGACACGATGATGGTGGAGATGACGGACGGAGAATCCCATCCAATAGATGGTGACTGGCTGAGTGGTTGTTAGATGGCGCTTTTGAGAGAGCTTAGTTATCAAACTTACTTCCAAGCGAAGTTGAATAGCAGCAGGCCACCAAGACTGAATACGATACCCAGATAGTCGATACTGCCCCCCTTATCCACAGGCTCGTCATGTGGAAGCACAAGAAACAGGGATCCAAACATAACGGTTCCCAAGATAGCGCTATCCTTTGTCAGGTCGGTCCTGTTCAACCATGGGTTAAAAAACTTACATCACTATGAAAAACCATTTCCATTCGGTATACTCTAGGAATACACCGGCTAACAGAGCTCCAACGAGTGCGCCACATGGTGGTGAAGCTGCAAAAGCGGCAAGCGTGATGTTTCGGCTCTGTCCTGGCGGAATCATGATCGTGAGGACTGCAACAGCGTTCGGCATGATGATACCACCGCCGATTCCGGTCATGGCCCTCATAGCCACAAATGACTCGTAAGTCTTGCAAAAGGCGTTTCCTAGAGAAAAGACGACAATAATTCCACCGCCGAGAAAGAGCATGTTCTGATGGCCATAGATGGCCCCGAGTCGGCCACTTATTAGGACGAAAGCGCTTTGAGTCAGTCTAACACAAGTCTGTCAGCTCAATGCATATCATCCAGGCGTTTGGGATGCAAGACGAACGAGTATGCCGCCCCCATCCAGTTAGCCTGCCCAGGTCCAAACTCTCGACCGAGCTCAGCGCTGAATTGAAATCCGCCTGCAACGGTAGAAAACATGGAGATAAACTGGATAATCGTCAGCGATGATCAAGCACTGCGGAGGGCAGCCTCACTTGTGTCAAGTTGCAGAGTATCACCAGACATGTAATGACAATTTGTGAAGGTTTGCTAGGTTGCGGTGCCGTATCGATTTCAAAAGTGGCTCTCTCTACGGGAGGAACTTGTGATGTGGCCGTGGCCACGCGGTCGATAACGGAGGCCTCGACGTCGCGAGATGCATCTTTCGTATCCTGATCCTGAGATACGCGTGGTAGGATTGTTGTTGATTGCATTGCTTGACAGAGGCCTGGAATCATTTAGTGTAGTGTTTCTAAGGGGTAAAGAGGTATGAAGGCGAAATACGAAGGTGCGTTGCTTCCCTCCCTGTCTTGGACTGTTGCTCGGTTTTTTACTTCATTTCTTACTCCAACCTAGGAATAAAGGACCAGACGTTTCAATTATGGTCAGTTTGATGACCAATTCGAATAATTCAAAAATGACCTAAGACGAGGCATGTCTATCTCTATGAGGTAGTGGAAGCCTATGGCACAGGAATGCTCCATTTGGACCACAGTGTTTTATTGGATACACCGAAAGGACGTCCCAAATGGGTTAAAGTTGCCGATACACCAACGAACTGGATGTTGACTTTTAGGCGGGGAAGCGGGGCAGATATTCCAACAATAGCCACACCGGCGGCGCCTAATACCAGCATGGTGCGTCCCGGGGTGGTAGGATATCAGAATTTGCTGCATTTCTGCCTTCTCATCGTTCCAGTCGATCGGTGCCTGTCTACTTCTCGCGGACGAACCAATCATCAACACGTAATTAGCATCCTCATTGTGGAATTCGTCGTGATAGTCAAAACATCGAACAGTAAGACTCCGCGACGCGCAACATGTTCGTTTGCTCATGTAGATTTCCTTTCCTACTCTCCATAAAGTCGTCGACAGGATCGTTGGAGCACGGTATCTGTAATCTTACTTGAGTCTACCAAGAATGATCACCAGTCATCGCTGCAATGGGAATTCTAGGACATGATAAAACATCACGAATAAGAAAGAGAGTCATCGAGATAATAATTCTTCGTTTTAAGAAATCATATGCCGATTAAGAGGCGACTAAACTAGGTCCACAGGGACGTACTTCGACCAGTCTCCCTTCGCCTTGAGGAAGTCCAAGGGCTCCATGTGCTCAACCGCTCCTCCGTAGGGCCTGCTGACGTACCAACCGAGGAATCTCTGGATTCTTTCTGGAAACGTCTCAAGAACTTCAAGTGGAATGGCCAAGTACTGGTTCTCTTCCTGGCGACACCAGCCCGGAGTGGAGAAGGCGCTAAGAAGAACACTCGGGGCCGAGGAAGTGTTCGAGGTCACACCATAGTAAACGGACCCCAAGCTGTCGAAAATTGTCAGTGAGCATATGATCTTGTAAAACTGCAGCCAACGGGTATGCGAACTTACCAGAGAAGAGCATCACCCTTGCGAAGCTCTACGAGCGTCTCGTCATCGTCCGTAGGGTCGCGAATGTCGTTCCATCTATTGGACCCCAAAACCACTCTGATAGCCCCGTTTTCCTTCGTAATATCCGTAGCGGCAAACGCGATGCCGAAGTCCGTCTCGCGCTTTGCGGGATGCTTGGTGTGGTGGCACTCATCTTGACGGCGGAGACCCCATCCCGGAAGGCCGGGTTGCGCAGTCAGAGCTGTAGTCATCGAGACCTGCGGCTCGGCAGTGGAGACCGTTCTCTCCTTTTCGTAGTAGATGACACAGGTATCAGTAAGGAGACGTTTGGTGAGTTCGATGTACAAAGGATTCATCAGCATCTCGGTGGTGAAAGTTGAACTCTTGCCGGCGAGACCATAGACCCGGCTGTCAGAGATGGTGCCAAGTTCGGACAGGGCTTTGTCGACAGTCTGGACGCTGGCTGCGCCTTCGATGATGACAGCTCCATCGCCTTTGATGGCCTCCAAGACATCGCCTGCGTAGGCAGTAGGGGAAAAACGCTTAACGGAAGCCATAGTGTCAAGATCGGGTTGGTTTGGGAAGAGCTTAGCGAGACGTGGTAATGATTGCGACGAGAATGCAAACTTAGTTTCAAACAGATGTTTTGGACATTTTGATGTTGTGATATGAATAATTATATAGGACCGTAGGCTGTTTGGCAGACCAAGACGGAAAGTCGTTATCTTCAATACTTCGCAACTTGATGCCAGTCTAGCAGTTGCCCAGTGTTTTCTGGGCACAACGCGGAGCTATCGCTTAGGTTCGCTTAGGTCTGTTAATTCACATCGCCTTATCAATACCCAGCATAGGTCTAACTTGCGAGGCCTACGGATATTCCCGATCAGTATTTCGCATTTCGTGGGGCACCTGGTCTCGCAGATGAGTGCTTCAAGAGCCAGGGGTGTGTCTGGGTCGGTGTTATCGCACCCAAAACCCGGTTCCTAGCCTAGCATTGCCACTTTGGGAAGTGCAACCGCGTAACACGCGACAAGCCAGTGGCGCTCCAACCAGGCCCGCACTTTGGACAGACTAGCCGTGCAAATCGAAGATGGCAGTTGTTCTTGAATCTATGCGATTGAGAGAACGATAAATAATGAGGCTTATTCTGTACGAAATGACCTGTGAAAACTCCACATCATCAGCTCGCTAACCGCCGCACAATACAACGTATCAATTGCTACCTTAGATTTACATCAGTCTCGTTGTCAACATGCCCAACCCTCCTCACCAGGCCAAGAACCCGGAGATCACCTCCCTCCCAGCGACTGCTCCGATTGAGGAGATTGCGAATGTCATTCGGCGAGATGGCGGCATCATCATCAAGGGTTTCGTGACCCCAGAGGATATTGATCAGATGGATGCATAGTCTGCTCCCTGGTTCGAGAAGCTAAGGACGCTCAAGTACGAGGGTCACCTCTTCCCCCCCTCGGACCCTCCTCTCAGGTATGGCAGTATCAAATCTTTGAACAGACCACTTTTGATCCAGTTACTGAGTTTGCTTCCGTAGCAATTTTGCGGGCAAGTCCAGGACCTTCTCCCACAAATGCATCAATCACCCCACCTACCGCGACACCGCAAAGGAACTGCTACGAGAGGTTTCGTAAGTCTTCCCATCACGCCTTCGATACTTTGCGTGTAAGCTGATGTTGACCCATACAGGCGCCCATTCCGTGACGGCAAGAGATACGAATGCGTCTCGAACCCTGTTCTAGCAGTTTCGGAGGCCTTCTCTCGCGGCAAATCTGCCGCTCAGCCCCTCCACCGCGACGACATGGCCCAACACTTTGACCACATTGAGGGCAGTGGCGAAAGCAGTCTGCTAGGTCTCTTGGTTGCCGGTACCGTAAGTGAAGTGCCCGAGGTCCCCTCTGACACTGGGAACGCCACTAACCATCTTGAAGCGCTGCATCTACGAGAACGGGGCGACTCAGATCATCGTTGGTTCCCACAAGTGGCCCAAGGCTGATCAGAGGGGTCCTGCCGATCGCTCGCTCTGCTCCACCGCGGAGATGGACAAGGGTGATGCTGTCTTTATCATCGGCAGTGTCTGGCACGGTGCTGGTGCCAATCAACTCGAGAACGAGAGAAGAAATATCTACTCGTGTCACATGACCCGCGGATCGTACCGCGCGGATGAGAACCAGTATGTTGGCATCCAGCACGATGTCATCAAGACGTACGAGCCCCAGGTTCAGGCTCTTCTGGGATACTCAATCAGCGAGCCGTTTTGTGGCCATGTCGATATGAAGGATCCCATTGAACTTCTGGGCAGTAAGGAAGACCCATTTCAGTATGGCACCTTTGAGGGCAGGCCTCTGGCGACTACCGTCGCGGCTTGAGGTAATACGGGATGTCGGGCTGGAACTGAGATAGATTGAGTAATTCAAATTTAAGGTTCTGAGACTTTCACTATCCCACATGTTTTGGTCTTAAAGAACCTTCATCCAAATGTACTTTAAGGTCTAATTATCTTGTCCAACTGCAATGCGAAAGCGATCGGGTATTCAGAAACTGCCGATGAAAGTAGCATTGGATTGCTAAAGTAAAATATTCAATTCCATCCCCAGATTTTCCATGACAGTCCTCCACTTGGCCGTGCCGGAGCCATCGCTGTCGAAAGTTCCCCAGAGACTTTGAAGCACTAACACTATTGAAAGTGGTGCAGTGAACCCCAACGTAGAGTGCATCTTCTTGAACGCATTTTCACAAGTGGATCTCGCAGTTTCTGTCTGCGCATGAATGGCAATCATGAAAGCCGGCCAAAGACATGCTTGAAGCCAGGACAGCTTCTCAAACGCCACCAGAGATACTTCCACGCATGCTTGAATCCAGGAACTACTGGAGCTCAGACCATAGATCTCGTGATATACATAACACAACATGCCTTGCTTCCAGATGCTGTTGAAATGTTGAGTATCATCCATGTACCCTGGAGTCACTGAGGCAACACCTGGCTGCCAACCTTCGATCTTTCTCACCACATCCGCAACCTCGGGCATCATTTGCAGAAGCTGTTCAGTGCTGTCGGGCTGAGACTTAACGTAATGGACAGCGATGGAGAGATCGGCGACTTCACGCAGCAGAATATGCATGCTGTAGTCTGGCATATTTGCCCGCCAGTGGTGTTGCTGGACCATGAGATCGGGGATAGTGTTGAACCGAGGTTCTTGGACTAGAGAAGACATATTAGAAGAGACCATGGAGCAGAGGCCATCATCTTCTTACTTGGGAGTATCTCAAGGGGCGCGAGATCATCCATCATTTGGAGTTGCTGGGTTCCTAGGAGGAGTGTCCGCCCCATCGTCGACATCCAGTTGTACTGTATTTGCACACACTTCATCTCAGAGCTGACCTGGCCTTTTGATCTTGACAGACCCTGTTCCAGTAGTCGACGGCATCCCACCAACTTGGAACTCCATGAATCCATCCCAGTGCCAATTACCTGGGGTATATTGTCAGTTGAGTGGCCGAGATACTGAGACCCAAAAAATAGCTTACGTCAAAGATAATCGACAAGAGAACTGTAGCCCCTAGGCTCCAAATCTCTTCGTCTGCCTGGAGCGCCTCGCGAAAAGAGTCCCTCATATCTGCTCGATAGGTCTTAATCGTGTCGTGGGGAAGATCGCCAAGTTTAGTTAGATGAAGGGTCGATGCGAAAAGGATGGCGTTACGGAGGGGTCGAGAGCCTCTCGCCAATGCCCCGTACACGGTCTTGTATGGATTGCGGTAGGGCTCCACTACCGGAAGAAGTCGTGACGCAAGATTGTCGAGAACTTTTGAGGTCGTCAGCACCAACTTCGGAATCAAAGAAATAACCGAGTAGGCGATTGAAGGACATCTTACAGTGTTGCAGGAGGTAGACTTCCGAAGGCCGACTTGACCGAAAGATGGCCAGTGGTGGACTTGTCGAGCGCACAGGCCTCTGATCTCTGTCCACGATTTTGCCATCGCGTGCTCGCTTTCCGACTTCATTTGCTATACCATCGCCATCTGTGCCTGTTCTTTGTGTGGGTTGTGCCAGGGCGGCTGTCTGGAAACAGTCCCACGGCATGGTTGAGAACATTGACTCGTCGAAAGTGGTCCAGAGTGCCGAACCTGCCTCGATATCTTCGGGACTTGACATCCCGGCCAAATTTGCATCAGAATATACTTCCCACCACCTGTCCATCACACACTTATCTTTGCCCCCTCTTGGGGTATCTGCGTGATCGGTAGACTGGTTGTGAGATGTAGCAGAAGATGGGTCTATGCTTGCGTCGTCATCCGAAGACCGCCCCAAGTGATTCTGTTCTTCTGATTGCTCCTTGCGCAGTGTTTCTTGGCCATCAGCGTTGGATAGGGTTGTGGGTGAGTCGCCAACGCTGGCTGATGGCAGGGAAGCACAAACCACAGCAGGGGCTTTGACACTGGGCTCGATAGCCGGGATGTTCTTCTGCGGTTGAGTGGCATTCTGCGGCTTTGGCCCACTTGCCGCCTGTTGCGACTCATTGGGCTGTTTGCGACTGCGGCCTTGCCTTGGACGGGATTCGTTTGGTGCTCCTCTCACTATCTTTGACACCATCTGCATATGTCCATGAGACCCGCCGCGCGAGGTGAAGTCTCCTAGTTTGACCCCATACCCCCCGCATTCTACGCCTCTCAAACGACAGTTGAAACACCCCGGTTTCCCTTCATCGCACTTTTGATGCCTCTTTCGGCAGGTCCAACAGCCTTTGTTGAAGGTTAGTAGGGTTGGATAAGGAGCGACTGATAGGTAAGGCGAACCGCTTCTGGATCTTCTGGTGTTCATGGCTGGTAAGGGGGCGATTGAGTGGGATCTGGGCTTACGGCGGCTCGGCTTGATTCTGTAGCTTTGTGTAGAGGAATGCAGAATGTATGTTTGAAGTTGGCATCCAGAACGGCACAGAAGCCGTTTCCCAGAGCCGGATAAGACAATATCCAATGCGGCTACACTCGACGCAGCGTCAGCTCCATAATAGCACGCTAGGGCTACCGATACCCGCTGAGAACGGATACAGGGATGCTTATCAACCCCGCGATCTGGTCACAAAGTAGGTGCTTAAACTCATCCGGGGTGTGGTTATCTGGCCAACACATAATAAGGGGACTTCGTAATCTTCAATGTTCCAAATAACATTGGCCGTTGAGAGGCATTGCCCCAGGAATCGGCATAATGCGCAGCCAATCGGAACGGCTGCAAAGCCTTTTAGCACTGAACGGCCACACATGGTTTTCCCTAACGCAGATAACATTAACGAGATAAGCATGCAGCATCCATGGATCCTGCTGATAGTCAACTGAAACCTGATCGGGACTAGCTTTCGCAGAGTTCATGCCTGTGATGCCCTAATCCCTTTCCAGTAAAATTAGTGCTATCCCAACGAAAAAACGTCCCTATCGCAGAATACAACGAACAAGATTGCCAGCTTGAATGTCTATCACGACTGGCTTCACATGTCGCATCCCGCAATGATCCACACAGGTCTTGAAGCAACAGTTGAGTATTGAGGTGATAGGATGCTTTTGAGTAAATTTTGTAGAGCATCAAATAGACATGCTCGCCGACGTTTGAAATCCTGTTGATGATCAAATGTGTGATTGAAACCTGTAAAGGAAGTATTACAAGCAGCCGTTAAACCTCTTTGCAGCAACTCTAAACAGCCAAAATGTCGCAAGTTGAAACCCCCAGCGACCATCTTCCTCATACCTTTGGGTTATGGAGTGGAATCAGCATAGGATGGCTGACTCTGAACGTCTTCGGAGGCATGTCCTTCATACTCTTCGTTGGGCTTTCAGCGGGAGGTATTCCAGCTATTCTTTACGGCTTGTAAGTTAATTGCGAGGTTTCTACAGAAGTAAGCTGATAGAAAACTAGCATTGGTTCCAGTATCTGCGTGCTACGCATCATCATTACCTTCGCCCAGTGCGCGGCCCGGTACTCTACCGCAGGTAAAGCTCTTTTCTTTACTTCCGACCGACAAGAAAATGACACTAATATCATCAAAGGGGGCGCCTACCACTATGCAACCTTCTTGATCCCCGAAAGATACCGCCGTCAATGTGCCTATCCTCTCGGATGGCTCAACTACTGTGGCTGGGTCTTGACGCATGCTGCTTGCTGCGCCATCGTCGCGACATTGACCCTGGCACTGGTCAACTTATGTCAGCCCGAGTTCGACGTGACTACAAGATGGCAGCTGTTCTTGGTATATCTCGCAATGGTGTTCGGATGTTGTTTGATCAACCTATTCGGGCTGAGGGGAATTCCCACACTCGAGCTGGTAGGATGTATGTTGCTCTGACAAGGTTGAAATTATGAATTGGAAGAAACTCAAGTGTGCTGACAAAAGACAAAGGCTGGGCTACAGTGTTCGTTTTTGTGGCATATACAATCGCCCTCCTCGTCAAAGCACCCAAAGCCACACCGCATTCTGTGTTCGTTCAGACGAATAATGACACAGGGTGAGTGTCAACGGCACAAGAGAGTGACACATGCTATTGAGAAGCTCTAGAGATTGACGATGAATAGGTATTCCTCCACGGGCTTTGCTATCCTGCTGGGATTGTTCAACAGTTTCTCTACGCTGATGGGTCTCGACTGCCCCACGCACTTGGCCGAAGAAGTGAAGAATCCCAAAAAGGTCATCCCCAGGATTCTTCTGATTGTCATCATCTCACAATTCTTCGTCGGAGTTGTTTGGATTCTTGTCCTGGGCTTTTCCATCGGCGACCTACCCACCATCATCGCAAGCCCCACTGGGTAAGCCCTCAACGTGATGACTGCATGTCCTCCGGCTAATCTGCAACCCAGTGTTCCAATTCTCGAGCTTATCAGACTCGGTACCGGAAGCGATGCTGCAGCGATTGTGTTTTGCATCATCCTTATCATCAACCAGGCCCCTTCTGCCCTGGGAAGCGCCGTGACCATGCGCCGGCAAGGATACGCTTTTGCCAGAGATGGAGGATTGTTTTGGAACCACAAGTGATTTATCTTGCCAGCTGGATGATACAAGAAATCGAAAGACATACTAACGACTGACTGAAAGGCTTACAGAATTGTCGCCACGAACCCAGCTTCCGGTTTGGTCCATCAACGTGCCCTCAGCCCTGGTCGCTCTGATTGGTTTGATGTAAGTCGTGAGCAATTATGGAGAGTCAAATGCTAATGCTATGGCATAGTTACTTATTCTCAAACGCCGCCTTCAACGCAATTATTGGTTCGCAAGCGGTGTGCATGATCATCAGTTTCGGTATGAGTGACCACCAACCGTGTGGAAATCAACGCTTACGAGGAACAGGATGCCCAGCGCTCATCATGCTGCTGACGAAGAGCTCAACCCTGCCAGAAAGCAAGAGCTGGAATTTTGGCCGACTTTCAACACCTATCTACGTCATTTCCTCCTTGTACTCTCTTCTGGTTGTCATAGTTGCCCTGGTAAGCCTGGTAGGCCTTTGCGATCATTTGAAGCGGTTCGACTAACGGAAATCTCTGCAGATCCCCCAGGTCCACCCGGTTACAACGCTGACCATGAACTACACGAGCTTGATAATGGGAGTCTTTGGTACTGCCATGACAGTGGCATGGTTCTCCGAGGGCCGAAGGCTTTTCTCGCCACCGACGTATCACGAGATTGGGTTGACTGTCATGGATGGCTTATCGTTCAGCGAAGGACAGGACGAGGAAACTGGAGAGAAACGTGGAGGGCAAGTAAAGGTTGGAGATGGACAGCAATTTGTCAGCGAGGCAATGACGTGAGCTGGTACTGAAGATTCAACTCCTAAAGGCATGTCCAAGGTCTCACAATCTACCCCAGATATTTCATCATGATAGAGAGGCGACCCATAAGATCGAGTGCCAACATCGGCTCTGCAAGTCAATTAGGGTTAAAGAGACAGTGTGTGTGAAATACATAATAGACTAGTCGAAACTACACCCGTTGAAACGACCATGCCTGCCTGGCGCACAATGTCTATTAAACTTTACAACATCGTGAAGGTTCTCGGAGGATTCCCATGCTGTGACCAAACCTCCTGTGGCTTCCAGGGGTGGAGATGAGCTGCTAAGAGCCGCCGTGTGAGTATGGCGAGGCCAGCGCAAAGATTCGCCAAATCCAAATCAGCTACGGCTCGCTGGGCACAAAATGTAAAGCCGGTGCTCAGTACAACTGCAGTTCATGCTGAGTGCGTAAAGGCGCGCGGGATTCCTTGCTATCACTGTCCATGTTGGGCAAAGCTGCTAAGCGATACCCGCGGGTAACTTAGCCGTTTATGGCGAGTTCCGGGGCATTGATGAATTTGCTCCCAGAATACGCTCAGGCTATGAACACCTATGGCATGCATCTTCTCTTAGGATTTGGGAGTAGCTGCCTGCAATGTAGGTTTCCTCCACCATGCTCACATACCATATATCGGCAAGGTTTGAGCCTTCGACTGCGACCTCACAAGCGTGCCCATATCACTCACGAACCACATCAGCAGAAGAGCAATGGCACCAACACATACTATATCCACGCATCTGAGCAAAACCTTGTCAAATTCATGGCGAGGCCTTCGGGCACAAACAGTCAAAGCTGGCACAATCCAGCAGCCAGACACTCAAGACGAACTACCAACCTTTTTGTACATCGAGTCGCGAAAACGATGCAGTCTTTCTCCCGACACACTTGCAAATTCAACACCGAACCATAGATCTCGCCCTGAGCCTACACCCAGGACGAGTTGACCGAGGAAGCGGCAGTCTGTGGAAGGAATTAGCATTTAGTGTAGCACACGAGGCGACGCAGATTTCCACAGAGATGGCATCGAATTGGGAATGTCAGAGCACATGTTTAGTGGAGGGCGAAGATGGAAGGGTCGATGTCCTCAATCAAGGAGTCTTCATGAATCGTAATCCAACATAATTTTCCACGAAATCACACTTTCAGTATGTCTTTGTGGCCATCTCGACAAAGATGAGATGTCCTCAACATTCCGAATAATTACCCATGATGCCGTAGCCAGTAGAGACCTCGTGTTGCAGAGCTTTCCCCAAACCACCCACCCACAGCAACCTTTCCGTGCCCCCGTTCGTAGTGTACCAATGAGCCCTTCTTGCGTCTCTCATGCTGCGCCTCGATGCTTTAAACAGTAGTCGAGGGCCAGCCGTGTCAAGAGCGGCCCTCATGGCGACAAATGAACCTGTTTCTTCACCCAGTCAGCAAATGAGTCAAGACCCTACTGGTAAGCCACACTCGTCACCCCCTGTTGTGTTCCCCATTTCAGAGCCTGCATCTTCGCTATGCGGCTCAACAAAGAGGCTGCAGACCGTCGCGCACCGCAGGAACATCCTACTGGCGAGGTAGGACTGCCCGACACCCGACTTGCTAGGAAGAATGCCGAGTCTTTCTCCGGGCGGCTGCCTCACGGCAGAATTGGCTTTAAACTACAGGCTGCTGATGACGTCGCGAGTGTTATCGGTTACCCGCACGCGACGCATCGGACACGAGCAGAGCCGGAAACGAGAGTGAAGGATGCTCGGCGAGCCCGATTCCCCCCGCGGCCTTCGCAGGGCTCGACGTCATTGCATGAACCCACTGGACCGCCCCTGAACGTCTTCGTGTGTGACTGTTCGGGTTATGCGATTTGATCGCTTCGCGCCGACAGTGGGAGGGAAAGACGCCCAGAGGAGTTTGAGACCAAAATGCCGCTCATGTCCAAAAGCAGTCCTCGGCTGCAGCGAGAGAGTGGTTGCCCCTTCCAAAACGGGTGGCGGTCTGTCCAAATGACCCATGGCAATCGGCTCGCGTCAATCTGCACTTCCATATCCGAGCTCTCGACAATCTCAAGGTCCTTAGGGTCCAGCGGGCAAGATGGGCAGGTGGGGGAAACACGGAAGGACGAGTGCTGGGACACAATAAAATGATTGTGGTGCTTACCGCCGGAATTCGAAGCCGTTATGGTAGGTAGTTTCGCCTGAAAAGGCGATGTCGGCAGCGACAATCGCGTCGGAACGGGGGAGGGACCTGAAGGAGCTTGTGTCAATGATAAATCGTGAGAGTGAGGTTAAACTGGGACTTACCAACGCAATCCAGAAAGGTCGACATCAAAATAAAACCCGCGACTAAAAGTTCGTGAGCGGCGAAAAGATGAAGGACGTCGAACAAGCTCAGGCGATGGCGGCGATAGGATCGAAAATGGCTAGGGAGGCGGATGGTAGGTGTGAAAATTGAAAGGCTCCAGGCAGAAGATGGCAATTGAAGAAGATGGGAAAGAGGTGACAGCAAGAACAAAGGCGAAGAGAGGATATTGGCAAGGAGTTGTGGGACTGGTGTTTGGGTAGATCGGTGGGAGGGGAAGGGGTTGTCGAGAGTGAGAGGGAGGCTACTTGTAGGCCAGGGCAAGATCCTGAGTAGCGACCCAGAGACGCACAACCCACAAGATCAAACAAAATCAGGGGAAAATGAAATGAAGTGACCGTCCAGAAATAAGAAGCGCACACTGGATTGTTGTGGCAGGTGAACCACAGGAGTTGATGGAGACAGGGTTTGGGAAAGAGGAGACAACTGGAATTAGAAGGAGCAGCTCTTACAAACCTCGACACTTGAACGCTTAAATGTGAAATAAATGACATTATCGAGCGTTCGAAGGTAGGAAGAAGCCTTTTATGAAGAAAAAGGATGAGAAATAAAGAGTCGGGCGACGTGGCGATGCGTTGGCGGGTAGTGGTGAGTGAGGCAGAAGCCTAGCCAAGAAAGTCGGGTGTACCTGAGAAATAAATCTGAGGAGAAAAGTAAAGTACGGTTGAGCCGAGGTGGATATGACGTAATCTACTGTTCGGTAAGAGATCAGAATTTTCTGAATAAGTAGGCAGAGGAAGGAACGGAACTCCTGAGAGGGCAGGAGCAGCTCGCGGGATGGCCATGAAGGGCCATCTATCGAAGAAACCAACATAAGGTATCCAACCCAGCCAGATCGCAATTGTGTAAATCTCACGATAGGGAAGGCACTAACCGATACTCAAGTTGATTGTTCCTGCCAGGATTGTTCTAAAAACATCGACTTACAGAGAGCCAAAGAAAAAAACAAAGCAATTGTATGTGTTGAAAACAAATGACTAACAACAGGAAATAAAGGAGCCCAATCTTTGTTGAACAGTTCCTTCCTCACCTGGACCTGCTGAAAAACAACCTTGAAAGCTTAAAAGGCGCGCTTTTCGTCCTCTCAACTGCACGTTTCCTCCAAACCAAGCTGATCAGCAAACCTTCCTCAATCCAATAACAACAACAAACCCAGGTTCACAACAACCATCATACCAACCTTCATCTTTCTTTCTCATGCATACTAGCACCTTCAACATGGCGGACATCAAGGAGCCTGGAGTTGTGATTGCCGATGTGAGTATGAGCTTGGTCTTTTGTTCCACTTGAGCTGACATCATGCCTGACAGATCTACACCATCGTGAAGGGAGATACGCCATACGTCTTCCCTGGCCTTGAGTTTGCCGTGCCGACTGTGGAGCTCAAGGCCGCCAAGGCTCAAAAGGAGAAGGAGGACCGAGATGCCTATTACACAGGCTTCAAATCTTGGAATGATGTTCCTGATCCTATGGTGGTTGCCTTCCTCCATCAGGTGAGTCTTCTGGCGCTTTTTATGTTGTAGTCTCTAACATAAGGCAGGGTGAGGACGCTTTCAATGATATGGAGACCGCAGCGGTCGCAGACGCCTCCCTGCGAAAGGCAACCCAAGAACTGCAAGAGATGCACCATGCGCAGCTGGCTGCCTCAGAGGAACAGCAGGATGTTCTGCGCAATGAACTGGATAAAATGAAGTTGCAGTGCGCTGCTTTCATGGAGGCCATCAACAAGTTGCAGGTGGAGAACCAGAACCTGGGCGACAAGCTTGCTGAGTCCACTACAAAGCACCCTCAATGATTGCCAGGCACGTTCTTCATGCTTACCTTGGACAAAGGGACGACAATGGGTGTTTTCAGGAGTTCAATGGGTACTGGTCATCATGGCGGATCGAAAGGGACGTTTGAAGAACGGGTCATTTGATTCGATTCGTAATTACATAGGCACACTAAGAACAAGCTTTGCCCTTCAACTAGCCTTTTCGAGGCAGTTCAGTCGCAGCAGGCGCTTCTAAGGGGATGATTGTGAAATAGAACGGATAATTGAGGTAGATATCAAGTTCCGGGTCTTCGATATCATCACCGATGCCGTCGCCGCCGTCCGCAGTAGGAAGTGTCGTGTTCGCTGCTGATGATGTGGTTGATGTTGCCGTTGCCAAGTTGTCATTCAAAGATGCAGATTCAACGCTAGATGTTGAGGGCAAGATTGGCACTGTACTCAAGGTTGAAGGGACTGAGGTAGGTGCCAACGACGTCGACGAACCTGATACTGAGCCACTGTTTTGGACAGAGGGCGATAGTGTGCCTGTGGATATGGAAGGAGTCGAGCTCGGGGCTGCCGGACTTATGAATGACGCCCCGAGCGCGTCGCTAGCAAGTAAACTCGAGGCAGGCGTCAACGATGTCGACGAGCTTTCTGCAGGGCCACTGTTTTGGACAGATGATGCGCCTGCAGAGATTGAAAGGGTTTGGTCGGGGCCTGTCGGACTGATGAATGACGCCCCAAGCTCATCAGTGTTCAGCGAGCTTGAGGCAGGCTCGGACGATGTGGACGAACTGGTTGCCGGGCCGCTGTTTGGAGCGGAGGGTGATGATGCGCCTGCAGATATGGAAGGAATTGAGCTCGAGGTTGTAGGACTAATGAAGGACGCCCCGAGGGCATCGCTTTCCGGTAAACTTGACGCGGACGCGGTGCCTGTATTTCCTGAGGCCGAGATACTACCAATGCTTGATGAGCCAGGCGTGATCTGAATGCCTGGGACACCTGCTGAAGTTTGGGTACTCGACACGGCTGGTGTGATTTGGCTATCTGGCACGACTAGAGTGGATGGGCTATTTGACGCAATAGGTGTGGCTTGGGTGTTTGAAACCCCTGGTGTGATTTGACTGTCGGAAACGGCTGGCGGGGTTTGGATGCTGGGCGAGCCTGCGTCAGTTTGCGAGGTTTCGGGGCTTGGTGTGACCTCGATGTCCAGATCCAACGTTTCTGGTGTTTGACTTGGTTCATCTTGTGTGGTTGATGGCAACCCGATCGACGAGTTTGTAAAGGGGAACGGCGGAGAAAATGTGCTTCGAGTGCTGCTTGGGTCAAGGGTTGGGAATTGCTGAGAGAGAGAAGGGCTGGGATCCTGAGTGCTAGCTGTGGTCGAGGGCGCGGGAGTAGGTGTGAAATCCGGTGCACCGCTGCTGGTGCTAGAAGAATCTGGATCAGATGATGCTTCCGGAGTCGTACTAGAGGAAGGGCTGAAAGTTGTTGCAGCCCCAGCAGATGTCGTGGTAGTTGCGGAATCCGTGTCTTCAGACTGTGCTGTTGAAACCAGGGGCTCAGTGGAGCTGCCAGTAATTGCCATGGAAGTTGAAAAAGGAGGGTCCGAGGACGATGACAAGATATCATCGTTGCTAGACTGTGTGCTGCTAGCTTCACTGTTGGTAGTGGGGCTGCTTGTTGTCTCTGACTCCGGGACAGGCGTTGTGGATGTATCAGTCGACAACACGCTGGTTGGTGAGGCTGAAATGATATCGCTGCTGCTCTCAATATCGCCATCAGAAGAGCTGGTGGTACTCTCAGTTACTGTGCTGCTGGAGCTGGTGACATCGTCTGTTGACGATACAGTGATGCTCGTACTGGAAACACCAGTCTCTACAGGGCTTGATGTGGACGAAAGTTCATCAGCTGTATTGCTGCCACTAGGAGTGACAGATGTGCTGGATATGAGGTCGGAGCTTGAGGTATCAGAGCTTGTAGTAGCACTCGAACTTTCTGTCAAGTCGGTACTCGAGCTAGAGCTGGCCTCCAGAGAAGTAGAGGACTCATCCGTTGAGCTTGATGGTGTGCTGGAGCTAGATGTCGTATCAGAGCTGAATGCCGTGCTGGTTTCTGTGTCGGAGCTAGATGTTGTATCGGGGCTCAGTTCTGTGCTGGTTACTGTGTCGGAGCTAGGTGTTGTATCGGGGCTCAGTTCCGTGCTGGTTGCTGTCTCGGACGTTGAACTCGACTCGCCAATTGAACTTGATACTGTGACAGTGGAGGATGCGTCATCTGTGCTGACCTCAAGAGTTGATGAGGATGTAGAAGAGGTCCTGTCTGTGGATGAAGTTGTTGAAATAAGAGGATAGTCGCCGCGGTAGTACACGTTGGCTATGACGACTGTTGGGTCTTCCGGATATCCACCGCAGAACGCTCCCGCTGGACCCCCCGAGCAATCAATATAGCAGTTCGATTCATCTGTCGGGAAGCCATTTAGGGAATTTTGGGTATCGCAGTAGCAATCATCGGCGACCAGAATGGCGTACAAGCGGCTTGGGGTTGCGTCCACGTAACATGCCTCCTGGCAAGTAGCCGGCGTCAAAGCCTCATCTGTCAGGACAAGTTCTGTCGTTGTGCTGAATACATAGATGTTGGTACACCCTATTGCAATAGCTCCGGGTAGAGCGTAAGCCTGCTGACTGCTGGTTTGTGCCAGTGTCAAATTCGGGCTGAGGAGAAGCGGCAGCAGAAATCGCACCCAGAGCAGTGGTCTTGGGACACGAAGACCGAAGCTAGAGGTCATTGTGACGACGGCGAGAAGGATAAAATTCTGAGAGAAACCCGAGTATTGACTAGCTGAGCATTAGCCTGATGCTCAGGGATATCGACCATTAATACGAGTTCGTACTTACTTACAGGTCGGGCAAGTGAAGCCATCATTCGAATAACTTCGGATACAACCCTCGGCCCGAGCCAAGGAGCCAAGCAGGGATGAAAATGTCACAAAGTGGGAAACAATGCGGTGGCGCGTAAATCGTAAGACGAGCTAGGGATAGCTAAATTTTCCAAAGGTAATGAGACCTCACGCAAGGTCGAGACACGAGATCTGAGTCAAAGTCGGCCATGCCCGCGAACCAGCAAACGCCCTTTTTTTGTCCAGGGGAGGCAAGACAAGCCCACATTACTGCAAAGGAACGACAGGGTGGAGGAAATGGTGACCAAGAATGCGATGGCAGGCTCACGATCCCTGGGCATTGGTGACGGAACCCATCCCTTTTGCGACAGTCATCCTAACGGCTGTCTTGCCCAGAATTTCGGAAGGGCATTGTTACTCAATGGCTTGTTCCCCAGCCAATCATGTTAGAGCGATGTCATCTCGAGGGGCCATTCACTCCGAAGTGACACTGGCCGTCTGCTGTCTGCCTACCCGGGCGAAAGGCATTGGCATGGTCTAGTTACCTGGGACGAACGGCTGTTTGCCCCGGCACCCTCCTTTGAGGAAATGCCATCGAGACACAATTCATGAGAGAGCGGCATGTCATAGATGGGCGGAAGTATTAGAACTGTGCTCCGGGCGGTTTGATATGGGTGATAGAGGAACGATCCGTATCATGGGAATTGAGTTTGTATTCAGCATACTTGAGAGAGATTTCTTGAAGCAGTCAAGCGTGTTCTAGGCTATCTCAACCTTAATACACGTGGCTCCCCACACGCATGAGGTGTCACAGTTTGCTACGATAAGAACACGATCCAAGCTTTATTAAAGATCGAAACTCAGCCGAGTACCGGACGAAGAGATGCTTCTTGGGGAATGAAGGAGGGATGGAACCCGAAACTAGCCTAGACAAGGATGAGCTCTTCCCCTACATTCTATTCAGTCCCGCTGTTTACTTAGACTTTGATGTACTCGTCATACTTCTCTCAAGGCATCAATTGAATTCAGGGCGTCGTCTTCCAAGAACATACAAGTAGGTATCCTGAGAGGGCCTCCAATCGTTGGGACCCCATCAGTGGCTTTGAGCTGAGGCCACAGTAATTTCTGTCAGATTTCACTTCCACATCCTCAACTGATACGATGTTGCCGCTGAATTCAAAGCCTTACTTCTTCCTCCGAAGGCTGAATCTCTGAGAAATCTGGTGAATGCTATGCCTGAATCGAGATGTGGGCCAATCCTTCTCCCTCTTTGTAGAAGGATTGCGCGCTACCGTCTTTTCCGATCCCATTTCGCGTGTCAAGCCTTCAGCTTTCTCCATCTCTACGTCTTTTTCGTTGTCGCTCGATTTGCCCTTGATATCCTTGAATGTAATGATGCCCGAGTCCAGCAGCTCAGCCATAGCCCGAGTTCCATGTTCTAACACATACTCCGTCAAGAACTTGTGATTCGGATTGTCCTTAAGAATGTAGCCTGTAGACAGCTGTCGCCTAACATATTGAGTCAGAGACCGAACCACGGCATAGTCAAAGAGACACCAGACTCGGGCGGCTTTACGCCCAGCGTAGGGGTCTACCCGTCTGGTCCAATGGGGAAAAGAGAAAACCCAGTCTGTCTGCGAAAAGTCCGGCGGAGGTTTATCGCCGCCAGGGCCGCCCAAGATAGCCTCAGCTATCTTGTTCATTTCTTCTAGATACGGAACGTAAACGTCTCGGTTTTGTCTCTCTAGCCAATGACACTGGGTGGTGAACTCGCGTAAAATGTCTGCGAGAGATTCCATCCCTGTCATGTCGTCTTCAGTCGGGCGAATAGCCCTGGCGTGCCGGATGAGAGCTGCGCAGAGAACCACGTGCGGGTCAAAGGAATCCTCTGTTGTCAGGAAGTCGCCCCCGCCTCCCTCTTCAAGGAAGTCTTTGACTGTGCGGTGCAGATACTCGACCTTTGACTCGGGCCCTGTGGTGCTGAAGGTGGGTACCTCGAGAAGCCCCTTGCAGCGGCTTTGTAGCTGTCGCCGCATTACTTCGGCTCGAATTCCCTGCTCATGGCGGCCCATTGTTCCCTGACTGTCATTCCCCAGCGCCTCCTCGGGGTCTTCGTCGATAAAAGAAAGGGAGAGCAGTCTCAGAGACGACCACGCCTCGTGACTGTCCCCTTTGACCTCGATTGACTTGTACTCTCCCACAGCTATCGACGTCCTTGGCAGATGGGATGCCCGAACTGATTGGAAGATTCTTGATGACTGCTGAAAATATGAAGGCTCGAGATCCTCCAAGAGCTTTCTGAATAGCGACTGTAGATCAGGCGGAAGGTCGTCTAGTCGCGATCGCAGGTCCTGGATTTTATCGCCATCTCGCAGTCCTTCCAAAAGAGACTTTACCACCAATGTAACCCACAAGAAGACACCAGAGGCTTTCCCCGAGACTTCGTCAATCAAGGCCCGAGTGCTTTTGTCATCCAACCATTGCAGTTGGGCGAACATAGTATTCTCTGTAAGCTTCTCTGTTGCGAACAATGTCATGTCCTTCTTTGTGAAATCTTCCATTTTAAGGGATGGCTTCCGCCGGAAGCTATCCTCAAAAACCAGCCACGGCCGGCTGGACACACACGCTTTGATGTGCGGTCCCTGGGAGAACGCGCGCAACAAGTAGCTTGTCATCTCACTGCAGTCTCCGTCTAGCTCATCTAGTCCGTCTACAATGAAAAAGAAGGCCTTGGTCTTGTCAGACAGCATCTCCGTGAATGCTTGAGAGAGCTCGGACCACGACCAAGAGCGGGAGTCGTAACCGAACAGCTCCTGGTATTCCCATCTCTCTGGGAAAAGCTTGGGAATGTCTTGAGGAAAGTTTCGAATAGTCTGATGAAGGAGAGACTGTAGAAGTCCTTCTCGAGACATCTGCATCATTGTTCCCGAGTTCCAAAAGAAGAAGCTGGCAATGTGAATGGGGACCTTCTGCCGGCCTTCCAGCTGGGGTCGGAGGCGGGCGTCATCAGACAGAAACTTCATCAAAGTCGACTTGCCTGAGCCTGGCTTGCCAGTCACCCAGTATAAGACCTCGTCCGATGTCAGCCAGCCATGGAAATTGTCCCACAGAGGATTTCTTCCCTCTGGGGGCGATGTCGATGGCTCGCTAAATATCCACTCGAACGTTTTTCGGTGGGCGACAGGGATGCGCTCATAACGGTCTCGGATATCCGCGAACTTGAGAGACTCAAGCGTACGACGTTGCATGAGCTTGTCTCGCTCTTCCTTGGCGCCGGCAGATAGGGAGGCTGAGACAAGATCAAGATAGGCAAGGCCTTCCGATGGTCCTGAGTCCAAGCTCCTCCGGGCCGTCTGGACCAGCTCGGCCTGCCACCTGCTCTTCGGCTCCACGATTGCCAGGGTCTTGTTGAGATTCTGCTCAATCTGTTGGTTGCGGTCGCGTGTGTCTTTTGTCAGATTCTCGAGCTGCTCTTTCATGCTCGCAAGCAAGATTGAATCAATCTGGCGACGATACCTCTCCAATCTCTGTGCCAAGTCGACGATGTCTTGCTCCTTCCATACGCTTCGCAGGGCTTGCGTGAAGCTATCCCATCGCGTGGCGGAGTCGGGTTTCTGAAGTGCTTCAATTGTATCGAGGAGATTCTTGCAAAGATCGCGTACTCCGTTGCAGAGAGTAGATAGATCTTTTCCAACATCATCTTTCCCCATAGGTGCGCCGACCAGCTGAATGGTAATGCGGCGACTGTGGGATTGAAGAGTTCTGGCGATGGATGCCAGCTCCTCATTCTCGACAAGGCCGCGCTGGGCTGAGTGATGCAATTGCCGACTCTTGGATATGAGATCGCTGGTGAACGTGATCGTTTGGACGATACTTGCAGCAAGACCAAATGCCGATGCCGGGTCCATGGCTGCGGACAATAGCTTCTGCGGTGTATGTGGAGAGCAACGTGAAGATGGCGCCTCGCGTAAGACCGCATTTCAGCGCTGATCTCGTCAACCAAGGTTCCATAGTTTTCATCCACAGCAGCCATTCACAGCGAGTCAGCCACTGTCATGGAAAATATGTGGCACAGCCACGGCAACCGCCGCACGAATGCATTCCCTGTCGCTAACCGATGGAATGCGATCTTCCTAACTACACACTGAGGCTCATCATATCTAATTGTAGCTTGTTGAGTATGTGAAGCTGCGAATTTCATGTAAATCAGACCGATCAAGCCTTGCTGTGCTCCTACTACCACCGGCAAGGAAGCCACTTGACTATCGGCGTTGATAGTCAACGGCTCCGTGTGGGGCCGGGGCAGCCCTACTTGGCGGCCTCGTCTCGCCGTCACGACTCGGAAACAAATGGTTCAATATTAGATGGTATTAGCTAGCGACTCTATATTTTGCAACTGGCCTTCGTTCAGACCCAACTCATACAGAGTCTTCACAGGTAGACATAACAGTAAGGTCCAGAGAGTGTGCTAAGCGCATCTCCAACAGTGATGCGAGAGTCGGATGCGTAGCCATAGTCCAGAATGTCCTCAAAAGTAGTGTTGGCGCTGGGAGGCGTGTTCAAGAACGTGTTGGTGCCGGAAATCGCGTTCTCGGTAAACTGGCGGTCGTGTGGGGAGAGCATCTGCCACATCCACCAAACACGGTCAATCATGGCATGGTGAAGGTAGAAGACTGGGTCTCCCGGACTGGTGAAGAAGTCGCGAGCCGGATCGCCTGTACGTCGATTAGCTGGGAACAACGAAGATTGAAGTGTGGAAATCACGTACCGCCAAAACTGTAATGTCCGCCTCCGTGGATACCCAACATGGTGACTGATGTCTCAGTGAAGCCCTGCATCTCATACTGGAAAGTTGAGATGTCTTTGGGGACGACGATGTTGTGGATCACAGCCGACGCATTGCAGAAGCGACGGTTGATCTCAGTGGTAAGGTCACGCTTGAGACACCTTGGGTTATAGGCAAAAAGTCCATCTGGGTTCGACTCGCTGCCTCCGCCTGGAAGCGCCAGGGCGACGGGGCCGAGGTTGACCGATAAGTCCTTGAACGGTCCGGACTTTACGCAACCACCACCAGTTCCGGAAGGGAGGCGAACAACCTCATTGCCATCGCCATCGGTAAGAATCAAATCACCCTTGCCTTCGATAAACTCTCCGTCGCCGGAGATTGACGTATCACTTCCGTCGAAGACCGGAGAAGTGTTGAGTCCCGTAATTGCAGACTTGGTCCAGTCCCAGTACTGTCATCAAGGTCAGTACGCGTCTTCAGACTCTGAAATGCCTCTTACCGGTTGAGTGCCAGTGTAGCCGCACTCCTCTCTCAGAGCCTCCTCATACAGCCAAGTAAACTGCCTGTGCCACGATAGGAAGGTTCCAGTCAGATGAATTGAGAAGGTCTGATTGATGTGCGTGGCGACGAAGTCATCGAATCGCGTCTTAGCCCCGGGGACAATCTCAGAAGGAGTTCTTGCAGGCTTGGATGTGAAACACTTGACAGCCTTGAGGTAGTCAAGTCGCTCTTGCTTGCTTAAGGCGCCCCTATAAACAGATTAGCTCAACCCGACTAGCTATTATGGCGTGAATACATACCACTCCTTGCGGATCTTGATGTTGCCGGGCGTACAAGTGCTCCCTCGCTTCTGTAGCTCTCCGCTGTTGAGAAGCTCTTCAGACTTCGCATAGGCAGACTGAGCGAGAGCAGCCAGTTCCTCGACGCCTTCAGCGGCGGCAATGGCTCCTGCGTCCGCTTGAGGCAACGGGTTGGCCAAAGCAACAGAAGTCGTCTGTAAGGCAAAGATGCCGAGAGATAGGAGGTGCATGTTTACGAAGGAATTGGAAGCCTGAGCCAATGAGAAACCGGGACGACCCAGATGGAGAGAACCTGGCTGAGTGCAGGAGAAAGCTCTCTGCAGAAGGGGTGACTAGCTTGGTGCCAGATATATGGACTTCCCATAGACTGGCATCTCTATTATTTCGGGGAAAATTCTATATCGGTCCATCACCAACGTGCTTATCGAATACTGTAGTCGGGCGTATCAATCATGCCGGACACTTTCTCAAAGCGTTGGAGATCCTTGCGAAATTTCGGTGGACCATGTCGGGTAAAAGACGACTCGTCTGAGACGAGTCTTGAGCATTGCCACCAACCAACGAGAACTCCATATCTGCAGGGCTTTTACGAAAGATCCATCCCACAGCCAATCTTGTCAACAAGTCAGCACTAAAAACGCAGGAAACGTACCCACCAGTGCAGGGAAGTTGAAGGCGGGAACCGTTGGCGATGCTTGGCTTTCTCCTCCGAGACCAGGGTTGCGGAAGGGGCGGCGGCGTGGTCAATTCGTCATGCAGACCTATGCCGGGATTACTCGACCGGCACACGGTCCGGACCCTTTGGCGACCCGGTAAATAGATTCCCTTGTCATGACCTCTTGCCCGTTGGGGAGGTGTGTCCGATGCTCGGCTGTGTTTAACGCGGGACACGAAGCATAAAAGAACCCCAGGATCTAGTCATACCTTGATTTAACGACCAACCAGAAACCAAGACAATATCATGCCATCTTGGAATCTGCAGAGCCCCTGCGTTTTGATAATCCCGGTATCGCAAATTTTGACACATTTTGCCAAGAGAAATGCCACCAACCGGCTTGCGATGGTGGCACCGGTGGACGTGGCAGGTACGGTGCATCCAGTCCAGTCCTGGCGCTTCATCGTCTCGGTTCGTCAACGAGATAGTTATCGCCTAGAAACAGGTGGTCAAGGACTTGGAAGTTGCTGTACGTAATGGCCTGATAACATTTTTCATGAGGATAAAGCGCTTTTCATGTGACGCTGGCCAATTGACTCTCGATCCAGGAGTGACCAACGGCGTCTCTATGTGGCTCGCTGTAGGCTGATTGTGGTGGCGGAATTGGGGGATTGGTTGAAAGACTATTCAGTGTTTTTACCTTTCGTCGACTCTTTAGACTTCTGCGGCGAAAACATCTCTTCTTCTCTCATGTGATGATTTCTTCGACAAACTGTGCAAGATGGAATTTGTTTCCAATCCTGCTGACAATGAGGGCCCTACGGTCCTAGCAGCGACGCTGACGTTAACATGTGTGGCTCTTGTTACGGTGGGGGCACGCTTGTACGTGCGTCTTGGTATGATTCACAGCTTTGGTCTTGATGTCTGTTTGCGTCTCTTCCTGCATCTCACCAACTCGGTATCACTGACATTGTACCCAAATCCAGGACGGGTTCATGACACTTGCGATGGCTATTGCCATCGCTGGCGAAGGCGTTCTTATTACTCAGGTTCGGCATGGAGTTGGTCGTCATACCGGAGATGTTGACCTTTCGGTTGACTACCCCATCGCGATGAAGATGTCTTTCACCTCGCAGCCGCTCTTTCTATCGGCTCTGTGTCTTGTCAAGCTCGCCGTAGGATCTTCCTTGCTCCGCATTGCATCGAAGAAGCTCTACAAGAGTATGATCATTGGCATCATGGTTTTTATGACCGCATACACGATTGCCTGCATTTTTGTAAGACACAATCTAGAAGCCAAATCCCAGATCACCATGAATCATCCTGCTTACTTACATTTTCCTCACATGCAGACAATCGTATTTCAATGCACCGATGTCCGAATCTTCTGGGACTTCAACGTAGACTCGACGTGCTGGGACATCCAAACGATCAAAAGCCTTGCATATGCCAACTCCTCCGTCAATATTCTCACCGACCTTCTATTCGGCATCGCGATCCCCGCCCCAATGCTATGGACTCTCAATGTCCCTACCCGTGTCCGAATATCTCTCATGATTATCCTAGGCCTCGGTGTGTTTGCATGCGCAGCAGCCTGTGTAAAAGTCTACTATGTGGTGACGGCGTACGGGAAAACATTCGATCCCCTATGGGACTCACGAAATATCCAGATGTGGACGGTTATCGAAGCAAATGTCGGAATTATCGCTGGCAGCTTGCCCACACTCCGCCCTTTATTCAAGGATTTCTTAGGAAGCATCTACGGAAAAGGGTCCAAGGCACCGACAGGCAACACTTACTACGGTCGAGGGACGCTGCGGAGTAGAAACAGCAATTGGCAAACACTCTCAAATTCTCAATGGCCTGTGGGAACAGGCGAGGGAGACAGGGCCCCGAGGCCACGCAAGGATAGAACAGGGGACGACTACGAGATGGGAACATATGCCTCACGGCCAGTTGGATCAACCACCGTTATGGCGGGTGGTGGAGCGGACGACAGCGACGAGAGCTTGCATAAAACTGGACTGCGGAACGGTCCTGAGAGGCAGGGCATCAAGAAGACAACTGTCACGACGATCATGTATTCTCAGAACCAGAAGGATGGTCCCGGAAACTAGTTCCTCGCGAACCCAATGAAATTTCTCTTACACGTCCGCCCTCAAGACTGGGAGCCATGATGAAACCTTGGTTGATTTTGGACGGGAGGAGGAAGGTTTGTCAAGGATGAGCCACACCCCGGCTGTTGAGGCGACAATGCCGTACGCGTGCCTCTTTCCTCCATGTTCTCTGCGGCTTTTGTTGCGCCACGGTCTCCTTGATTCATATCCGATGCCGGCTAATTGCTGCACATCCTAGCTTTCACTTCGCATTACTGCATCGTTTGACATTTCCGGAAAAGAATCCCGGCGGGTTGGCCGTCTCATTGGCCCACTCGCATCTAGCACTATTAGCAGAGACGGCACAGCCAACAACGTCCGGAGCGATCGCTGCGCCAGTGTGGCAAAGTCGGAGTCGAGTCTCATTATCGCGTGGACCGAAATCATCGTGGGTCAGGCCCAGAAACACAGGCCAGGCCAGTTCCCCAATGCCTTTGCCAAGTTGTCTCCCGGGGACTCGAGCCGGAAAAGCGGATGGATTTCGTGTTTGGGCTTGGGCCAGGATATCTACTGGAATCCCTGATTGAAGCCCCGTCTAAAAGACTTGTCCGCGGAATCCTACAGGGCGGAGAGCCCTGGTTTAAGATGTCGCCGTTGCAATTTTCCCAGGGAACTTAACCGATCTCGGTGGGCCTTATGATTGGCAAAGACCACACCTAATTTTGTCCTCTAGTCCCAACCGAGGACTGTTGGTACAAGGGGCGACGACATATCTGATGACAGCAGTACATAATATCCGAGCAACCCTGCTTCGGCAGGTTTCGCTGCCACTGAAGAGGGCTTCGAGGCCAGCAGCCCTAGACAAAGGACGGGGATTCCGCCAGGCTACTTCATCATTTGGGTAATTGAGCTGGGAACTCGAGCGTTCCAAAGAACTCTGCAAGCGGTTGGCACGAAGAAAGCAGCGTATCATCGGATTGTCCTTCATTTTACCGGGTTATCTGATGACATTCCGACTTCCATACCCCCTTGTGCGACAAGGTTGGCAAGCCCCGTAAGGTAAGAGATACCAGCAATACCCTCGATATCAATGGTCAAAAGCTCGTCTGCTGGTGCAAAGCGGGGCTATCCTGAGATGTCCTTGTCATGTGTAGCCCGGATGCGTCCCTGAGTGTAGCCAACGCTTTGAAAATGGGTTCAATATTGTACGGATCAGTCTCGAAGGCTCTATCCCATCGAGTGCTGCATGACGCCAGTACATCCAGTACCCGTAATTTCTCCAATTCTTGTCTCAGTGAATTTTGTAATTCGCAGAAAAAAAGTGTCGATCAGCTGAAATCGTATCTGATTCGCTGTACCCCGCAAGACTTTGTACTGGCGTCATGCAGCACTCGATGGGATATCGAGATGATGTGATGTCTCTTTTCCTGCGAAGATGAGATACCATCTACCCATCATAACATGGATGGTGAACCTCTTTGCTGTCAAACGAGTCTCGGTTCTAGATGCCTCAAAAGGTCTATCATAATCTCTAGACCATTCTCTCTCGCAGATTGAAAAGCCATGGTTATTGTCTCAGGCTCCACCGGAGCGAATCTCTCAAACAACAACTTGACCATGGCTGTATGTTCGTTCATCACAGCGTACTTCAAGGTCGAACACTCCCTGAGGTCGGCAATTGCCCTGTGATCCAGCAGCATTCTCACAATGGCCAAGCTCCCGCCAGCTGCAGCTGCCATCAGCGGGTAGCCGAGCATGTACTCGCTGCTGCTGGGGTTCGCGCCCCATTCAAGGAGAAGTTCGACCACCTCTACATGGCAAGCTCGGGCCGCCACTGCTAGAGGAACTTGCTTGTCCCAGACAGACCCGTCAACGTCGGCTCCTGCATCGAGAAGATTCCGCACCATCTCCACGTTGCCCAGCCAGCAATGAAGAATCACAAAGCGATAGTCGGAAACAGTGGCGTCAACCCAGTCGCACACATACTTGTGGACCTCCCAGTTCTGTGTCGCAAATTTGTACTTGTGATCTTCTGAGGTGTATCGCACAGGAATCAACGTTTCCATTGGCGCGACGATGAAGGTGCAGTCACGTAATTGGGTCAAGACCTCCTGAGCAGCGCCGATGTTTCCGCCATGTGCTGCAGCATGAACAGCACGACGTTCTGTAAATGCCCGTGTCAAAGGTGACTCGGCTCGGTCTCGTCTGGGTATCGAAAATTTTCGATTAGCAATGTGAGGAATAGACGTAGGCCCCATTTATTGGCAGCCGACCCCGTATAAAAGGCGTCTTCGCTACTTACAAATGAGGAGGGAGTCCTTTTTCATCGGTCATAGCTTCAAGTAATAGCTTAACGACCTCACGATTCCCAGCTTCAACGGCAACTTGCCATGGAGAAGGCAGTAGATCGGTCTTGCCAAAAGGATACTTAAAGGGCCACTTGTGGTTTTGTAAAAGGGTCTTGACAAGAGATTGTTTGTTGAAATGGACTGCAAGAACGAGCAATCCTTGAGATGCCTCAGTTCTGGTACCCATTGAAGGGAAGGCAATTCCGCCATGGAACTCAGATAAAGTCAACCAGCAAAGTTCTGAGATAGTAGTTTCGATATCGGCTCCAGTCTCCTTGCACCAGTCCTCCGCCAGTTGTCTCAAGCGCGTAAAAGGGTCCCCCGGGTCTGTCTCAACTCGGGTTCTTTGGACGCAATATGCGTGCCATAGGTTCTCTGTCCCGTAATTCTCCTGCACCCGCCAATGACATAGCAAGGGGGGTCTACCCTTTAGCGATTCTGGAAGCTGCCTCCAATACAAGAACCCATACTCTTTTTGAGCCAACAGAAGCCCCTCTATGATGGAGGGGCCGATAAGATCTTTGAAGAGCTCTGGTACGGGTCAGAAAGCTGGGTTGAACGCCAACAGTACCTATGTTACAGTGTTCAAAGGTGATGTGTGAGAAATAACGTACTGCATACGAGCTTCAGGCGCAGCCCTCGCTGCAGGCCACGTGAGAGACAGGCATGATGCAAGATCAATTGGATGATCTCGGTGGGTAGCTCCAAGATCGGGAGGCTCATGATCAACAAAAGCTATTCCATTGGCTATGGAATAACGGCGTTTCGGGTTGCGGACGCTGAGAGCAATCCCTGAGGCATGAGGTTGAGATGGTGAAAAGTTGAGTGCGACTCAAGGATTCCCAGAGAGAGGCAATGATCTCCACTTTTGATGCACATCGTGTGATATCAGCCTAACATTGGGTGCGCACCTACTTGCTCAACATATGTTAGACAGCTATTACTGACGATCAGGGTGGCGGGGGTATTTGAAATTTGGAAACAACAGAAGACACCCATTTCATTTCTCTGGACTTACGCTAGAGGCACTGATTGAAATAAACCGACGGTTTTAAAAGCTCTGAGCAATTGGAAGAAAAGCAGCATTTCATTTCCTAACACAAGCATAACGGCTACAACCCAGGATGAAGTAATCAATTTGGCAATTTAGCGTCGACTGGGCTGTTTGATTGGCTCGCATAGGCCTGTCTGACCCTAGTCCTGTTCTGATGATGAGCTGACCAGCCCTTGTCGAGCTGATCATCCGTTTCCGAAAGCAACAATCGTAAGAACTTCATTGACGACATCTTACAGGACGCCCAGTGTCTTTGCTGTGGGTGAACTCACCATGAACTTGAACCAAACTCTTTACTGCAGTCAAGTACGCAACTCGCTGCGCACCCGAGCCACAAAATGATGCGGCTCATTCACACACCCGCGATGCAACTCAAGGAGTTCATCGGGTGCATTCCCAAGTACGCGATCTTGTCGCACACATGGGGCGCAAACGAGATCACCCTCCAGGATCTTCAATCTGGGGGTGTCAAACTCCAGTCAAAGCAGGCTTTCCACAAAATTGAGGCTACATGCCGTCAGGCCAATCGCGACGGTCTTGAATATGCGTGGGTGGATTCATGCTGTATCGACAAGACCAGCAGCGCCGAACTAGGCGAAGCTATCAACTCTATGTATCGGTGGTATCACGACTCTGCAGTGTGTTATGCTCACTTAGAGGATGTTGAGAATGACAATCTAAGTCGCAATGCGGTATCTTTGGGTCCATTTGCAAGCAGCCGATGGTTCAGTAGGGGATGGACGCTGCAAGAGCTCATCGCGCCGAGACATGTTGAGTTTTACAACGCTAAGTGGCAAAAGCTTGCCGAAAAGAGCTCCATAGTCAGTGATCTAGAGAGAATCACTGGCATTGATGAGTTCGTTCTTAGAGGGGGGTCGCCCCAAAGAGCGAGCGTCGGTCGACGGATGAGTTGGGCCGCAGGAAGAAAAACAACCCGAGTCGAGGACATCGCCTATTCACTTCTTGGTGTTTTCGACGTGAATATGCCTCTGCTATACGGAGAAGGAGCGGATGCATTCGCGCGGTTGCAAGAGCAGATTTTGCAACAGTCTGACGATCACACGCTCTTTGCGTGGCGCGCAACGTCACCCTCTGGACCCGATGAACCTCTTCGTGGCCTTTTGGCGCAGTCCCCGGATGAGTTTTCCAACTTCAGAGATTGGCCCAATCCACACAACGATAACATTGTCCAAATATGGCCGCGAAGCCCGGTGGGCGTGTCAAAACGAGGGATTCACTTCACGTCCAAGACGAAAGCCCTTGGGCGGCGAAGCATTCTGGACATATTGCTCTTCCGATCGAACCCGTCGTCAATAATTCTCCCCTTAAACTGCAGTGTAGGCGGCGACCCGCAACGCGTGGTGGGAATTTACTTGGACCTTCAGGATGGCAACAGATATGCCCGAGCACGGCCATCAGAACTTGCAGATATAGCGATCCCAGGTGGCCGACGCATGGCAATCTGCGGTATCCGCACATCATCGGACCTAAGAATCGGATATTATGACAACCCATGGGGCGCTCGACCTCCAGGGCTCAGCGACATAGAAACACTGCATGTTGGTGCTACAAGTCTGAACCCTCGGCGAAACACGACTCCCATAGGATACTACCTTGCTGGCATCTTCACGGCCGAGGAAGAGGGGGGTCCGTTGAGATGTTACAGCTACCAACACGAGTACCGCGAGGGACGAGCACTCAAATCGGCGCTCTTTCTTCAACTGCAGAGACACCGGCGGTGGACGTTGTTACTGAAAGGGAGATCTGAGGGTGACATCGTCTTAGTCACATTCTGGGTCTTCAAGGAGAGAGATCTTAAGTTCGATGCGGTCAGGCTACAGCCTTCGGAACTGCAAAACGACTCGGGTGCCATCACGAAGGCACTGAGGACCGTAGTGGCTCCTAAGACACACTGCATAGACAAATACATTCACATGACGGATCGTCGTCGAGAACTCAGGCTTCGCCTGACAGAGACTGAAGTGCAAGGGCACAAAACGTGGGACCTTGGCATTCGCTTGGTAGATCGAGGGTTCTGGATTCGCATACTAGTTGGCGTAGAGACCACTGCTTTTACTGGGGCGTGCGCCGTCTCTTCATTCCCTTTTATTTTATAGCACGGGTTTAATGATCAACATGAGCCGATAGGAATGAGACCGTTTAATCTTCCCGCGTACGTGCAGCTATATCTCTTGTTCAGTTAATCACTGCGATTAAACACGGAAATGCGAGTAATGCTAGTAGTAGTAACGACAGCAACGACGGCGACGATGGTTTCGATGAGGATAACTACTTATCAAAGTAGCGATGATAACCATAATAGCGACGACGATAAGTACTACAGGAAAAATGGGAGATCTCATGGGAAATAGGTTAATAAACTTGAAGGAATATTATTGGTCATGATTTCAAGGTTATTCAATGCTATCATCATCACCATGGAAGAATCTCAAAATCGCAGCAGCAACCAAGTCCCCATCATGTTCCAGATGAGCCGTTTCCGCAGCTCGGTCTGCATGCTCCAAGTCCTGGATACCACCGCTCTCGACTCTCATCTGGATCTGCCTCTTGACCATGTCTTCGTCGAAAGCCAAGTGTGCTTGTGTTGTAAATAGCCGCCCTTGAATGTAAATACCTTGCACCTTGGTGTGGCTGCTATGCCCCCAAATATCCACCTTTGTGCCAGGCTTCAGCAATCCTTTAGAAGACTCTGGAGATGGCGGCGCTACGACTTGATCCTGATGCATTTGATGGAGGTACACGTTGTCGTCGTCAGTACGGAACAGAAGCTTTCCGACAGGTGAAAGGTCGATCCTGGAGTGGCCGAGCTCCCAGTCGCGAGACGGCGCTGGAGCAACCTCAGCACCGAGCATGCGATTGAGCAGCTGGTGTCCAAAGCAGACACCGCTCAGATGCAGGTCAGGTCTCCGTTGCCATAGTTCTGCGAATGACAGTCAGTGGTTGTCCATTGAAACTCCTGGCTTTGCCGGACACACACCTTTCAGGACGTCGAGCAACTTTAAAATCCAGGGGTTATCTCCGTGTGCATCATACATGCTTCCGGTGATCAAGACTCCCTGATAGTCCTCAAACTCCTCAAATGCAGGGACTTTGCCCCCCTTTTCTTCCACCACGAATCTCTGATTGGTGTCAACGCCGAGTGGAGGGTCGTGGTCGGCTCCGGCATTCTGGAAGTGACTATGTAAGATGTCGCCGAAGCTGCCTTTGGTTGCATGGGTGTCCGGATGCGGCGTGTCTGTTTCCAAGACAATCATTCGCACAATAGGTGCGTCGGGGCCAGGGTACTTCTGAACCTGTGGCATATTGGATATTGCTGGACGCAATCGGAGGTTTTCTTTGTTTGCACTAACGTAGGGTGAACAAGGACTCAATTACTAAAGGTGACCTGATTGTGAGGTTTGGTAGGGTGGCAGCAGAAGAAAGTTGCGGGGGAGCGCTGTCGATTGACAGGCACAGGTGAGTCTCATTACTTAAAAACTCGAGCTCCCTCCAAGATGATCTGCATTCCTCTTTAGTGACGCGTTGCCATGCGAAAACCCCAAGAGCCAAGTGACCATAAATGAGCCGTCCAAGAGCGAAGCCGGCCCTTCGGAATTCCATATTGACGTCAATGGACTGTATTTCGCCATAGGGCTGAACTGAAACGGGAACTCGATGACGGCACCTGTGCTGGGTTTTGAGTTTTCATAACATAATTCCCGCTGAAAGTCCACCGCGCCGGCGGCTGGGCGGGTTCCACAGTTGGGGAATGCACCTTTGTGTTTCGGCTCCGGGCGAACATTATTAGTAGAGCATGGCTGTCTGTTTGCCCAGACGCTTCGCTATGCCTTAGCCGGCTTCTTTCTTAGGAGACCTGGAAGTTGGGGTTTTGTGGTACGGCCAAGGGATTTGGCATCCGGTTTCCCATTGTTTTGGTGCGTGTCTGAGAAAACGAAACTCTGGCGAGTGTGCGCCAATGTCTTGGAACGGCCTTCCAAGATTTGGTGGCACGACCCGCCTGTTCTCGCCCCAACCCTTGGCAAAATGGGGGACCGCCCCGAAAAACAGCATCATGATGGGGCTCTGGAACCCACGATGTATTCCGAAGAGAAATGTGCCTGGTAGGTAGTAGTCAATAGCCTGGAAGAATCTGAGAGATAAGAATCAAGTGGCTGCAGATGCTTCGAAGAGCCCTGGAGGCTTCCGGATTTGTGAGACCAGCTCAGCTTCCAGTCTCAAAGACTCGCGGCCCGGCACTAAAGGAGTTGCCTGTGTATCTTCTATCATCCCAGGCTGAAAGAAACAAATGAGGGAGAGGCAAACAATCTGCAAGAACGAATGGGACCCTTTCCGGAAGAGGATGGGTTTCTGTGCAATTATGACAGATACCCCCTGGCTTCGGTCGGGCAATTTCTATTCGAGGACAATATGTTCTATCGTGGACTGTTACCTGGATGCATTGCATTGAAGATTATTATTTCAGGCAAAAGAAGACGAGAATGCCATCAACAACAAAGAACTCGAGTCTAATGGAAAACGAAGGGAGTCAAATTTATCGAGGCAACTGCTGGCACAAAGGTGAGTCTTCTCGACTTCAAGAGAATATTAAAGCGACGCAATTCTAGGCTGAGACTTCAGTCAACAACTCGTCACTCAATTACAAAACATCGAATTCGCCGACTCAAGACACAACAAGAGTATCAAACCACAATTCAACTCGACCTCCTCAACCAAAACACAGTAAGTTTCCCTTCTCAGTATGGCTTCCCAACCCCCTGGATGGTATCCCGGCTGCCCCCAAGACCCGCGACCCTTGCCGGAGGCAACTGCACTGAAATATCAACACCTCTGCCCGGGAGGTGTCTTTCCTCCGGGTTGGAAACCCTTGCCGGGGAACACCGGAGCTACTCCTTCGAACCCTCCTCGGTCTGTTCCGCCACCTGCTTCGGTCGCATCGGCCTCCAGCTCTCATTACAGCAGCGGTTCTCGACGTGTTCCGGCCCCGGCATCTGTTCCATCAGGATACAGCTCTCATTACAGCTCGACATCAGGAGCACCGTCCGTTGCATCTGGCCATGGATCTCATCATAGCGGATACTCTCCGTCTGCCGCCGGGGCGCCCTCAGTCGTATCCGGATACAGCTCGCATTACAGCTCGACGTCAGGAGCGCCATCAGTTGCATCTGGTCACAGCTCTCATTACAGCTCAACAAGCATGCAACGCCCAGGCTCATCTCACTCGAATCGAGCACCGTCGATAGCATCTGGCCATGGCTCTCAGTATAGCTCAGCCAGCACTCAAAGGCCCAGCTCTTCACACTCGAATCGGGCACCATCTGTCGCGTCTGCGTACAGCTCGCATTACAGCTCAGCGTCAGGTGCACCATCCGTTGCATCTGGTGCTGGCTCTCATTACAGCTCAGCGAGCACCCTGCGGCCGAGCTCGTCTCACTCTAATCGAGCACCCTCGGTAGCCTCTGGTGTTGGCTCTCACTACAGCTCAGTCACCACTCAACGCCCAAGCTCTTCTCATTCTAATCGAGCGCCGTCGGTGGCATCTGGTGTCGGTTCTCATTACAGCTCAGCCAGCACTCAGCGGGCACCATCCGTTGCGTCTGGCGTTGGCTCTCATTACAGCTCGGCAAGCACCCAACGCCCAAGTTCATCTCACTCTCACCGAGCGCCCACCTCAGTTACGTCCGGCATGACAGGATACTCTGGATACAGTGGACACAGCGGCACAAGCTCTCGCCCTGGATCGTCTCAATTCATCGCTGGATTATCCATTGACCAGTTCGCTGCCGCGCTCGGCGCCCTTAATCTCGAACACGCCCAATCTTCCAGCGGGGCTACTCAGGGTCCCCAGTCGACAACTTCTAGTCGATCAGATGTTATCTACGTCAACGGCCCGAGTACCATGACTGTCTGTAGCGATCAAAGTAGTACTGAGGAGGAACGCGCTTACGATGCGTACATGATGTCACAGCCAAGTAGAGGTGGTACCTATATGCATCCAGGGGTTCCTGGAGTGCCTCCTTTCGAGGTAAAGCACCTCGACCGAGACGGATATCCCCGTGATCGAGTCCCTACTGCCACGCCGCCGTATTATAGTTCCGGCACTGCATCACAGTATGGGCCTGCCGCCGAATCACAATATGGCTCTATCGCCGGATCGCACTATGGGTCTATGGCTGGATCACAATATGGGTCCATCACAGGTTCCAGCTCCGTCGCTCCTTCTACAGTTCGGTATTCACCTTCCAGGTCCGGAGGCTCCAGGTCCGGATCACGTCGAGGCTCCGTCGCGGGCTCTGTTGCTGGATCCGTAGCACCATCGATCGCACTCTCTATGCTCCGGGGGCCCGAGTCCATTGCAGGCTCGCTCTGGGATGGTGGGCGGACCGTCATCGAAGATGATTCAATCTCAATGGCCGGATCCCGCCCCAGGGGTTCCGTCGCTGGGTCCGTTGCTGGGGGTTCTACGGCCGGGGGGTCCGTCGCATCTGGACGTTCTTCAAGTTCTCACAGATCTGGTAGTTCTAGGCGATCTTCACACAGTCGATCCGGTTCTGTTGCGTCGGGCAGCAGTCGTCAGTCATCTTCTACAGGTACGTCCAATATCTATTTTTCAGGACCAGGCTAACTCATCTCTAGCGGGACCGTACGGCCATCTGGCGGAATGGGTTCAAGGAGTCCAGCAAGGCGGGAATCCGCCTCGACGGTAAATGCCGGTCCCGAGGGGAACGTGTTCTGGCCAGAACTCCGACAAAACCTCACCTCAGACGCGGCGCTCGACAACTTCACGGTGGTCTGCCCCGTATGCGCGACGTCAATGAGGGCTGTTGAGAGCACCAGCCGGAACCTGGGCAAGATCTTGCACTGTGGGCATATGTTGTGCATGGAGTGTTGCATCCGTATTTGCGCCAACGTCGATGGCCGCCGCAGCAATCCGAACGGACGAAAGCCACAGTGTCCCATTTGCAAGGAGCCTCTTGGAAAGTACCCGAATTGTGGCCAGAGCTGTCTGGCTCCGGGAAGGGTTGGACATCCGATGCCTAGGAACATGGACGAAATGAGCAAGGTTCCTCTCACGATACCCGAGGGCGGTGCGAATCCGAGCTGCTGCAAGATTTGTCGGATCAAGCGTATCGAGAGACTGAGCAGGAAGCTTGTCCGCGAGATTGTGAATGACCAGCAGGCGATGGTGAAATGGACTCCAGCGGTAGATGCGGCGCGGCAGGATGAGAGAGACTGCAGCGATTATGTCGAGGTGCCGGAGTTGCAGAAGTTTCTTGATGTTTTGGCCGATGTGGTGAGGGATCCTGAGGTTTACCGGAAGTACACGAACCTACAGCCTCAAAAGTTTAGCCCTCCACAGAGTGCCAAGGCTATCATTCCTGACCGCAAGAGGGAGGTGTAGGAGGTTGGTAGATCTTGTATGGTGCGGCAAAGCAACGAGAAAGGCAGAGGGAAGATGAGACCAGGGGTTTCTTTTGTGTAATTCATCATAGACTTGGGACCGGCAGAACAAATTGGTCAATACCATTGCTTTTCGTGCAGAAAGCGCCCCATGTCTCTGTGTGCTTGGTGAACATGGGAGACACAATTCTGCACGTCATCGATAACATGTTATCATCGCAACTTTGAGGTTGGTGTATCATTAATGACATGGAGAATTTGCAATCGATGTGGAGGTTGGATGAACATGCCAATGACATTGGCAAATGGCGTCGATGTCTTGCTTGATGTCGCCATGCCAACACGTGGGATGAGGAGCAGCTGATAGGCATGCCCATTGTCCCGGATTGTAGGAGGTCCGAACATCAGTCTTGAAACTGGTTGCAGCTATTTTTTCTCTTCTCGCCAACTGGTTCATGTGAAACGTTAGCTCAACTGTGGATGCCCAGCCTGGCCAGACGCATCTGAGTCTGGGACGGACGGCCTGGGGATAAAGGAGAGATTGACCAAGTTCGCCACTCCGATTGATTATCAAGACGTCGCCATAGGTGATTGCGTCCCACCTAGACCGGGCTAGTCAAAATGACAACCATCAAGGGAGGTGCCGTGGTTCAGGTGAATACAACACCCAGACTTACGGAGATGTGGGCAGCGCAACATCCGCGAGATAACCATGAATTTTAGCATAGACAATTACGTTTAGAGTTGATGAATTATCAGACCAAGCAACCCCGTATGACATGAAAAGCGCATGTGAACATTTCTGCTGAATCTTGAGGCTCTTCTGGAACTGATCCTGAGTCCTTTCTGCAGGCGTCTTACACTGCATCAATTGACGTCGTGCTGCTCACTAAGCTACACAAAACATGCTATATTGCATAGCTGCACGACTCTTACCCCCTAATCAGAGCAGGCCATTGGCTGCATACAAAGAACGACTCAGTCAGCTTGAGCTTCGAAAAACTTGGAAGCTGCCTGTAAATGGTGTTTTCATTCGGGGGTTTCAGATCGCGGGCACTGGGGTTCCACTTCAAAATGTGTTTCTGCCGTCGGTAACCCGCCCGTTACAAGGACAGACAGGGGAGGGCCCCGATAGCACTCCGGGGCAATTGTCCAGACAGGATCAGCGACATTGTCCCTTATTAGCGCTCAGTCAATGCACACTTTTGAGTGTCACGTAAGACCAGGGCGGCTAGCTTGCTCGTTTGCTTCAAATCCCTCCTTTGCAATTAGCGGAACATTCTACTCTTTCGTCCTGATCCGTGTCATGTCGGATCGGCGCTGCCAATGTCTGCTCCGAAGAACCAACCCGGCTTAGCATGTGCGTTCGCTGACTCCGTCGGCCCGGGTCGGTGTACGAGTAGGTTTCCATAGCGGCCGCGCAGAAACATCCCGGGCCAATCAATCCTTTATGGTAGCAGCGCCTGGGAAACAACTTTCGGGAGAGGGAAAGCATACCCTCGTACTGTATTAATCTAAATGACAAGCGAAAACCTCATTCACTGTAGCAATGGGAGCGCGAGAGATCTCTTGGAAGTCTTGGAGTGGCCTTGGTAATCCGATCGATGCACCGGGCCATCTCTTGGGAAACGCTCTTGGCTTCAGGAAAGGCTTGGCCAAGTCTCACGAGCGATATTGCTTCCCGGAAAATGCAATTCACCACGAATCTGCCTCCGGACATTCAATAGCCAAAACGGTGCTGCAGCCGTTGATATGTGACAGGGTCGCAGATCTCGTCCCTAGTTGGACCCCCGCGTGCCCACATTTCAAAACGTCGCGGCTTCATCTATCTTTACAACTCACCAGAAACGGAAGCCATCAGAGAGAGGTTTTGCAGTAAACCACCTGAAGAGCTGAACCTCGGTGAGCAATGAGCACCTCGAGATCTTTTGCCAAGAGTTTGTATGGTTTCGGGGTGCCCCCGTCGCTGGCAGTCTTGGGACTTGGGTTGTTTCACCTCCGCTCAGACACTCTTCCCCGTCGCAACATGCCTACCAACAATACCACATTGGTCCCTGGCAAGACGCGGCTCTTTTGCCCCCATTTACTCTGAGCCCGGGTGCCAGATGCTAAGATCGCCCTGGACCTATCATCTCTTCTCACCAGGCACCCTGCACCGAGCTTCTATTTTTGCAAGAGCCGCTTGGTCTTGGCACCCGCAGGTCTTGACACGCATGATGCCGTCGCAGCTCTGGACGAGCAGGCCTGTCAGCTTTTTCTCCTCCCGCCATCCATCACACTCTCTCGATGCGACTCCACGAACCTGACTCCGTTTATGTCTAGTATTTGAACCACCTCTTGGCATGTCGTGGAGATTTCATTCATTACGCTCTCCCTCCCGCTGCCTTGCCACTCGTTGACGCGTGTGCTTTTGCCTGCTTTCTTCTCTTTTCCTTTATCTCAGCTGTGCTGTTCGTTTCTCAATCTCCTTGACGGAAAACCCTTTTCATTCAATACTACCTTAATAATCCTCTTGGGGAAAGAAAGATACCAACGGCTGCGCCGATAAAACAACTATACCTCTTATTATCCGAATCCTTCCAATACTCCCGCCAACATGCAGATCACCAACGCCCTCATGACCCTGGCTGTTCTTGCCATGGGAGTCAACGCCGCCCCCGCCCCATTGAACATCAACCTCGGTGCCTATTCGCCTGCCTTGGTGGTCGGTGATGGTGCGCTCACATTCTCTGGAGGAGCCGAAGGCGGCGCTGCCGGCGGAGGCAAGGGAACAACTGGCAAGGGAACTGGCGGTGGAAAGAAGGAGGGCGCCGCCGGCGGGGAGGGTGCAGCAGCCGCTGCTGCCGCCGCCGCCGGAGCCCCAGGAACCGGCATTGTGGCCGGACGTGATGTCAAGAAGGTGCAAAAGCGCCAGGCCAGCGGCTTCGACCGCGCCCTCACCTTTGCTGAGGCCGCTCTCACCAAGGGCCCCAAGGTGCAACTCGGAAACGGAGAGGGTGGAGCCGGCGTCGGTATCATTGTCGACAACAACCCGACGGCTGCCGCGCAACCCAACCGCGCAGCAGCAGAGTAAGGGGACCGTGTATTTTGTGTGTTTTCTTGCGGGAGAGCCGTCGCATAATCTTTCTAAAGTCCGATCGAAGTATAAGTAAGTCATTCTCCTGCTCGTGTCGTTGGTCGGCGCACTACGACGAAACTAAACACATGAGAGAAGCAAGGCGCTGACTCGAGATCCACAGATGCTGCCAATGATACTCTGTCAGAGAAGTTTGAAGTTCGCTCGCCTGGCCCCAATGATCGAACGCAATTCTTGTTACTCTTTGGTCATTTTGAACCGCGGACAAAAAACTCCTCCGGCCTCTCCGCGCGCCGCGCAGCGCTGCTTCCTGGCACCACCACCGACACCAGCAAAACACAACATGGCACGATGTAATTTCGTTCAGGTACTCTTATTTTCCTATTTGGGGCATTTTTGTAATATCAGGCGGGAGTTCTTCGGGGGAGTTTGGAAAAAATGACGCCTTGGGTTCGCGGGTGCAGGGGATCGATCGAGCACGATCAAGGACGTGACGACACCTGGAAATTGGTAGCGATGAGGCCGGCATCGCATCACCCGTTGAGGTAGCAAATTAACTTCGTCGGGATTCTGTTCATGAATTTGTCATCCAACCAGCAGTGAACGTGACGATAACAGTAAACAACACCAAGAACCGAGCAAACGTGTTGCTGCCTGCATGATGAGCACTAATGCCCGTGTTATCCGTCCGACATCGACTTGTTGGGGGCCAAATTCGCACATGCGAAAGAGGGTCAGCAACTAAGAAGTCGTCGTGGTTGATATACACCTGTCTCACTCGTACTTAACCACATGAGCACTCTGCCCACCCATGGTATCCGCACACCACGGAACCAGAGAGACGGGCCGCACCCCGTGTGGGTGTGTTTACGATGGACTTTCTGCGCGGTACTTGCTGGTGGTTGTCCCCAACTCCGCCGTATTGGCTCGTTTGTACCCCCAAAGCCATGCAGCTCAGCCCAACCATCTCGCGCGATTGGTGGATCTGCTCATGATCACTCAGGTTTCCAGTTTTTTTTATCGCAAAATGTTGACTGGCAGAAAATCATGTGGGCACACTTGCGAGCTTATGACACCACGCTGTCGGTCTCCCGTTGGCCAGCCTTGATGGCCCGCGTGTTGTCTTTGCAGCTGGCCCGGATGTGTCAGGCGCAAGCTGTGCAACATCGATGCTTCGGCTATGGGTAGTAGGGGTGTCAAAACAAGGTTAGTCGCGTCTTGGTTGTGTCTTTCGCCCAGTGCGCTTCGGGCCTTGAGGGGTGTGTCGCGCTGCAGTAATACTTGCAGCCCGTTCGTGGGGAGTCGCGCGTTCGTGTGTGCCTTACTGCATAGCAAGTCTGGCGATAGAACGTGTGAGTTGGTTGTGCCTTGGCAGGCAGCCAGCAGGCAGTGCGGGCACTACGCCAGGGTGAGATGGATGAGAAGCTAGTCAGGCCGCGGACCACAGCCTGCTTGAAGCTTCGTTGTGAATAAGAAGACGAGCTTTTGCACTTTCTCCTTTCTTTCGTGGCTTTCAGGCTGGTGTTCATCCATGTGTCAATCTGTCCCGCCTCTGCGTTGGCCCAGTTCGTCGCTTCGTTTTTGCCTTTCGGTACCTGACTTAAGAGAGACGGCAGCTCATCAGCCAACCTGATGTGATTTCGTCAGCATGCATATCTACCCTACTCCGATCTCGCAGCCCATCGGCGGCCTCCTCGGTCTTGCTGCCCGACAACAGGACGAGGAAGGCGTCCACGTGATTACACAAACCATTCGACGGCCGGCAACCACCTTTCTCACATACGTCACGCTCGGCCCCGGAGACCCCACTCCGGTTCCCGGCGCTGATATCCCGGAAACACCGGTCGCCACAACCCCGACGGCGGAGGCGCCGCCCCCGAGCCGGGGAAGCGGGTCTCTATCAAGCGCCCAAATTGGCGCGATCTTGGGTGGCATCGTCGGCGTCGTTACCATCCTTTTGATCGTCTGTTATTGCCTCATGAATCGTCCGAAACCAAGACATATATCGTACACTGGCATGTACGACGATGAGACAACGACTACATATTCTGAGTACTCAGTCAAAACGCCGCCGCCACGACCACCGCCGCCTGCGTTCTTCCCTTGGAACAGAAGGCCCGCCAGAAGACCTCGTCGCCAGCCGATGCCTTATCCGCCTTATCCTACGGCACCGGCCCGGCCGCCATTCACAGTGAATGAGCATGAGCCCTGGGTTGTAAACGAGCATGGTCCTAGGCGGACACAAAAGAAGGGCTGGCAAGAGCCTGCCGTCAAATTCGGACCGAAGAGACCAAGGGTTAAGGTCAACGGCCCTCCCCGTACAGAGCGGCCAGCGCCAAATCCGTATTACCAAGCACGGTGGACTCAACCTGACCGCTGAGCCGTGGCTCTAATTCTTTTGATACGTTACGCTGGCTTCATGCTGGCCAATGGTTTCGCGACCCAATTATCGGGTTCTCAAGACTATTCTGTTATCAGATGCAGCGCAGTGATGGCTGATCTTTATTCATTGCGGTGGATCTTTTTTGAAGTTGTGGTTGCTTGGGCCAGTGACGCCAATGGATACAAGAGATTGAATTGAGTGTTTGGGGCTAGAAGAGCAGCTAAACAGGTGGTTTCTTTTGTCTGTGACTGATACCCAACTCCAAGAATCGAATTTTCATTTTTTGTGCCGTTGAACGGCAACGAGCCTTTGGACTACGGTATGCCCGAAAGCTAGGACCGCCTGATATTTTTTAATCGCTTGATAAAATAAGAGATCGCCTAATTTTCCTGTGTCTGCGCGGCTATATTTCCTGTGCACTTAATTACTACTATCGAAAGCGATAGTAGCGACAGCGTCCATGAGGACGACTATGACGATGATAACAATAGAAGCGACGAAGACAACGGCGACGGCGTCAATGGTGGTGGAGTGATTAGAGTATAGCCACAGGAAAGATAATCGCTCTAGCACAGGAAAAATAGGCGGTCTCTAAAATAAACATCATCGCTAAAATTATGCAGGATATGTCCGCATGTCTTTCATTAAGAACTGTGATCGGTCTTGCCTGTTCCTTAGAGATTATGCGGCAATTAAAGGTTTCTTTCCGGTGACGAAGGCACTTTTTCGGTCAGCGTCGTCTCGGTGTAATCAAGGAAGGAAGCCTTACGTGTAGGTGTACAAGTGTATCTTATCCGACTTGAGCTCTTCTCTCACCAGAGCCAGTAGAACCTGAACTTCTTCGTTCTTCCAGTTACCGGCACGGGTAAACAAGGCAAGAGTGTATGCTTCCAAAGCCATCTCCAGGAACTGGACTCTGAACCACCGGCCAATTTCCTTCAGCTCTCGGTCTTTGGGCCAAGTACCCATGGGGACGACTCTCTGCATGTAATTCACGGTCTCAAAGCCTTCGCTTTTTAGCATGTCAGGAAGTGCAGGGGCAATGTCAAAACCCAGCGGGGCGCTCAGCTTCCTGAACTCGCTAAGCCACTGCCATGTTGCCGAGTCCCCCTTGAGAGTGTCGTCCTCGCAGAAGAAATTGGCTCTGCCTTCCGAGATCTCGATGCTGCCTCCCGGCTTGATGTGTTCATAGCATTGGTGGATGAGAGCTGGCCAGTTTTGCACCGCGCCAGCAAGAGTACGCGCGTGGATGAAGTCGAAATGGTTCTTCGGAAATGTCCACTCTAGGGTGGCGTCGTCAATCTCGAAGCGCACATTTGGTGGAACCCTATCGATATAAGACAGGAGATCCAGCTATCGACAGCGCCGCAACTCACCAAATCGGTTGAATCGGACTCAAGTCCGTTCCAGTAACCTCCGCTGAAGGGAACGCGTCGCCAATCTCAATGGCCTGAGAATTTCGAGTTAGTAAAACTGTGGGATTTCCGGTGTCTTAAAAGACAAACCCAAATACCAGTGCCGGTGCCAATATCGAGGATCTTTTGGGGATTATCCAAGTGAGTTGCACAAAGCTCGCCTTTCAGAGTCAATAAGAAGACATGATGTGTCATGTCAAGGCGTTCCTGCTCGGTCTCATCGTTGGGCAAGAGATACTGTCCAGCTCGGTATGCGTGGTACCGACGCCCATTTTCATATTCGTAGTCAAAGATCGAAGATGTCGCACTCGAGGTATCGGAAACGTCACTGGCATAGTTGGAAGCGGTGTCGCTACCAAGATCAGACTGCGAAGTGAGACTCGTCAGTTTGGTCGCAACCCTAATTAGGTGGAAAAATAGCGCACTTCAGCTTCTAACTCAGGATGAGTGTCTTCTGCTTCGACAGCTTCATCTGTTCCAGCAGCTCCAGCAGGGGACCCGGGTCCTGAAGCTTGCGGTGGTGATCGCGGGGAGCGTGTGCCGGCTCGGGACCCCGCCGACTTGATTGACTTCGGGGAGCCGGCGGCATCGGTGGCCCGTAAGGGTTCGTCTGTTGTGTAGGTCATGATCGAATGAGCCGGATACCCAAATGCTGCTAAATGGCCGTTCAGTAGCTCGACTAGACGACATGTAACTTGTCGATCTTGGCCTGTAAATTCAATAGCCTGGCTCAGGTAAAGGGCAAAAACAGTACGCAGCTACTGAGATTCACAACAAGTGGCAAGGAGGGGGAAATGCTGACTTCGTGGGGACATGAGATCAGGGAGGTGACATCGTTTTCTGGCAGTCTTCGGGCCCGAAAGGATCAACGGGGCTCGCCATGTGGCGTCAGGGAACACGACACGAAGATAACGCTTGTGATGATTGGATGACAATTGCTGACAGGCCATCAGCTTCCCCCAGGGAGGGCATTGGAGCATCGAGCGGGATCAAAATGGTGATGGAAAGTCGTCTGCTGAATGCTTCCTTCGTCACTCGTGCCATTGCCGACTGCAACCAATCGATATGCTGGGAGCGTCTAAGAAGGTTTTGTTCTGCTCCACGCTGAACCCTGCTAGCGGTATCAACTGAGAGGAATCAGGAATGGCGGCTCGATAGCGTCTTGCCAGTCACATGGTAATGGCGTTTTCACCGCTGGAATTCAATGATTTTTCGCGGGGTCACGCCATGCCTCAACCAGGTAGCGGGGTCATCGACACCAGGTCTTAGACTGTTCAAAATCTCACTGGTCACCTTGCGAGGACAGTGATCCAGTATCCTGCAGCATCCCTTGCATGTCATATTTGGACCACAATTGGAAGATGATGGATTGGAGCGTGATTCTCCTCCTGTTTGGAGATGGTCCTTTGCTGGTTTTCGTTATCAGCGCGATTCGAAGGGTCTTCTTTTCACCACTGTCCAAATTTCCAGGGCCCATATTTGCAGCGTTGACGTTGTGGAGTGAGTTTTACTGGGATGTGGTTAAGCGAGGGACATTCATCTGGCGCATCGAGGACATGCACAAGAAATACGGTCAGTAGAAGAACCCCTAAAGCCCCCTGAGTCATTGTGTCACCTTCTAACACGGCACAGGGCCCATTGTCAGAATCAACCCATATGAGCTGCACATCATTGATCCCGAGTTCTACGATGAACTCTACTCATCTAACAGGAAGTCCGACAAGTATCGGTGGTGGACCAATCTCGCCGGCGCGGACGGCAGCTCGTTCTCGACTGTGCCGCATGATCTGCACCGGCTGCGCCGCGGGGCTCTGAATCCATTCTTCTCGGTCCGCTCCGTGACCCAACTGGAGCCGCTGATCCGGTCCAAGGTGGAGAAGCTCTCGGCGAGGTTTGGCGAGATCGCGCAGACGGGCGAAGTGGTCCGTCTTGATGCCGCGTTCATGGCGCTGACGATGGACATCATATGCGATTACGCCTTTGCGAATGATCGGAAGTACCTGGACGAACCTGACTTCAAACTGATATGGAAAGAGACCATCATCGGGGCGTTTGAAGGCGGGGCTGTTGGTCGGCAATTTCCCTGGATGTTGCCGGTCATGAAAAGACTGCCCTTGTCAGTTGTTTCTGCGATGAACCCATCAGTTGGCCATCTACTTCGCTGGCAAGCGGGTGTTAAACAACAGGTTGAGCCAATTTTAGACGGAAAGGACAGCCAGCCTGGGGCTGCTTCGAGAACCATCTTTCATATGCTGCGCGACAGCGACTTGCCCCCAGAAGAGAAGACCTTGCAGAGGTTGTGCGACGAGGCGGAGATTTTGACTGGCGCAGGGTCTGAGACAACAGCCCAAACCCTCACTCGAATCCTCTTTTATCTGAAGTATGTGCCCGATACACTGAAAAGGCTACGAGAAGAAATTGATGCGGCGATGCCAAGAGCCACGGAGATTCTGTGTTGGGCTGACTTACAGAAGCTCCCTTATCTGGTGGGTTTCGCATCGTGCAAAACATATGCCTTGTTTCTCATTGATTCTCTACAGAACTCCGTCATTCGTGAAGGGCTTCGACTTTCATATGGAGTTACGACTCGTCTACCACGCATCGCCCACCACGACATCCAGTATGGTGAACATGTCATTCCGGCAGGGGTAAGCTACTGCCCCGGATCACCACACCTGCCCCGCCAACCACTAATCGCATCGCAGACACCCGTATCAGAAACCCCATACTTCGTCTTGATGCACCCGACAATTTTCCCGGAGCCTCAGACTTTTAAGCCCGAGAGGTGGTTGGAAGCGGAGAGACGGGGCAAGAGGCTAGACAAGTACCTCGTATCATTCGGAAAAGGTAGTCGGCAGTGTCTTGGCATGAAGTAAGCCGAACCCTTCCATGACAAACATCTTCGAGGGAGTTTCCACTGACACCGCTCTCAGTCTTGCCTATGCTGAGTTGTATCTGGCCACGGCGACGGTCATTCGCAGATTCGATTGGGAAATGTTTGAAACAACACTCGACGACGTTGTTTGTAAACACGACTTCTTCGTCGCAGTCGGGGACCTCGACACCAAGGGTGTGCGAGCGACCCTTTCACACCGACAAACCCACAAAGAAGCATGATCCCGGTAGCTTGGGAAGGATGCTTCACGAACACTCCTCAACACTAATTTCGGCTCATCAAGCGGAAAACCCTCAGTGGCCACACGCTTATCCATCCCCCTCAGTAAGCTTCTCCGCATCTCACTCCCCCATCGCGCGGGGTTGGACATGCGGGGCCGCGTGGTCCCAGGATTCAGCCGTAGGGCATTTTAACCAGTTCGACCAACAGTCAGAACGGGGGACCAGGTCGCCGTGGGCGGAAGATTGAGCAGAGAAGATTGCCCCTGGCTCCGCGAGAATTTTCACCGACAGAACCGAACAACCTTTACATGACCCCACAAATCTTCCGCGTATCGTTGCGCTGGACATTGACAGATGATGTTATGATTCTCTGGGCGTGGTACCTTACCTAAACCTAATTAGAGTTGGATAATTTCCGAGTAATTGTTATATATGAAGATGGAAACTTCAGACGAATAATGAGCGATGCCTGGTGGTCGTTGCGTTGTTCACCTCAATCTCCCCATCTGTTGCTGAACGGTTGCAGCCATGCGTTCTCTTGCACTGAGCCTTCTGGCCGCGGCCTCTGCGCTGCTACCGGTGTCTTCCGCCGCATCAGTTGCCTCGCCGAAGCCGAGCCTTCCCGAACGTCCTCATGTTGTGCCAGCTCCCTACAACACCGGACGGGACATGCCTCACTCTCCTCCCCGAGAGAAGGGCCGGTACTGCTACGTCAAGCCTGGCTGTGGAGAGAAGCGAGACGATGCGCCCAAGATTCTGGACGCCTTCAAGAAGTGCAACGATGGTGGCACCGTTGTCTTCGACAAGTCTTACCTCATCGGCTCGCCCCTGGATCTCACCTTCTTGAAGCACATTGACGTGGTCATCACCGGATCCATTGAGTTCAACGATGACCCTTATTACTGGGCCGACAACAGCTTCAAGTTCGCCTTCCAGAATCAGTCAGTCTTCTGGAAGCTTGGAGGAGAGGACATCAACATCTACGGTGATTTGAGCAACGATCAGTCTGTCATTGATGGTCGTGGCCAAGCTTACTGGGTCGCGATCCAGACGAACAGCAGTGTAAGTGGTTGCTTGGAGTATGGATGGCGAAGTATTTCAGAATTCATTTGGCTGACTTTGTTCTGCCCTAGCTTCTGAGGCCCATGCTGTTCTCTTTCGAGGGAGTCAAGGGAGCCACGATGTCCCACCTTCGCATGCGCAATCCGCCGAACGTAAGATCCCGAAAGATGTTCTCTCTTAAACACTAATGACTGAAATATGCAGTGGTTCAACCTGATTGCGAACAGCACTGATGTTCTCATCAGCAACATGGATCTGAGAGCAGAGGTTTGTAGCAAGCCTTTCACAGTTTTATCTGCATTCCTGACATCATACAGAGCACAAACAGCACCAAGATCGCCAACTCAGACGGATGGGACACGTATCGCTCCGATCGAGTTGTCATTCAGGACTCGTACATCATCAACACCGACGGTGGGTTCTCAGGTTACTGAAATTTGGGAACGCGACTGATCCTCTCTAGACTGCGTGTCTTTCAAGCCGAACAGCTCGAACGTCGTCATCCAGAACCTTGACTGCACCGGGTCACACGGCATCAGCGTTGGATCTCTCGGTCAATACAAGGGCGAGACTGATATTGTCGAGAACCTCTACATCTACAACATCACCATGGCTGACGCTAGCGATGCTGCCCGCATCAAAGTTTGGCCAGGGATTGAGTCTTCTTTCCAGACTCTCCTCAACGGAGGTGGCGGTCTCGGTCGTGTCAGGAACGTTACGTATGATCTGTTCAAGAACATCAACAACGATCGTGCCATCACAATCACCCAGTGCTACGGCCAAAAGAACCAGACTCTCTGCGAAGAGCACCCGGTAAGCTTCATTTCCCTGCATTGACGTATGCTTGAAGTTACGTGCTAACCCAGGATTTCTCCAAAGGCCAACCTGACCATCACCGATATCACCCTCAAGAACATTTACGGCACGACCTCGGCAAAGCTTGACCCCCAGGCCGGGACGTTAGTTTGCAGTGCCCCAGACGTAAGTTAACCCAGATCATTGAGCATTTACATCACAGTCTCGGATAGGTACTGACTTGATACCTGATTATTCAGCGTTGCAGCAACATTCGCGCCGAAAACGTCACAGTCACCGTGCCGAGCGGAAAACCTCCTGTGTATGAGTGCAAGAACTTGGATAACAACCTGTTGCAGATCAACTGCACCTCCGGAACAGATGGAGAAAGGGATAACACTAATGGTTAGGGGATGCATGAGCTCTTCTCGCTTGACGATAATTAGTAGCTACCAAGCTATGCTCCTCTGGTTGCTATTTTCAACAGGAGGTGGACAAGACGCCGAGGCTGTTATACAACTAATGTATCAAGCTTCCGGTACCAATAGCCCACTTCAGAAAGGTCTTCCTCGACGTCGTTGTCGCGGTGTTGAATCTGTAGCGACACGCCCAGTGCCTCAATATTCTGAATCTCGTCTTCCCTAAGCCTTTGGCACTCAATCTCGCGAAGCACGAATCCCATTCTTTCCGACCAATACGTTTCCATGAATTTGGTCAGAGAACACCCCATTTTGGCAAACTCTGTTTCAAACTCCTCGATAAGAGCTTCTAGTCGATCGAGCTCCAGAGCGTCTTCATCCCATATCTCAAGCCTTTCTTCTGGATGTACCTCCCTCCCCGACTCATTGCAGCATGTGTGTGCCAAAGGCAACAGTTCAAACGTACATGCCCTCAGACAGGCTGATCTGAAATGTTCTGAGTCCATCTCAATTGACTCGACAAGAGCTGCAATATCGCACACATGGACTTTCGCTGCTTTTAGGTGTTTTGACGGTGCGAACTGGTCCATAGGGCGGAGTAGGCTAAACATCCCAGTCCACATACCCGTAAAAGGATGACATCCTCTACTTGAACAGCCACAGACGCATGCGTCAAGACACCAGGGTTCACACAAATAGCGAAATATCGTCTTGAACGCCTCCAAAGTCGGCGGGTGATGAGTTCCAATGAAACATGTGGACAGCCTGTGCGCTACAATAAACCCCTCAACCATCCCCGGAATACGAGCATGTAGTTTTGCTCCATGTTGAAGCAGCTAAATTGCATAGCTGGGACGGGCTGGATGGGCTATCGGGGTGTAGCCGTTCGAGTCTGGCAAGTCTATGTCACGAAAACCGTATCGATAGAAGGTTTCTGCCGCCGGGGCTGCGTCGCCGTCATAACAAGCTAGATGGAGGTGAACTGACCATACTTTCTCATCGGTAACGTTGTCGTCGGTTTCAAGCGCACGAGGAACAACATTTCCCCTTCGTTTGAGGGCGGCAATAACACTTCTCGTGTGCTGATCCTGGACTTTGGGACATCGAAGGTCCCATTTCTCGATTTCTTCTGGCGCCAAAAGAAGAATTGCGATCTCCTTCAACTCCTGTCTTACATCTTTCAGACGTCCAACAACCATTTCCCGGGCCTTATTAGATGCAAGTATCAGGGAAATCATCCAATGCATTCCACTTGTGGCTTTGGCAATACATTCAACGTCGGCATCCAGAATAAGCTTTACCCCATTGGAACACGGGCAGTCATCCGGGCAGTTGGTCGAACGCTCGCTGCGGCAGATGCTACCACTCCTAAATAATGCGTATTGCAGCATCAAGGTTTCGCCACGCGCATGGAACATCTCTCTGCCAAATCGATTGAGAACAAGCTTGAAGCCTGCTGGCCAGTCGACTAGGTGGTTAAGAGAGGTGTTGCCAAAGGCATCATATGTAGCCAAGTCCGACAAAGACACGTTGCGATCCAGAGCGTGTTTCAAGGCTAGTTCGTCCCGCAAAACAATTGCTTCCGAGGGATGACCCATGTACACTATCTATCATCAGCAATTATTTCCTTAAATTGTCGACTATCTCTTACATCCAGCAAGCTTAGAGCTTTGGCGGATTATTTCAGTATGTTGAGTCAAAATGTAGCAGCCTTTTACCGATGACTTTGCTTGCCGGATATCAAGTGCCAAAACACCGTCATCTGGGCAAAGTATGTCTACGATTTGTCTTGTTGGCCATGGCGAGTAGAACGCTGATCCAAAAGCGGCTTGGAAGGGGTAACTATGATTGTATCAACACCCTGTGCTTTCAAGCCAAGTGGCTGTTACTTACATGCCCTTTCGGTCTGGGCGGTCGCGTGGGACGCCAGCACTAGCCAAGAACGCCACAATCTCGTTCGGCAGATTATAGTCTTTTCTGGTCCTGACATCTAGGGCGTCGTGCAATAATGTGTTTCCGGTACTGCCAATGTCGAAGGGTGATGAGGTCCTAGAGTTAAAGCTTACCTGAATGGCTTTGATAGTGTGGGACTCCAGACCTTTGACGTCCTGGTCGCTCCACACTCTCTCTTTTAAAGCTCTTCTAAGCAACAGAATGGCCTGTTGCGCAGGGCTCGTGTCTCTTACCGGAAGATAAGTAAAACACGGCGAGATAGCAAAGCCACCAGCTCCAGAAGTTGTGGATGTGGTAAAGGTCAGCGCTACTGAGACTAACCCCCGCAACAACCTTGCAGAGATCCCAGCAGACCACTTGCTTTGTTCCTGAGTAGAGGCACTCATAGGGCAAAGAGGGGTATGGGGCCTTTCCAGAACAACCTCCCTCACCAGAAAGGCTGACCCCGCCCGCAAAGTCTTACGATTCATACGGCGTCTAGTATCGCAATTGCAGTACAAGCTCGAGTAATGGTTGGCGCCGTCGTCATCCATTTTGACATCGAGTATTCTATCGAGCTGGGGCATTGAGTGGCTTGCTTGCTTTTTGTTTACCCCGTCGCAGATCACTCTTAAGGCATCCGGCTTTGATACCAGCCTCTGCAGAGTCGACATAGTGTCAGAGCTCGTGGATACTAAGGCTTCTATCGCAGATTTCAACTCATCAACATCTCCCTTGGTCAGTGGGCTATTGCGTTGGCTGTGTGAAGTGTCGCAATCGATGCTTTTCTTGATGTCGAGCAGCAATGCATTTGTAGTCGATGTCTTCGCATGAATCTGGTAGACAGAAGCTTATGTACTGATTGAAATTTCCCTGCAAAGCATAAGCAATGACGATGCTAATCTTCGATGGAATCCATACAGTTCCATCACTTGTAGAGCCGATTGAAGAGCTATGTTTGCTGCCTCGAGCTTCTTGTCCAGAGAATTCAACTGGCCTCTGCGGAAAGGATAGAGTATTTTCTTCCTGTGGTCCCGTAACGTTTGGCCGGCCGGCTTCAACAATGGAGAGGAGTCTTGGATGAGGACGTTGTCCAAAAAGGCCTCAAGCTGTACTATTTGGGCGTCTGCAGCTTTCAAAGCCTCTTCTAAGGCCGCAGTGTTTGTGATAGACGACTTCAAAAGCTGATCTTCGAGAGATCCGATCTGTACCAAAAGTACTTGAAGGGACCTCTGATGCCGAATGGTTGATTCAACTCCATCTTTGCGACACTGGACTCCTTCGATATACGCACCGATTGCCGAGCTCACCTGGATGCCGAGCGAGATGACTCCGACGACTGTGCCAAGGACCTCCGCCATGATATCAGTCAACGTGTCGGGCGGCTTATCCTGCCTCGGTGACGGATCTAGGTGCGGCGCAGTACATGCACTTTAGACAATTCAGTCCACTTGCCACTGCGTAATTGCAGTGCAACACTTTCCGACCACGCGACTTTCTCAATGGATGTCGCCATGTGGGGCCGTCAAGGCACGGGACCCGAATGCGAAGATGTTCTTATCTCGATCTCGGCAACCCCGTTGACATTGTGCGGGGTGAATGCGAAAACCCCCATTTGCTTCTGGTCTTCATACTTATCCTCCCACCGGCATTGTCAGACGTCAGATGTGCATTCAAATATCTTTAGGATTGGACACATGGAGAATCTGAGACTGGGGTGTTCATGTACATTGTATGAAGAGGATAACTATTTACATTGACAGTGGATTCACGATCGACGACGGACGAGCCAGCGCTTGCAGTCCATTACTGCATTCCATTCGCACCTGCAATCCCCTTAATACTCTCTGCACCACGCTAGCTCACCGAGCTTCAGCAGAGGTCCGAGATAAGACACAGGAAGGACAAGACCGCCACTCATCCAGTTGCAGAGAGTGCCCCATGACTTATCGTTGTTGCAGTTGGTGAATTGCTTGTTGGCTGTCCTGGACTCGGTGACGGTGGTTTGGCCGTCGTAGGCATACTCGCACCATCCATGCGATGCCAAGCACGTCACCTTGCTGGTGCCGTCGAAGCTGGGGTCTTTGCCTTGGCAGTCCTCAACCTTGAAGATCTCGCTCAGGTTCGCCCAGCTCTTGTCGTGGATCTTGTTCAGAACATCGACGTAGTCGTTCTTCCACTCCTTAGGGTTGTGTAGTGCGTAGGAGCTGCCCGTGTCGGGATCAATCCAGAATTGGTAACAGTTGCCCGCGGGGCCAAGTCCGGGGCATGAGATGTGTCCGTTCGTCTGGGGTGCAAAATCAAGCGCGTTCACATTGGTTGAGCGGGCAGAGACGATGCCGTTTGCCTTGAGGGCTTGTGAGAGGACAAAAAGTTGTAGATCGTGGTAAAGCTCGGTGGCTTGAAGGTTCAAGCTGGTGACAGCACGTTGGCTGAAACCACCGGGCTCAGTGGCAGCAATAAAGAGGGTGCTGTTGTGTTGAAGCTCCTTCAGGGCGTTCTCAAGGCTACCTTGGTAGTCAATGACAAGCTGGGCGAGCTCGCTGCCGATCTTGCCGAGCGTGATGAAGCGAGAGTTGGAAGAGCCGGAAACCGAAGTCATGAAGAACGAGCTCATGCCGGTAACAACAGCCATGCCCGTAGCAACTCCAGCCAAAAGGGGGTTGGCGAAAGCACCGACGGCGGCCATCCAAAAACCGCCGGAGATCGAAGTCCACAATAGAGTGCTCGGAACCTGTGGGTCGGTAGACGGGGAAACGGTGGCAACGATATCCCCGATTGTGTCGGCAGCGAGCGAATGTCCGTTCCAGAGGGCCTCTGAAAACTGGTTAAAGAACTGCGAAATTGCGTAGATGTTCCAAAGAGTGTAAAATTGCTGAGGCGAGTAGTAGTTGGCAGCAACACCAGCAGTTTCGAAAGCCCCGCAGGTGTCGCGAGTGAGTGTGTCGCAGGTTCGGCCGCCGTAGCCATTGAAGGCCAGAAAACATTGGGCGAATCCCAAATTATCGCAGTCCGCCTTCGTGCCGTTTTCGGCAATCCACTTCGTGATGTAGTCGGTTACATTCAGCTGCGCCCAGCATTCGAGCTTGAGGCCTGTCTCTGAATCTGGAGAGCAGTCCAACGTCTGGCGGGTCACGAGGACGTCGTCTGGAGAGATGGCGGCCACTGCAGCGACAAGCAGTCCGACGGTGAGAAACGATCGGAATGCCATTGCAATAAAAGGCAATAACTGAAAAAACAAAAAGCAAAAAAGAAGGACGATTGTAAATGAGAGTCAGACCTGGTTCCTTGTCTACCACTTCATGAGAATCTGGGGTTGGGTGCTCATTGAGATTTGTACTCTACGACGATGTCTAAGTTTACCAGTTAAGGTGACGTCAGGTGAGTCTGTCACCGTATGTACCGAAAGATAAGCCTTTCATTATTTTGACTCAGGAGCATAGATTTGATCTGCATTTTCAGCGCGTTTTTTATATGAAGGAGCACGGCTTTAAAGCGTGCCAATATGGGGCTGAGCCAGGTCATTGACTCGGAGCACACCCACCACAATTCCGGCTCCACCGACGCCGACTTCAACGCCGCGAGAGGGATCGAGACAACACCGCAAAAAAGAGATCAATCGACCGGGCCCGCCTTCGAAAGTTGCGGGTAGAATCTACTTTGCCCAGACAAAAATAGTCTCTCCGACACGGCACGCATGCACTCCATCTCACCATCACTTGGCAAACTGACGAAAAGGGTCAAAAGGCTTCCTCCACTGATCGTGAGACGGGAAAATCATTTGCCGTCGGACAGTCTGGTCCAGCGATTGATTGGTTTCTCTTGAACTCTGGACCGAAATTCCGCTGACTTAATATCCAGCGCCGTGGTTTATCCTCCATCGCCGAGACGTTCATCACGTGGGAGATACAACAACATCTAATAACACAATGCTTAGCAAAGCTTTGACAGTGGCACAGCTGGGATAGACGTAGAAAAGGTGTAATTGAGTCTCAATTAGACGTTCGGCAATTGAAAATCGATTCCCGCGGTATGCGGAAGAGAGGATGCGCATGTCACCCGCTGGTTGAGACGGCCCGAGAAAAGCCCATTGTCGAGGAGTTAAGCCAAGCAACGAATCATAATGCCAGCTACAAACACGTTGTCTAATTGCCAGGGTATCCCGGGGAGGCTATGAACACCGTGTGTGGTGGGTTGCAACGCATCACCACCGCTGCCAATAACACCTAGAATTATTACGGACCGCAAAGCAACAGTTATCAACTTGCCATCGAGCGCGTTGGATGTTGGAGCAACCGGCACAGCTCCTATTACCCCTAACCGTGTCTCTCGTAAGGCTGATCCCATATTTTGACAGGTCGGTGTGCGAAGCTTGCGCCTCGAAAGTTGGAAATCGGAATCATTTACTTACATGTATGGAGGTACCCACAGAACAACATCGTCATGAGCGATTAATATATCGATTCTGACTCTCTACTGACCGCCACAGGACTACTCATGGATACCCAACGTTAATGGACTATTCGCCGGCTGTATCCTCATTGAGACACAGCCAATGGTACAGATACGCTGAGATATCGAGTTAAAGTCCTCTGTTGTACGTTGAGCGGCTGAGGACACGGAGTCCGACTTGGTCACTCAGAGCTAGTCATGCAGTGGGAGAGATCGGTCATGTTCCGATGAGACATCATGGGCCTTCATAGAGACGGCAGAGTCGCGTTTCATTCTGTTCACAGCGCCCTAGAGGCCCAATCAAAATACAAAGAGTCACGCTGCACTCTTAGCGATGAGAATCCCACCGTAGGCGGCCGCTTCCGGCTGCTGTTAAAAATACCTTTTCCCAGCGGAAAAGACCGAATCCGATCTGAGCTGCGCCGAGAATCAGCCACGACATTTACGCACTCCCCTGCCGTGAAAGTGGCGGTGGATTTCTGGCATCGCAAAAGTAGCTTGTCGCATCACCGACAGAGACGCTGAGGCTTTTGAGATGCAACGTCTAGTGCCGAGGGGGACTGTGGCATTGACGGCGTCTCCGGTAGAAAGCTGCCTTCCCGCCTCGACTTCTTAGACAAAAGATCTATAGGTTTCTCAAAACCACTTCGACGCAAATGCGTACACAACCTGGTCGGACTGCATTGTTTACCAAAACGCTTGCGATGAGCCTCACGAAGCCTACTTGAAAACGCCGTGACGATGGCGTTTAGGTGCTCTCGTCGATTGCCGGCTATCCCTCCAGTCGTTAGTTAGGTGGAGAAACAGCCTCACGAGACCGGTTTTCAAACGCAGGGAAAACCCGAGTCCGACGTCAAAATAGGAGTATCATATGAATATGTCAAATATCACAATTCCATCTGCGTTGGCGACGGAAATTGCGGCACGGGTTTCTGGGCAGCAGGGGGGTTGAGTCGTGGCGTGTCTTGAACACACCATTCCAGCCGATAACGACTTATCAAATACGACCAGCGGCATTGGGATGAACAGTCACGGAGAGCTTATTTTGCCTTTACTATGTTTCGAATTTTCGTTTAACAGGAGCATGTCATCTTCTCCTTATTATCGCATGCCCCCCACCTCATGCTTTGAAGCTGGCGACCTCTGATATCGTCTTCATGAATCGAGTAGCATCATGCCCGAACCTGCCGAGGAACAAGCCATCCACAGCCTCTCCAAGTTTCTCAAAAAGCCCAGGTCCAGCACTGCCACCATAAATCACTCTAGTAGATCCTGTCCTTTTCTTCATGCTCTCATATGATCTGATGCCTTTCACCACAGAGATGACGTGGTCCTCGCTGGCAGGTTGGTCAGCACCGATAGCCCAGACCGGCTCGTATGCGATGATGACTTCCGCAGAATCAGGGATATCAGCCAAGGCTTGGTCAACTTGAGTTTGGCACTCATCAAGTGCAACTTGCACGTCTCCCCTCGTCTTCTCGCCGATGCAAATCAGCGGGGCCATGCCATTTCTGCTCGCGGCCGCTGCCTTTTTGGCGGTGATCTGATCGTCTTCGCCAAATATCCTCCTTCTCTCTGCATGTCCAACCTCGACTATTGACACCCCGGCCTCGCTCAGCACCGAGGGGCTGACCTCTCCGGTGTATGCGCCAAAGTCTTCCCAGTGGCAGTCCTGTGCGCCAAGCCGGATCGGCACGGTAGAGAACTTTAGTAGCTGGCTGACAGGGTATATGGAGACAAAATCGGGGATGAGAAATATGTCGACATTTTCGAAGGTATTTGCTGGAAGAGAGCTGAGCTGAGATTGCACTTCTTTGGTGAAGTCGATGGTCCGTTGGAGAGGGAAGTATGCCTTAGTTGAGAGGCCAATCAGCCTCCGTTGTGGTGATGCAGCCATGATGAATATGTGGGTATGAGTTGTTCGCTAGCTAAGACATTCAGATGAGATACCTTTGAAGCTATTCGGAGGCGTCCATTGTATGAAAATGGTCGTTCCATACCTAAATAGCGGTGCCGCGGAAAATCGGGGGTTTCTCCGCGCCGGCGAGCTTGAGCGGAGTCACGGCGCATGGACTTGCGGAAAAGCCCACTTGGGATGTACAACTGTGCGGGCCGATCGTCCGACCCGCGTATCCGCCCGTAGCCAGGTTACTGGGTACCGCTGTCAGCTATTTTGTGTTCTGACATAATGGAAACTGGATGAAAGCAACATGACAGATGAAGCTTGCTGGGGTTTTCTCCGGAACACTTGATTGTGTTTCATCGATCTCATCCATTACCTAAGTGATTAATAAACTCAATAGGTTAATTCATGATGATGCAAGTTGCGGCTGAATACCTTGCATTGACCTCGTTCTGACGGCTGGCTGCTCTCATCTCATCCGTGTGCTTTCTCTGCACATTATTTTCGCATCTTATGATTCAATAACGATACGTTCATGGAAATTGAGACACGCGTTGTGTTGCTCACTACCTTATCGTGTCACCGCGAGTATTCATGCCCGCAGACCTGTTACAGTAGTTCAACATAAAACTTCCCTTCCAAAAGTGAAAGCCAAATCACTCTGGTTGCCATTCCTTCCTAGAACAAGCACTGGTTCAATTGCTTTTACCCCTTTGCCATCACAGTGAAACTTCTCGAAGGGTGTCCTTTGAAACGAGGATCATCAATACTACAATTGGCATGATTAAGTAAACATGTGTCACGCAGTGTTCGTTCACGATATGGCGTGGCATCACAGTTATATGGAAGGTGGGAGTGCATATTGAACTGGGGAATGACTTTGAATTATCTACTTTTGGTCACAATCTAGGCTTCCAGGCTGTTGATAACCTGGACCTTTGCGGCACTGCCGCTCTTGGGGTCGAACTCATAACTCAACCACTCCTTCGCAAGTCGTCTGGCAAGCTCCTGGCCAATCACTCTCTCGCCCATACACAGAACCTGGGCATCATTGCTCAGAATCGAGCGCTCTACACTGAAGCTGTCGTGTGCTGTGACGGCTCGGATGCCTTTGACCTTGTTGGCGGCGATGGCCATGCCGAGTCCAGTGCCGCAGATGAGAAGGGCACGATCGGCCTTGCCGTCAGCGACCATCTGTGCTGCGGCGGCGGCTCTGTGGGGGTATGCGGTCTTGTCGGTGCCCTCGTGGCTACCAACGTCTTCGACAAATTCTACTCTGGCATCCTTCTCAAAGTCTGCCTTGATCGTATCTTTGTACTTGATGCCGGCCTCCTGTTCCGAGGCGTTAGCAGGGTCTCATGTCACCAGGGGGGAGGTTCCTCATACGTCGCAGCCGACGACAATGCGGTACTTCTGGCCCGGGTTGCTACCCATTTTGGTGTGTTTTGATGATTCCGAGTGTGTTGTGAAAGGCAGGAGTGTGATGGGTGATGATGGTGCAAGATGCAGTTGTTAATTGCTCGTATTGTCAATGATTTCCCATTGATGTTTCATCCAGGAGGGATTGGGAGCTGTTTTGAAGCAGGAAAGGCAAAACGCGTCACCTGGCTGGTCGGATAATCGCACACCAGACCCGAGGTGGCGGAAGAGCGGAAAATCGGCAGATGAAGGGGGACCACACACATGCCTGCACAGAGTAGCAGTATGAATCACACTTGCGGAAGTGTGAAGACGGGGTAGGCCAACCCCAGCTGATCTCTCATTGCGGAAATCCGGGGTGCAGCAGGCCGATTGCCCGCTAGATCCCTTGTTCACAACCGACCCCCGCACAGCCCTTATGATATTACCCACCCGTCATCCTACATTATGTACCAAGTTCAGTCCGAACGAACTCCTGTCAGGTCATTCCATCTTCAATTCATCTGTTCGTCTTTCAGATCATCTCAAATCTTCCCCCTATCGCCAAATTCACACTTTCCTCAAACCAGACATCAGACACCATGTCAGACCGTCACATCTTCCAGTCCGCAGATGGACTGGTTGACAAGTGTCTGAGAGGCCTCATTGCCTACAACCCCTCTCTGGGCCTTGACGCCTCCAACCGCGTCGTCTTCGATACAACCTACGACAAGTCCAATATCAGCATCATCTCTGGCGGAGGATCAGGTCACGAGCCAGCATGGTCCGGCTACGTTGGAAAGAACATGCTTGCTGCCTCCGTCGCTGGTGACATCTTTGCCAGCCCCTCAGCAAAGCAGATCTTGGCCGGTATTGAGGCTGTTCCTTCAGACGTTGGCACCCTTCTCGTTGTCACGAACTACACCGGCGACTGCCTTCACTTCGGACTCGCCAGCGAGAAGGCAAGGAGTAAGGGACACAACTGCCGCATCATTATCTGCGGTGACGATGTCTCGGTTGGCAAGAAGAAGGGCAGCTTGGTTGGCAGACGTGGTCTTGCCGGCCAGCTCGGTGTTCTCAAGGTCACATGCGGTGCTGCCGGTGTCAAGGCTGGCTCCTTCGATGAGATCTACCAACTTGGTGTTGCGGTTGAGAACGAGATCGTCTCCATTGCAGCCACCCTCGATCACTGCCACGTCCCTGGACGCACCGAACACGCTCAGCTCAAGGCTGATGAGCTGGAGATCGGCACTGGTCCTCACAATGAGCCTGGCTACAAGAAGCTTTCCCCCAGGCCATCCCCTCAAGACCTGGTTGACCAGCTGTTGGAGTACTGCCTCAAGGAGGACGACCCTGAGCGATCCTATGTCAAGTTCACCCCCGGCGATGAGACCATCCTTCTGGTCAGCAACTTCGGCGGCATCTCCTACCTGGAGCAGGGTGCGCTGGTTGACGAAGTCCTCCAGCAATTGGAGCAGAAGTGGAACGTCAAGCCAGTCAGAGTGTTCGCTGGTCCCCTCGAGACATCACTCAACGCACCTGCCTTCTCCCTGTCTCTTATGAACATCACAGCAGCCTCGAAGAAGTGCTCCTTCTCAGTTGAGCAGATCAAGGAGTTTGTCGACATCAAGACCAACACCCACTGGGAGTCCATGGCCGGAGCCCAGACCGTACGACGCGATCGCAAGTCCCAAATCGTTCACGCTGCCCCCGAAGAACCCAAGACGATCGATGCGAACAGCGACGTGAAGATGGACCCCGCGATCCTAAAGTCCATGCTGCGTGCGGCTTGCTCTGCAGTGATCGACGCCGAACCCGACATTACAAAGTGGGACATGATCATGGGGGATGGAGACTGTGGAGAAACCCTCCAGACTGGCGCATCGCACCTCTTGGAGGCACTGGACAAGAAGGGCGTCGCCGATGGCGGCTCTATTGTCGCTGTCTTGCATGAGCTGGAAGACATCGTCGAGAGCAAGATGGGCGGCACACTGGGCGGCATCCTGGGCATCTTCTTTGTGTCCCTGTGCAACTCCGTCAAGGAGAACGCGCCCCTTGCCAAGTCCAAGGGCATCCTGTCTGTCTGGCAATTGGCCCTCGCTTCCGCGCTGGAGCACCTCAGTCACTACACCCCCGCGAAGGTGGGCGACCGCACAGTCCTTGACGTCCTGATCCCCTTCGTGGAGAGCATCAGGAACGGAGGCTTCGACTCCGCCGTCCAGGCGGCTGTCGACGGCGCGGAGGCAACTAGAACCGCAAAGGCAAAGCTCGGTCGGGCGACGTATGTTGGAAGCACGACGGAAAATGGAGGTGCCCAACCCCCCGACCCCGGCGCGTGGGGTGCGATGGTGGCAATCAGGGGTTTGCAGACTGGCTTGGCGTAATTGGTACGCGTGCACTCGGATATTCAAAATTAGCGATTAATAGAGTAAGATTCCTCCACTTTTGTGCCTCCCTCTCAACAATCATTCTGACATCAGTCTGTAGATAGGTAGCGGCTGGTGTTTCCCAATTCCAATTGTTGAACCAAAAAAGATGGACACACAAAGATGGAGCTCCCGGCGTGTCACGTAATGGCCAAATCAGTCAAGGCAAAGAAAGCAAGCCCAACGTCTCCGAGATCCCCGTTGATGCGGAAAAGGGTTTGCCACACTTCCGCCGCCTTCGTGTTGAGTTTTTGATACACACCTGACCTCACGTCTTATCCCGAACAGAGTATGCCGCGTGGGGCAACCCCTCCCCAGACCCCGAGCATCGTCGTTCGAGACCAACAAGTGCCCGAGTGGTTGTTTCTCGGTGATTTCAGGCTGTTTGCGCCGGATTACCCGATTAGGAAACCCGAGGGCTGAAGCCGGTGTGGACGCCCGGGATCCGTGGTTGGTTGGTTCATCTTTCCCGCCTGGAACGGCCTTTGAGCTTGGGTGGAGAGGGGTTCCATGCGGAGTCCGGGGTGTTCGCGGGGCATTTGGAGGGAAGACGGGGTCTCGTGAGGCTCCTGTGATCGGACGACCCGCCGGGGAACTGGGAATGTTGAGTCCATCTCCTTATTTATGGGTTTTTCTTGGGCAGCTAAACCAAGTCTAGCAGTTCCACCATGAGACAAGTCTGACCAGATCGTGCATTACACTCCGGACGGATGCTGATTCAGGGTCCAAGGGGCAAAAGGGGTTGAGTTGACAGCAGCAGCAGCAGCAGCAATCAACACAAGCGAGCACAGCTGATGGGGAGCTCTGAGCTTCACACAGAACAGCTAGCAGTGTCTTTGAAATACGGATCCCCGGATTGTCACACGCCCAATACTTCGCCTCGTTTATCCACAATACCGGTGGACCGGACAGTTCACCGCGTTCTGGCCAGAACCTTACCTTGAGCCATCCATGGCAACGTCACCCATCCATCAGTGCTGTTTTGTTGGTTTGTGCCCGTTGGCTGGGCTGTTATGCGCTAAACCAGGGGGAGATCCTGCGCTTACACCTTCCCCTCACATCGTCAACTTTTTTTTGGCAGCACGATCGGCATAAACGGACGCGGTCGGTCGACACCCCGAACCGAACCGTGACGTGCCCCTCACCTCACGATGTTTTTTTGCTGTGTGCAATTGGGGAGCTTTTTTGGTCTGCAGCCATTTTTGAGTTTTGACCTTAGTCGAATATCAGCGCTTCTTCTTTGCTCTTACACCTACCTCCCTCGACTTACGATACCCAATTGCTCGAAACGACGATGCCCCCCGACCGACATGCGAGCCGAGCCAGTTTTGCGTGCACTCGATGCAAAAAAGACAAAAGACGATGTGATATTTCCCAGGTTTTAAGTGAAGGAGGAAGATCTTGCACGCTATGTCGGAACAAGAATGAGAAGTGCGAGGTCCGGTATGGCGAGGACAAGCGCAGCCATCGCCGACCGAGCGAGTCCAAGGCACTGCACCAGCGGATGCAGGCCCTGGAAGAGTTCGTGAGGAACGCCTCCCGGGTTGATGGACAATCATTCGGGATCTTCAAAGACGACGACAGCTCCAGGAGCTTGAGGCAATTCTCTTTTCCAAGCCCTGCGAGCTCTTCTAGTACTGGTACACACACAAGGACTGTTTCGATGCCCTCTTATGAGAAGCCAGAGACTTGGATCACAACGCCCCAAGCCGAACCTACACCAAACTCCCTCCGATCTGAGTCGGTCTCGAGCGATCATATCCCATACAATGAGCCCATGCTTGAGCAATTGAGCTTCCCTTCGGCAATGGATGAGGCCATGCCAGAAGAGGGCGCCGCAGAAAATGATGCATATTTGGGATACACCACCATGTTTCCTTACTTGGGAGATGAGGCCAGTGCAAGAGGTTCCAAAGTCAATGGCTCTGCGCCTGTTGCGAATAGACAGCCTTACGAGCCATCTGAAGTACATCCCGAGCCAGAACCCATTGTCGCGCATCTTCTCGACCTTTTTTGGCAGTGGCAGGCGCCTCATTTGCTCGTGATCGATCGCGACTTGTTTCTCCGTCATCGGAAGCTTTGGGATGACAGTGGAGGTCTAGGCGACCGCACTTTCTATACCCCAACTTTATTGTACGCGATACTTTCGTTGGCTTCGATGATCAGTCTTGATAAGGGCGTTGTGCGTTACTCTGCATCATCTGGCGGACTTGCTGGCGACAATTTTGCCACAAGGGCGCGTGAGCTGCTCGACTTAGAGCTCGAGCACCCAACCACCACAACAGTCCAAACAGCCTTGATCCTGGGTTGTAGGTTTGAGGCAGCGGGGCATATCTCTTTGGGCTGGATGTACAGTGGTGAGTTTTCATAGTTCGAAATGCCTTCACGAGACACTGACCAAGAATCTGTTCTTCAGGCATGGCAATCAGGATAGCGAGCGAACTAGGGTTACATCTTGACTGCTCAAAAGCGATGAGGTCTGGGAGAATGAGCTCTGACCAGGCGAGACTGAGGCAAAGAGTATTTTGGGCGTGCTATCAAGCAGATGCGTGAGTGCAGAGGAAAAATATGCATGCTCCTGCCGTTCTGATGCTAACACTCTCTCCCAGTCTGCTAAGTGCTTGTCGCGGGCGTCCCCCTACATTCAGAGATGACGATACTACGCTGTCCGTACCAGAACGACAAGCCGAGAAAGAAGTTAGCGGCGATGAAGACTGCTCTTTATGCTATCTCCATGCGTCTTCAACTCTGTCTATTTTGTGTTCGAAGACCAGGACTATGATTTACGGTGAAAGAAACCGACGAACACCGAGCGAGCTGAGATCAACAGCTCGGCGATTGCATGAGGAGTTGTGGCGGTGGCATCGGATGTTGCCACAAAGGTTTAGATGGTCCAGCGACGAAAGCGTCAAAACATCGTCTGAAGTCTTGATCCTGCAGTATGTCCCCAAAAACCTGCTTCATCGCCAAAGAATCACTCTAAGTTGCTAACAATGGTTTTGTTTCCAGCATGACTTTCTACTTCAACCTCATCATGCTCCATCGACCTTTTATGAACCATTCTAGAGTCGCCACCCTCGACATGCAAGCTTCTGCCTCTTTCAACCCAATAACCGTGTGCTGTGAAGCTGCGACAAAAATAGGAAAACTAGCTTTTGCCTATCGAAACCTGTACAACATCAAGCAGATGCCACCATCTGCAATTCACGTCGTTTTTATTGCTGGAACCATACATCTCATTAATAGCCACCTGGGCGGGGAGGCAATCCATGATCAACCTCTTCAAGGCTGCATGGAGGTGCTGTCAGAGATGAGCAACTCATATCCCACATCCAAAAAAGCGCACCAGATTCTCCGGGATATGACTGAGAACTGGAAAACCTCTGAAAACCCCAAGGATTGCAGCCAGGTTGTTCGTGCTAGCTATACGCTCCATGATGTTCCAGTGGAGACTACAGATCAAAGATCGAGTTTCCAAGTTACAGGCACCATAGGCAGCAAGGCCGGGAATGCACAATCGGAAATGACCAAAAGCCAGAGATGCTTGGATGCGTCATCGCCGACTGACATCCTTCACGACGTCAACCTATACGATCAACTCACACTTGGGCAAGGCGGTAACAACTGTGGTTTCCTAGGCTCCGGAATGGAGTGGTTTTCGGATAACGACCTTTTCGAAAGCATTGCCGGGGCCGAAAGCTCTTTTTCATACGCATAGGAGCGATTATCAGGTTTAACGATTATGTCTTTGTAATGTGGCCAAGGCCTTGGTAGACAAAAGAAAGTCGTCTAAGTTCAAGAAGATGTCGAGTTATGAAACCTACCAAAACGCCGTGAGAACAATGCCCTAAATTCAAGACAATCAGGTCCTTTTTCATGATGGATGCGCATACAGCGGACCCCCTCCCCCGGATAATCAATAAACGCCCACCCTGTCCAGTCTTCTCAAACAGACAAGCCTCTTCGCATATCAATGGGGGGTTTGTCTCCTCATGAAGTCGATCCAGTACTGAACGTCTATAGAGTTAGAGCCTCCGTTGCTTGCATCGCTATCAGGTTCGCCCATGTGCCCTTGCCACTGAGCGTCTTCGAAAAACGAGTTGCTAGAGGTGTCAGTCGAACCATCATATCCTATAAAAGGGACGCTTGTATCGCTCGAAGTCGGGTACACGGTGCTGTTGAATGAGTCAATTGATAGAACTCCTGAAGGCGGATAGACGGTGCTGTTGAAAGAGTCAATTGACGCATTCCCTGAATCCGTATAGACGGTGCTGTTGAACGAGTCAACTAAGTGATTGCTAATTTGAGGCGAAGTGGAGGAGGCATATGAGTTGGGCGGACAGTCAAATGGCGCGTTCCACGGACGTTGATTGTTGGCGTCAAACTCCAGTCGCTGCAGGGCAGGGTATTGGGACATAAACTGCTGTTGCATGTTGTTGGCTTCGCTGCGCAGAGTCGAGAAGACATTCAAGAACGTGGCTGCGTAGTGACTGGAAGTTGTCTCATGAATTCTTCGCTGCTCCCGATACTCCCGGCTGGCCTCTTGGGCGACCCACTGACGCAACAAGACATTGGACGGGTTCGCAATCCCTTGCCGAAGGTTCGGCATCAAGACTGTGTTGACAATGAAGCTGTTACGCGAGTGGCAGGTGTTGCATAGTCCACCCTCGTTAGGATTAGCGGGAAACGAAGTCGGCGGTGGTACATCAACCTGGTTTAAAACGTACACCCGGAGTGGTACAAAGCAATCTTCGCAATCCAAAGGGCGACGGCAGTGAGGACATGGGAGTGGAATGAAGTCTGCCTGCCGCCTCCACTCGGTCAAGCAGTCAAGGCCGATGAGGTGGCCGCAAGGCAGAACGGCGGCCAGTTCCTGGTGATCGTGAGGGCCGGCAGGATAGTGTTCGGAGCTGAACGGCACAGAAGTCAGATTGTGGCAAGCACAGCAAGGAATCTGTATCTCGGTGTTACGGTGCTCCTCAGACGATCCGTTGACGTGATCCTGGTGGAGTCTCTCGAAGTAAGGTCTGATGTTGGGCCAATAGTCGTCTCGGATAATTGTATGCTGCGGTGCATTGTTTTGTACGATGTTGTTGTCGTTGTTGTTGCTGTTGTTTGCGAACTGATCGATTGCCGTTGGTCCGCCTACAATTTCCCCGTGGTCTTCACCATGATTTTCATCACCATCCGCCTGCGGACCTTCCTTGTTGTCGGTCATGTGGTCATCCTTGTCGACAGGACCATTGGGTTTCTGCGGCTCATCATTGTCTTGATCTTCGTCGGGGTCGGTCATTTCGTCATCACCTTCGTTGTCCTTGTTATCGTCCTTGTCTTCGTCTTTGTTTTCATCCTGGTCTTCATCCTGGTCTTCATCCTGGTCTTCCTGGTCTTTGTTTTCATCTTCCTCGTCGTTTTCACTCTCCCCTGAGTCATCCTTCTCAAGACGGGGCTTCTTCGGCGACGGTGGTGGTGACTCAGAATGACTGCGACTGCGCTTGCCATTCGAATTGATCTCATCTTCATCGCTTTCCCCCTCGTCATCGCCTTGGTTCTCAACATTGCCATTGTCTTGACCTTCCTCCTCATCGTCATCATCATCATCATCATTGTCTTCTTCTTGCTTCGCAGCCTCAGCTGCCGCCTCTGCCGCTGCCTTTGCTGCAGCTTCAGCTTCAGCTTGCTCCCTTCTCCGTTGCGAACGGGTCTTCATATGGTGAGTAGACGCAGCAGGCGGGCTTGTCCTTCTGGGAGCCATTGTGATGTCAGTTGTAAGATTACTCAGCTTTTTGTGAAGACTTTTCGTGTGATATGATGAGAGCTGCTTGGCTCGCTAGTGCTCGTGTAGCAAGTGATTTTAGTGTCCCTCCGGGGCTGACTTTGAAGCGTCTTTGGTAGTATTGATGGTTCTTTCGAGCTTGTCGTTGTTGTGGGAATAGTTGTCCTGATGATTGTGAGGGTGATGGGATGGATGGGAATGGATCAATGTCGCCCATGGAAAGTTAAGTACCAGAGGCGGAAGTTGCTTGAATTTCATCTTATTCATCTTATTGAAGTTGTTCGTCTAACACTTTACGCCATAAAAGAAACTTTCTGACGTTGTTAAGGAACAATCTTATTGAGACGCGGTCTCCAGACAACTCCCAGACAATCCCATTGTGATTTCTCTTTGGCCTACATAACCCAGATTCAATAAAGATGGCTGTGAATTGTACAATGATGGTGTTGTGTTCAATGTTCTGCTGAGTTCAACAAAGCAATTGAGTGAGGAGATCCTTTTGTCGAGGCAAGACCTGAAATGTCTTTGTCAACCGTTATTCATCAACCACGAGTGTCCGGCGAGCCGAAGCCCAGCCGACGAAGGGTCTCGCTCCGACATCTTTCGCCATGCAAGTCGGATATGAATTTAATCTACGCGGGCGACGGCGCATGAGCAGGAAGGGAGCCTATTGGCCGTCGGTCGTCCCCCACATCGTATTCCCAATGATCCCGGCCAACAATGGAGCTGAGCCCACCATGCTCTGCGATCTCGGCGCCTAATTCGCGCGTTTATTCAACATTAACTTTCTTTCTAGCCCGATCAGGGTCCACCAGGCAAGTGTGCGACAATATTACAAGTCAAAGCCATCTTATCAGATCGTCTGATTATTCTTGACCTTGGTTCAGCTGGCGCGGGCGACCAGGAGGCATGTTTTGACGGAAACGGAGACTCTGGAATCCATTACATGAATTTCCAGCGTGATCGGTCGCAAGGTGCTTCCTCTGAAAAGGTCTTGGACGAGCAACTAGCAAGCATGTTCCTGCCAAGACTTGGCCGGCGACCTTCTGCCTCGACCTTCCCGATTGAGGGTTACAACGAGCCAAGATAACACCATTCTTCAGTGGGATACCTTCTTGCCTGCAGATATTCAATATACAGCTTCCACGACTAGGGACTTGCATGCTCTCGCATTTGTCACTCGCCGATGCGTCGGCCGTCAAGCGCCGAGATGCTGCGAGCATGGCATATATGTTGACCTGCCACCGTGCACCAACGCAAGAGCTTGAGACAGGAGAAGTCACTTCACGTCCGTCTGACTCTTAGGTCAAGCTTCCTACGGTTGATTTAATATGGGTTGGACTTTCGGTTCCCTGGTGGTCTCGCTCCTCCTGAGCACCACAGCCCTCGCGGCCGATGTGCCTGCCGTGGCTTTGGGTGAGAAGAAGCCCTTCTCACCCCCAAGTCGACGATTCGCGGTTCAGTTCTCGTCATCCGGTTCCGCGAAGTTTAGGAAGCGGGACGGGACTCCTGTAAGTGTCACAATGCCACGCATAGCCTTCATGGCTGATGAGTACAGGACACCGAGGGCTTCTTCGAGAGTCTCCAACTCACCAATAACACCGCCAAACCCGCCCTGAATTTCACCTCGGAGATCTTCCACGGCGCCTCATTCGAACTGCTCAACCACACTGCCACGTCCCTCCAGCAGATTGAGGAGCTCCCTGAGGTCGAGAAACTATGGCCCGTCTCCGCCGTCTACGCACTGAAGCCTAACGCATCGGACATCATGTCCGAGCCCGAGGCCAAATGGGACCCTCACGTGCTGACCGGAGTCGACAAGGTCCACAAGCTGGGCCACTCCGGCGAGGGTGTCGTCGTAGCCATCATCGACACGGGCATCGACTACAACCACCCCAACCTCGGCGGCGGCTTCGGTGCCGGATTCAAGGTCGAGGGCGGGTACGACCTGGTCGGTGACGACTATGAGATCGGTGGAGAGTACATGCCTGATGACGACCCGATGGACTGCGCTGGTCATGGCACTCACGTCGCTGGTATCGTGGCGAGCTCGCATGAAGATCTGCCCGGAGTCGCGCCGGATGCCAGACTGAGGATCTACAAGGTTTTCGGATGCGGTGGAAGCAGTATGGAGGATGTTATTGCCCAGGGCTTCATCAAGGCTCACGAGGATGGCGCTGATATTATCTCTGCTTCTCTGGGCTCGAACGACGGGTTTCCTGAAAACATTCTTGCGGTCGTGGCGTCGAACATTCAGGCCAAGGGGACGTTTGTCACAGTCGCTGCCGGCAACAGTGGCGAGATGGGTCCTTTCTACACAAGTAGCGCCGCCAATGGCTTCGGTGTCACTGCCGTCGGCAGTGTTGAGCACACTCAGACTGCTGCATTCAAGGTCACCGCTCGCTCCAGTGGCAACGAGACCCGTGAGATTCTTTACGTCAGCTCCGACACCGCTCAATGGTCCCGCAACGGAAGCTTCCCTGCCCACTTCCTTGATCAAAACTACACTGGTCTTGACTCCTGCGACGTTTGGGAGTTCCCGGATGTTTCTTCTGACAGCGTCCTCATTCTTCCCCGAAGCACTTGTATCTGCGAGTGCTGGCAGGTCCTCGACTCCAACCTCTTCGGCACGAGCGTCAAGTGGGTGTTCTACTACAACTTCGAGAATGCCCCGTGGGAAATCCCCAACCGCGGGGTCTACAATCCCGAAGAGCAACCCCTTGGGTTCGGCCTCATCAGCTACGAAGATGGACAGTGGCTCGTCAAGCAGCAGGAACTCGGCCGCAAGGTCGATCTTGAGTTTGTCGCCAATGGAGGCCAGGCCGTCGGTATTCCCGGAGTGAACTCCGAGTCCATCGCCGGTGCTATTGACTTCTTCTCTTCGTGGGGTTTGACGGTAGATGGACGTTTGAAACCTGAGATCTCTGCGCCAGGTAAGTCTTCCCTAAGCATGCCATCATGTATACCTGACTAATGTTGGCCAGGTGGATCTATCCTGTCTACTTACCTCACCTCCGAAGGTGGATGGGCTGTTCTCTCTGGAACGAGCATGGCGACCCCCTACGTGAGTCATTGTCTCGTCAGGATGTCAGTATGTTGCCTAATTATTATCAACAGATCGCCGGTGTCGCAGCTCTGTACTTCTCCGCCAACGGTGGACGAGCCAGCATTGCCGATGCGGGCAACACTGCCCACCACCTGATCACGTCAAGCGGAAACCCGGTGGCTCACCACGATGGAAGTGGTTCCCTCGCGTAAGTTCTCCCCTCTGTGAATCCTCAACGAAGCTAACGAATTCAGACCCATCCCGATGCAGGGCGCAGGCCTAGTCGACGCTTTCAAGGTGATCACGTACAAGACCTCCATCACCCCCGCGGTCCTCAACCTCAACGACACCGACCACTTCCAAGGAACCCACGAGGTCACCATTCATAACAGTGGCAACGAGACCGTCACGTACCACATTGCTCACCAGGCGGGGTCCACAGTCACCACCAAGCCCGACGGCGATCCTGTTGTTGCCTTCCCCCCGGTGCCGTACTCGTTCAAGGAAGAGGAGCTCGCCACGGTCACGTTCTCCACGTCAACCCTTGAGGTCGCTGCGGGTGCAACTGGCACATTCACGGTGACTTTCGTCGAGCCCGCCGGAATCGATGCCAGTCTCTTCCCTGTCTACGGCGGCTGGATCAACATCATCGGCTCCAACGATGAAGCTCTCCGCGTTACATATGCCGGTACGCTGCCCTTAATTGTCCTTCCTTCTTGAACACGACTAACATCCATCTCGCAGGTATCAAAGGCAGCGTCTACGGCAGCAACATCTGGGCCGACGGCTGGATCGACCCCGTCGTCCAAACCCCAGACTTCGTCCTCGTCAAGGAGAACGACACCTTCAAGATGACAATCGAGGACACCTTCACCATCGACTTTGAAATTCTCTGGCCCACGCGCGAGTTCTCCTTTGACGTACGCTCCACACCCTCCTTTTCGCCTTCTGCACCAGCGCTTGAACTAACTCAACCCCAAAACAGCTCGTCGGCCCGACCTGGGAGCCCAGCGACTGGGCCTACCCCTTTGTCCCGGGCCAGAACAAGTACATCGGCTCCCTGCAGCACTACAACCTCATCTCGGACGCGTACTTTGACGCCCCCGTGCAGCAGTACCCGCGTCTGCCGTCCAGCGCGTGGTGGCCGAGCGGGAACTACTCCCACGGCGGCACGGTCGAGAGCGGTGAGTACAAGATCTTGTCGAGGGCGTTGAGGACCTATGGGGATTATCACAATGTCAGTGATTGGCAGATTCGGGTGTCGCCCAAGATCATTGTGGACAAGAACAAGGCCTGATAGTAGTACAATATCGGGTATAGTAATGAGACTGCCTGTACTCTGTCACTTTGACTAACTATCCTTTGTACAGGTCTTAATGATATGACTATTTGAAGATAGTGTAGATCGTAGCAGCAACCATAACAATGCTTACTGAATCGTACTCACTACCACGACTAACACACACATTCATGAACTCCTTTTCAAACCGGATCAGTCTCCGCCTCATCCACAACAACCTCCTTCTTCCTCACCCCCCACGCCTCCGGCCCGATATACCTCTTTGGCCAAATATTCATCGCCGTCTTCAGCCCCTCCGCCAACGGCAAGCCCGCATGCACAACCCTCTCGTCCCCCGTCCCATTCGCATGCAAATTCACCCAAAATACCGCATTCCCCCTGACCGGCTTAAACGCCAGCCCGCCCTTCTCAAACCTCCTCCACGGTCCATCCTTCGCCTTATCCTGCGGCGCCACCGCCTCAACCTTCGGAAACCACGTCTCCCCGCCCACGCACTCATCCTCCAAAATCGCAAAGAAGCTCGCGACCCGGTTCCACCGCCTTTCTCTCCCGCTGGTGCGGTCCGGCTGGAACGTGTCGTACCAGTCGTGGTGCACGTTGAACCGCTGCCCCGCGGTATACCGCACCAGCTGCGGCGGGCCCATCTCGTCCCTCCCCGGCGCGAGCGTCGTCCCCATGAAGCGCTCCGCGCGCGCGAGCACGCACTGCACCGCCGCGTCGTCGAGCGGCAGCCCGGCGGAGGAGGACGTGCGGTCGGGCGTGCCCTGGCGCCGGCCGTCCTTGTAGACGAACGAGGGCTTGAAGGCGGGTTCGCCGGCGGCGAGGAGGGCGGGGATGTCGGACTCGGAGAGGAAGTTGTGGATGTAGATTACGAGGGGGTCGAGGGAGACGATCTGGGTGGTGTAGTTTTGCGAAAGGCACTGGAAGGGCTCGGAGGCGGGTGTTGAGGAGTTTGAGGCGGTTTGGAGGAAGGGGAGGACGTCGGTGAGGACTTTGAGGGATGGTGATGACAGGTTGAGCGTTTGGAGGTGTGGGAGGGTGATTGCGACTAGGCCTGTGTAGGCGGAGAGGCCGAGGAGTTTGGTGATGAGGCCGGTCATGGTGGTGTAAGTGAGTATGAGCAATTGGCCCAGCGAGCAGTCCCCAGAACGGTGGGCAAACCCCACGTCATTGAGAATGAGGGGACCGTTAGATTCAAATATCCTGCTCGGCAGGCCATGTTCACATTGGACATTGTGCCGACATCCCGCGCGCGCTTCAGATAGATCAATGGAGCATCCTCCTCCGAATGTGCGGAGAATCTATCCGCGGGCCGGCTGGTTGGAGGTTGTGCCAAGGGCGCCAAGGGTTCCCTGCCATCCGACTCCGCATTTCGTGTTGACGGTGCATTCCGAGGTAAGCTCCTGGGTGACAGACAGAAGGAAACGCTCTCTTGTGATTGATGAATTACTTCGCAGTTATGTAGTGTACAGGTGCACAATGCTCCCCCAGCAAAATCGCAGCCAAACGGCCCAACGCTGTCCCAATCACCATCTTTTGTTCCCAAACGGCAAGTATTATACAGTACACTGCCTTGAAAAGGTCAAAAGCACGCGAGTTCTGTTATTGGATATTCGCATGTTTGCTCCATCAAAACAAACGCGGGTATGGCAGCAGTGTCAACAAACGCCCAAAATGTGTCGCTGGAAAATTCCCCATCCAGAGTCGCGAATACCATGCATTGAACCCCTCAATCGCCGATTGCAAACACCTTTTAGATCTGGCTGTGGCGCGCACGCTTGCGAGTGCTTCCTGGCGTTGAGGAAGAAGGGTGAAGCTTCTCGTTGCGCTCCCGCTTGAGCTTCTCGTCGAGGACGCGAGCTGTGAAGTGTTAGCAGCAATCCGGTCACAACTTGCGGGAAAGACATACTGAGCACGTCGTATCCGAACTGGGGGTACTCCAAGCAGAGAGAGCGGAACTCCTCCTCGGCCTCGGCGCGGAGGGTGTGCGAGCGCGTAGCCCAGAAGCTTGCGACGGGGGCGCGGATGGTGGTGTCGTCCTTGCTGGTGTAGGCGTAGACATAGCGGGCGTAGGCAATCTCGCCCTTGGCGGTGGAGTTGACGCAGTGAATCTTGGAGCTGGCGAGCGAGCGTAGGCCGGGCATGCCAAACTTCTCCGCCAGAGTGTAGACGCGCGCGTGCTTCAACAGTTGGGTGCCGTCGGAGTCGACATCGGGTGTTGATGGGTCGGGTTCCAGGGTGCGCGAGCCGGCGACCTTGCGGGGGAAGTACTCGCCGGTGTAGAGATACTCGAGGAAGCAGCCGACGGAGTCGAGCTCCTCGCCGACAAGCTCAACCTGTCGTGGCTATGGCGTGTCATGTCAGTAAGGAGTCAAGGCGGCGCGTTCGAATACACTCACGCTGCCGTCGTCGCTGAATTGCGCGCATGCCTCCTTGAAGAACGGGCTCTGGACGAGAAGGGCCTGGTGAGCCGTGAGGATGGCCTCGGTCTCGCTCGAACCGACGAGAATGGTCACGACAGGGCTGGCAAGGTAGCTGGCGAAGGTGGTGCGCGGCTCGACGGGGTCGCTCTCGCCGCCCTCGGCGAAGGGAAGTTCCTGGGCGTTGTCGCCGGCCTCAGTGCCCTCGGCCATCTCGACATCGGCGCCGGGGTTGGTGGAGGCCTCCTCGACGACCTCGACGTCGTTGAAGTCGTCAGCCATTGCCGCGGTTCGCGATCGCGCGGTGTGTTCGGGTGGTGTAGGTTTTGTTTGATCGGATGATTCGATGCGGCCGTTCTCTCGAATGAGGATCGTCGAGTCAAAGGTTGGTCGATTTGTCGCTTATACAGTCGCTAAAACGAGCGAGCAAAGGAAATGCGAAAAGGAGCGTGGGAAACGTCAAGTTCGAGATGTCGGTGGGCCGGAAACGGGTGATGGAAAGTTGAAGGTCGCAAATCGGCCGAAAGAAAACACACAAGCCCGCCGAGTGCTGTTCCAGGTTTCGGTTTGGGGCAAGCTGCTGCTGCTGCTGCTGCACTGAAGCTTCGGCCAAGGAAGCTGCGCCTGCACGGCCTGAACTGCAGCTTCCCCCTCCGCTAAGGAACCTCATGCACAGACCAGATGAATTGGCGACTGAGGCCACGCGAAAGAGTGGGTCCGATCGTTTCCACTGGCAACCTTGACCGCCACAGGCAATTGAACCAGTGACAACACCAGGCGCCCCTGCCAAGATGAACAATTGACTCGATAAGACCCTGCGGATAAGGCGAGGGACACAACTTTATCGATAAGGCGAGCTACCTTCTAATCTGATATCGCTGTTTCCTCTCAAGGCGCACATGTCATCGCATCTTAGCTCTCTGCAAGGCCAAGTAACGTGGAATGTTTGGATGAAAACTATACTCGAAGAGGTAAACAAAGGACCAATGTCTCATAATCACAAGGTAATTAATTCCTTCCCCGAGACAAATTCTAAGCGGCAGATTGAAACCACGTTCGTGACTCTCCAACACCGACGCCGGGTATCATGGATTCACGAGATAGATGCATTTCTAGCAGATGAACCCGCCCATTAATGCTTGGCGGAAGTCGCCCAACCCAAGGCAAGTGCCAGAAAATGGGTGGCATGTATCGTAACCAGAGTACACCGCCGCAATGCAATTTGATCATGCTCTCATGCCTTGGAAATGCCACAAATTCGCTGCTAAAACAACGGGGTCTTCGCCCCTATTACTTGTCACCTCACTTCCATTCATTTTCTTTTCCAGCGAACGTCTTGTCTCTGGGTTTGCGGTTCAGCGACAGAGTCGGCGTCGGTTGCAGGATCTTGATCGGTTGCTCCGTCTTGAGCACCTCCCAGTGCTTCTTCAATGTGTCCTCTCGCGCCACCAGCTCGAAGTTTGCGAGGAAGCAGAAGCTGATCTCCAGTCTTGCCAACTCCAATTCGCTGACACCACCAACTTTGGCCATCTTACTGTGCGGGTAGCTGAGGTCCTCCAGCGCCTTCATTGCCACTCTTAACCCGGCCAGCACCAGTCTGTGGGCATTTCGTCTTGTCACAGGAATTGTGCGTTCCTCGACTGCCAGACGGTGGATGTACAAGCTCGTTGCAAGGTATACGGCTGTGCTCATGGGGCAGAACCTGTGAATGCGCGTGAGGTACTCCTCGATACTGATCGGCGGCGGCTTCTTGGAGTAAAACTTGCGCGTGATAGCGCTGTGCTGAAGATTGATTGGCTGCGAGTTTTCGCCGATAATAATATACGGTTCGGGAGGTCTCGATGGCGGCGGCGGTGTCGGCGTCTGCGTCTGCCTAAGATGGACGCCGTCTATCAACTGCGAGACTGACCCGCTGGAGCCACTTGTGTGCGAAGACAACGTCGGACGTCGAGGGGACGATTGAGCAGCAGCCATGGCCGCCTCGGCTTCTTGGCGCATCCTCGCCAGGTTCTTCTCCGAGTTGGTTCGTATCAGCTCCTTCTCGGCCGTCATTCCCCGCATGTTAGGTAGCGTCGGACTCGTTGGCGGAGGTGTGGGTGGGATATCGCCCGTGATGCGAACAAGAGCCTCGATGCCACCGCTAAGGAGCCTCATGGCCGCTCGCGGTGACAGTTTGAAGACGTCGTCATTCTCGGGTGCGTTGGGGGGGCTTTCGGCATCGGTAATGCTCAGCCTCGGGTCCAGCGACGGGTTGGGCGGTGGCGGTAGCTCGGGGACCTCGCTCGAGTTCGATTCGGTGGGCTGCAGAGGAGCGCCGTCCTCTGGCTTGGGTGTCATTCCTGTCGTGGTTCAATGATGCTCCTCGGGAGGGCACCAGGGTCCTGAAGAAGGCGCTAATGACGTCGCAAGGGTATGGGGGAAGGAGGTCTCAGCGGACTCTGCGCGAGCAACAGCAAGCATCTGATTCTTTGAAGGGAGGAAATGTCGCGAAGTTCAAGCCCAAGGAGGGCTGTGTGGTTCGTGGTTTCTGGGACTGTTTGCCACAAAGATCATGGTCTCGAGTCCTGTTCTCGTAGAATCGCGGTCGTCCCTCGGTCTTAGTCGACTTGGCGGGGGTCGGGAGAATTCGCGGTTGATGTTGCAGGTGACCCTCGGCTGGGCTGATCGGAGGCGTACCCTCAGGGCCGTTCTGGGACAGGCTAATTAGTTTTCCTGGGGGGGAAAGAAACGGCTGGACCTGGGCGGCTGGTCGTGGTTCGATTAAAAATGGATTTGTGGCCGTTCGCTTGCGGAAGATAAAGGCGACGGAGGTAGGGCAATGATGCTCTGGGCTGTTGTAGTCCAGGGGGGGGGGGGGGGGGGGATTTCGAGGCGGTGGGATAGTATGACGAAGTCTGGCGGCTGAGAATGCAGTCCGGCCTGGGTGTCTGATGCAAGAGATTCGGCTGGCAATCTGGTGCTGTTGCTGTCTTGTCTTGTCTGGGGCGACGTCGTTTGCTGGTGTGTGTGGTTTGGTGGTGGTGGTGGTCTCGACCTTGTCGGTCAAATTACTGGCGGCGCTGGCAGTGACAGCGCGCAATCTTTCTGCTGATCTCGAAGCTAGTGCGGGGAATTGCAGGCATGCAGCAGGCGAAGAAACAGCAGAGGGCACGGCATCCCCGTCAAGGTGGAGGGATCGGCGATCGTCTCAAGTCGGGCAGCTGCAAGGTGCTGTAATAGTTGGCAAAGAATGGGCAGCAGCGCGCAGCTCGGGAACGAGGAACGGATAGGCGATTGGAGACTTGGTGAGATAGAGGCGAGGGATGCAGAGGGGCAGCAGCTGCAAGGACTGGAGGCTACCTTAGAGCAGAACAGCGCAGCTCCAGTGGCGTTGCCTGATGTGCGTGCAGCTGGCGCAATACGATGCAGCGGACGTGGCCGGCGCGGCAAACTGGTGTTCCTGTTACTGGAGATGCCTAGGTTGCAAGCGAGAGGCGGACGGGAGCGCGATGCAGGGGAGTCGGGATCGGAGTCGGCGTTGACGTCGGGATTGTCGTACGGGCAGACGACGATGGCAAGTCAACCGGGAGCGCGCCTGAAAGGAGGCTGGTGGTTTGTTGGACGGAAAGGAGATGTCGAAAAGGGATTGGCGGTGCGTATTCGTGCGGTTCGGTGGAATCAGTTGATGGCCGTCCCACGGGTTGGAGGCAGGTCTCGAACTGGCCGAACAGCTGAGGGGAATATGCAGGAACCGCAGCGCCGGCTCCCGAGTGGCGAACCTGGCAATATGCTGTGTGTATTAATGCGTTTTCTGTGCTGGAGGTACAGATAACGAGCGGCGACTTTGACGGGTGTTGGCTGACACCGGACTCCCGGCGGTCAAAGGTGGTAGAAGAATGCCGCAATTACACGGGACGGGAGAGGGGGAGGGTTAATATCGTGGCAGATTTTTGGAGAAATTTCCGTGTAAGAGGAGCCTTCACTGCTCCGTGAGGGGTCCTGGGCTAGATGTGGACACGGGACTCGAAGAGGCGAGGAGCCAGGTGGAGAGAGGCCTGGACTCGGAGGGGCTGCGGGCTGCAAGTCGCAACACTGTGAACTGCAGGCAGACACCACTGACTGGATGTCAAGCAGGAGTGGGAAGGCACGGAGGGGCAGGACCCTTCACAGTGTTCTTGCCTTCCTTCTTTTTGGAGGAAGTTCTGGCCCAGGTCCAGTCTCTCTTGCCCTTCACTCTTTCCTGAGGTCGTGGTGACCCTCCTCCGAGTTAGGCCGCGGTTTCCCTCACCTCGGTCCTCTCCTTCCCTAGGTACCAATGTTCGGATGACTTACACCTAATAATTACGGAACGTTGCGACAGGAAGGACCAAAGGAAGGCAACTGCAATGCACCTGCCATCCACTTTTGGTTTGCACACGCGCCTCGGGCAGGCGGCTGCAATCGTAGCTTTGGGCCAGCGCTGACGCCCAATCCAATGTACACCTATTACCTGTAAGCGCAGACAATACCGGCCATGCCCTGCTTGTGAGGGGTTCCTCCTTACGAGCAGCCAGGATTGGAGGTCTTCAAGGGCCGATTGCAACTGCCCTTTTCCCTCTCCACCTACCTTACTGTCTACCCAGTAGTGCACTTCAGTGTTTGCGCCTTCCCCTCAGCGGACTTTCCATCTAGTGGTTGCACTTGCAGCAGGGGTCCAATTTGTGGCACAGACTCCTTCCTGGCCAGTGCATGCCCCCACCGCCGCGTTCCGTTGGAGGAAGCACCGAAGCAGCAGGCAAGAGGTCATCGTCAGCCGGTGGTGGAGGGGTGCGCCTGCCGCCTTGCACTCGCCATGGTGGGGTTTAAGGGTCTTTCCTTTTTTTTTCATTGTCAACTGACCACTTTTGATGCAGGAAGCTCCAGCCATCCTGCCTATCCCAACCAATACCCGTCCTAGCCTTGCTGCTTTGTTCTTGCCGTTTGCCCATCGCCATTTTGTGTATTTTTACTTTTCTGCATGTCCACGCGCCAGTACAGACTCAAATGCCACTGCTGCCGTGGACCACCTACCCACGATGCTTTCAACGGCGCCAACCGTTGCCAGATTATCGCCCTTCACCACACCACTTCGATGCGCCGCGCCGTCCGTCAACCATCTCCACTCTCGACATCATCGAGTCAGCCAGGACACCACCTCGCATGCCTCTCGTTGCCGGCTCTTCGGCGAGATCTACCCGCTGGGTAAGGTACTCTTGTCGGGCAAAGAAAAAACTCAGCCACGCCGCCAGATGGTCCAACAGAAAAACGCCCGTTTCTTGCTCGCCATGCCGAAAGAGGCCGCCTTCCCGCCTCGTAATATCCGCGCGCCGCTAATATCAATTTCCCGTCGCCGTGGAAGCTAGAGAAACACACGACGGCCTGCGCTGCCGCACCACTGGCGAACCACCGGCGTACGAGGCCGATTCGCTCGGCACCAGCTTGAGACCAGGGTCACCCATGCACTGTCTTACACGATTACACATGGCACCGCATCCTATCAACATCCGGTGACTCTACTCGGCCGGGTTTTGCCTACATCTATCCATCTACGTCTCCGTCTACTGCGCTTTCTACATGAACATGTGTGGCACAGCGAGTCATCAGATCTTCCTCGGCTCGCTTGAACAACCGCATCAGGCCATGGCACCCCAACACACCGTGCGGCTCGCCGTGACTTGAGCCTCAACCAGCTCTAGCTTTCGTCATATCAGCATCCCGTTTGTACCTTGATATCCAAAACGGCTGATTGTCCGCCCTTTACGTTGTCGATCGCCTTCTGGAGCACTCCCTCGAGATCTGCCGAGTTGTCCACCCGCGCAGTGAAGATATCACCGCCTGCTGCCGCCTTGGCGATGCCTGCATAGTCTGGTGAGGGATCGAACGAGATGTTAATCTCCTCATTTGAAGCCCTGGAGCCCTCGCCGTCAGGGTGAACCAGCAGCAGAGAACGACGGGGAGCGTTCCATCCTACTCATGTTAGCCGGGATCATCAACTCGACAATGTCTCAAACTTACCCTTGTTGTTCAAAACGATGGTCAAAATGGGGATGTTGTACCGCTTCGCAATCCAGTACACACTGCCCGGCACCGAGAACAGGAAGGTGCCATCTCCAACAATCTGAACCACAAACTTGCCCTTGTTGTTGCCGCCGTTCTCATAATCTGTGGCGAGCTTGATACCAAGCGCGCCACCACCAGACCATCCGAGGCCACCGCCACCGCAGTTGATCCACGAACCAGGCAGCGTTGGTTGCAGGTTGTCGTGAACAAATATCGTGTTCGTCACAGCCTCGATGGCCCAGATGGTGTCCTCGGGGCAGAGCTTCCTCAGAGTCCGGGACAAATGTCCGGTGCCAAACTCGCCATTCGATTGAGGCTTTGTCTTCTCCTCAATCTTTGCCAGAAGAGCCTTGTACGACTCGCTTCGCTTGGCTTCCAGTTGCTTCGCCTCATCAGATTCAATTTGAGCTGCGTACTCGGACCTGAGGTGGGCGGTGATCTGCTCCACAGACATCAGGCTATCGGCACGGTATCTCGATGTGGCCTTGATGTAAAAGACAGGCATCTGCTGCTTCAAAGGGTCGACATCGATGTGGAAGACCTTGGCCTCCTTGGTTGGGTGGCAGAGCGTGTTGATCCAGGGCACATCACAGTCGAGCACAACAATGACATCAGCAGTCTTGACTGCCTCGTCAATGCCGAAGCGAAGACCCAGCCAACCGGGATGGTCAGCCGGGAAGCACATGTCACTGCCGCCAGTGTCGACAACACGCAAACCCTTGACGGTATTGGCGAGCTCGACAAGCGCAGCGGGGAACTCGTGCTTTCTTCCGCCGTAGCCAGTGATGATCAGGGGCTCCTTGGCGCCAGCCAGCGCCTCGGATATTTTCTTCACGGCATTCTTGGGCAGCCCGCCAAGCTCGACGGGATCCCACTCATCCTGGTTGATGCTGTACGGCTCAATCTCCGCCTCCATGACTTCTCTGGCACCACAGAGGTAAACTGGGCCTTGAGGATCTGACCTCGCAAACTGCAAGGCGCGATTGACCATTTGCTTGACATTAGTACCTGTCTTGAGCTCACCCGAGTAGCGGGTGTACTGCGACACGATTTGCTTCTGATCCGGGACGTCTTGGATCCAGTGGATGTACTCGGTGCGGCTGCCTCTTAGTTCGCCTTCCAGCGTGAACGGAGACAGACCGGCAAACACGAGGACCGGCGCGCGACCGCACGAAGAGTTGTGCACCGCAGCGCCGAGACCCTGAGTTCCAACATCAACGTGGACGATGACACATTGCGGCTTTCCAGTGAGACGGGCATAGCCGTCAGCCATCGACATGGCCACCATCTGGCCATTGTCAGTACAGCCGCTTCAACGCAAGAACAAGGAGATTTACTTCATTGGGGCATGTGATGATTCTGGGAAAGTTGCCTTTCCTCTCCCTCTGACCCTTAACCATGGCTTCAATGATACTGGGGTGGTCAGAACCCAGGTTCACGAAGCAGTGGGTGACGCCGGCGTCCCATAACGCCTCGAAAAATGCAAATGACGCGGTGTACATTTCGGTCGATCGTGAAGAAAGATTCCTGGCTTGCTCGATGGTGGCCTTGAACTCATCCTCGATGGCGGGCCGGGGCGCGGGTCTTATACGAGTATCAAAGGCCGATGATGTTGATCCCCCGCCTCGGTTCAGTGGGGCAGCGGATGAGAAACCGGCAAGTTGACGACCATGGCCGACAACGGCTGGGCCGGCACCCAGCGTGTGCTTCAGCCGGGCTATTCCCCCTGCTCTCCCACCTGCAGGCCCGAAGCCGCGCAGGCAGCGTGCCATGGGCACCGGCAAATGTCTGAAGGGCATGGTGAAGCGCGGCAATAGGCAACGAAGGAGGGGAGGGCGGGGTATCAAATCACAGTGGGTGTTACTTGAGAGTGTTATCAACCACCTCAACAGGCTTGGCGAGTTGGGGGCACGTTGGCTCCGGCTCCAGCTCCGCTCGATGGAGGGTGTGATGGCGATGACGTGCCTTGACTGAAGAAGGTTGACACAAGAAAGGAGAAGCAAGATATCTTTTGGATTTGATGAGATGACTGAAGTCAAATTAGGTTCACGTTCCTCGTGACGGGCGACAAAGACAACTTATAGCTCCGACTAGGATGATTTCACAGACCGGCCACCGGCCTAAGCTTGTTCCCCAGGTTGGATAGGGAGCATCGCGCCCTGCGGCAGGCCAACCCCGCAATCGGTTCAGGGACGGGTTTCATAGGGCGCTTGGGATCGGCTCATTGCAGGTGGTGGCCGTCGCCCGCAGACGGAGGGAGACAAGACAGATAAGCAGCGGGTGTCGTGCAAGATCAATCGTGGCTGCAGAGACGAGCTTTAAGCAACTCAGGGTTGCCATCTTGTTCTGACGGCGTCCCGTCTGTTGCCTGCAAGACGCTTTCGTCTGTCATCACTCAGCAGTCCCCAAAACGACTCCATGTCAACACAACAAACACCAATGGCTCCCTTTCGCTCCCTGTCAGTCCACTGGGCCGAGAATTACCGCCCACGACACGTCGGTCTCATCCGGCCCCCGCAACAAAGCGCGACCGGGCGTTCCTGGGGATGCCAGCTGATGCGTTGAGGTCGTGCGGGGTGCAGGCGGTGTTATCTAGCTCTTAGCTAATGAGATCCGCTCGGTCTCTGAGCTTCATCGCAAGACCCCGACAGACGCCGCACCGCAGCACGCTATTATCAAGAGGTATGATGCTAATTCGAGAGTTTGCTGACTACTTTCTGGTGGATATCTGAAGACGCGGCGGACTACCAAGACGATCTCAATCCATCGGGCCAGATCCACCCAACCAATGTCCCCACAGCGAAGAGCCCCAAGCAAATGATTACTGTCCCGAAGATGCCTCCGCCGGCCTGAACCGGCTGCGCCTTGCGCTTCCCCCTCGAAGCCGCCGCCGTCGTCGTCGCTGTGGCCCTCACGCTCGTCCGCATCGCATACGTCGGCCCGGCGGTCGGTGTGCCGTACAACGTCGTCTCCCGCACATCCGCCGTCTGGTATCCCCACCCCGACGTGCTGATCGCGCTCGGCGTGCTCGTCGTCACGGCCATCGTCGCGCCCGACCAATCGTGCCCGTCGAACGCTTTATACCAATCCCACGGGTTATCGTGATCGTTCCAATCCGCGCGGATGCCGGGGCACTCGTTGAAGCAGTCGTAGAGCGCGGCGGCGGTGCCGGCTCGCTTGTTGCCCTTGCCGTCGGAGAACTTGAGCCCGCAGGTGCGGAAGCAGGCATACGACGAGCAAGGCAGGGAGGACCACGGCTTGACGTAGCCGCCGTAGTACTCCCACGTCGTCCACGCGTCGATGTCCGTGTCTTTGAGGGTGAAGGCGTTGGACGTGTTGACGCCGTAGAAGTTTGTCACGGGTCGCGAGCCGTTGAACTCTGCAATCATGATCTGGTACTTTTCGCTCGGCCCCAGGTCTTTGGGGATCGTGATCTTGGGGTTCGTGGTTCCGACGGGGATGAAGTCGCTGAGGTAGCCTGCGAACAGCAAATGTTAGCTGGTAAGGATAGTAGGTGTACGAACGCTCGCGACTCACAGAATTGCATCCACTCGTTGTTGTAGAGGTACAGCTGGTAATGCTCGTAAATCGCATCGTGGCCGCAGCCGACCTGCTCGTCCGCGGGGTTCCTGCACACGGCGACAGGGTCGTTCCACACGGAGTCGGGGGCCGTCTCGTAGACGAAGGGCTGCTTCCAGGAGTCGAAGCCGATTGTGATTTGCGTCTCGACGCCCGCGGATATTGTAGAGGGGACAGTGACGTTGGCTGCGCTGGCCACGCCGGCGATGGCGAGGATCGCGACGCCGAGCATTTTTTCTCGCGGTAACGTGCGACTCGCCGGCTTTTAACGAATGAATGGCGATGGCCGGGGGTTACGGACGACGAAGCGAGGGGACGAGCGACATTTGCTCTCTTGGCGGGACGCGAAAAGGAGAAGCCATCACGAGAAGGATCCGGCGGTGGCGACTTGGGGGATGGGAAAGTTGTATGTTTTGGAGGATCGGCATCCTGGTTCTTTGCGGTTTAGCTCGCCCGCTAAAGGGTGCTGCCTGCAGAGCTAAGATAAGATCTCAGGGGTGTGCTGCGGATGAGAACTCCTGATTTGCAGCCGATTTTGACCTCGACAAGATGTGTAATTCAAAGCTGGTGAGTGGTGAGCTGCCGCATGAAGCTTTTACTTGCGGTTGAGTGTAAATCTTCGGATGACGGCGACAGTGCCGGTTCCCGAACACAGCGCGTCTTTTAGCTGTGGAAGATGGGGGAAGCTTTAGGCGCTCGTTCGTCTGAGCCGATGCAACCTGCTCAAACTTCACGCTCCAAGCTGTTGTTGAGCATGGTATTGGGAGCGCTTGATGATATTGGCTGAGGTATGATAGCAAAGCTCGAACCTCCTCATCCCCGCGCTCGCATCGGAGTGCCGCATCAAACATGCTTGAGGTAAGAGCTCGAGTCCGCCGTGCGGGCAACCCGGGCGCGGACGTGTGACCGTTTTCTAACCCCAAGGGTTCGGATGATGGCGTACTTAAAGCATGTCTCCTCTTTCTCATCATGGTGAACAGGAGCTGTGTTTCCAATTATTCTCAGTTATTCCCAGAACCAGTCCCAGAGCTAGAAAGCCCAGCGGCCCTCCCAAACGTCTGAAACTGAACCAGAGACCCATCACCACAGAACTTACCGACAAAAAGAGAAAGCCAACACGATGATCTCCCCCTTCTCCCCGCTCCCAAACTACATCCTCGGCACCGGGCTAACGTTCGTCGGGCTCCTCGGCTTCGTCAAGCCGCTCGCCGTCTACGACGCCTTTGGCATCGCGCGGCCGCTGTCCCCCGACCAGCCGGCGGAGCCGTTCAGCTACGCGAAAGCCGGCCGCGACCTCGCGACGGGCCTGTTGTTTATCCTGCTCGAGACGTACCAGGAGGGCAGCGGGAATGAGGACGCGGTGACGATGCTGTGGGCGACGACGGCGCTGGTGGGCATGGTGGACTGGTGGGTTGTAAGGAGCATGGGCGGGAAGGAGCTGCAGGGGAAGAGGTGGGTGCACTTGGGCAGTGGGATTGCTTGTGCTGGGTTTGCGGTTTGGAGGGCGATGTGCAAGTTCTGAGGTTGGGTTGGGTGGTGATGGTGTTCGCGATGGCATCAGTGACGTCGTGGGTGTTTGGGGTGGCTGCAGTATGTTGAATATCCATCAATTGAATCGGATTATTCATTCAAGAGAGCTTCTGGTATGGTTAAAAAGAAGATGTCAGAGCTAATCTGTGAAAGACGACCACCCCGTCTTCGTACCGATGGCCTCCTTGGTCCTACCTTCCTCAGTAAGGTATTCTGAGCTCGCTACTCACCTTCTTCGTCTCTCTCTGATTAGATAAAGGTATTGAACCACCTCTGTCCGGGAGATTCGAGGTCTCCTTCGATCTACCCCCATTGCACACCGAATATTCTGAATATTTTAGGTCGAGGTGTGTGTTCGCCAACACACCCTTATTCTCCTTCACAATCACCTTTCTGCTTCATTTTTCCCCCGCGCCCAAGATCTCTTTCTTCTCCCTCTGACGACGCTCAGTTTCTCCCTTGATCATCGTCCCATTGGCCCCATTCGCTTCCCTCCTCCTTCACGTCGCGCGATCCACCCTCGCAGGTCGAACACAACACCGTCGCAACTTTTTCGCCAAGAGTATTTGCCTCGATTTCTCGATACTCTGCATCAGCACCTCAACGAGGCTACATTTTTGGACTTCGAATTCGCAAAGCTTGTCCACCGTTCCTACTTCTTTTCCTGTCAACCATATCATGAGCCACTTGCTCGCTGCTTCCCTCTCACGTCGAAGCAGATTTCTCCATTAGCTTACTGAATTGCGTATCACAAATCATTTTCCGATCCTGCATGAACTGACGTGTAAGGTCAACGCTCAGCGACCAACTCTAAGCAGTTCTTCCTACTCTCGAGTCATCAAACCTTCGACATGTCATCTGCTACGCCAGGTGGTGGCAGGCGCAATAGACGAGCAACGCCGAGCGTGCCCGCAAACCCTTCGGCTGAGTCGCAAGTACCCGAAGAGCAACGCGCCAACATCCACCTGCCAGAGGAAGTGAGCCTAGCCTCCCAGTGTTGGTATGACGACAAATACAATGATTCTTTTTACGAGGGCTTGCCGCCAAGGGGTGATGGTCACGTCTTTCGAGTCTGGGCACTCAACGAAGCGGACGATTTCGTCACGCTTTCCCTGACAAACAGAGCTCGCGTGCTATACGACTCGTCGCACAAACTCAGAGGCAACTGCTTCTACACAGGAATCGACAGCTTCAGCATCGGGCCAGTTTTCATGCGCGCCAAACCTCACTCAAAAAAGGCTCACAGACAAGACATGAGCAACACTTTCCACTCTGGCAACTACAAAATTGCCGGGGGTACGAAAACGGCATTCCAAATCATCCCACCGATGAGTCTTCTCCGGTACCAAGCGTTGTCAGAAGTGAAAGCACACTGCGCCGGCATACAGAGGACCGACACTGGCGATTATCAGAAGATGGGCAAAGGAAGGGCCTATCAGATCAACCAATTCCATCAAAGGCAACTCGAAGCATTCCAAGCAGGCCATCCCTGTCCGACTTCATTCAACGATGACAGCCTGTTGTTGGACTACGCTTTCATCGAAGACATGAAGCCCGAGAGCTGGGCGTACTTTCGAATGATGATGCCAAAGATAGGCGGCAAGCAGGTTCCTAAGCAACTGGGCGAAGTTGTCTTTTCTTTTCTCGCACGTTACGGATATGATTTCGTCACACTGAACTTGGCCGTGTCAATGTGCATCGTTTGGGCGTGCTTAGTTACTGGTCCGGATCACGGTGCAGAATTGGCAGCATACCAGGGCTATGATCGAAACCGACGACTGTTGAAGAAGGTGCCCGTGCCGTCTCTTGCGTCCTTCATTTTGTATGCGCCTCACTTTTTCCGTCTTCACGAGTATTACCGACTTCCTGCATACATACATATCTTCAGATACGCGCATGAAATGTACAGTCGGGATAGGAAGCTCACGAAAGAGGTTTTCGACATCGACAAGAACGACATCAACGAAGAGCTGGTGAAGACTTTGGTCTGGGAGATGGCTCTCCAAGACGATGACTGGATCGAGATCGTTCCGCCTTCGTGGCCCGGCTCCCTGCTACCCATGCCAGCCTCTCATGGACCTCGAGTCCCCCAAAGCGACGAGACCACTGCGGCCCTTCTACTCGACGACATCCACACCTTGGGATTCCCGAACTATCTCAACGAGTCCTGCCACGGTTTTCCTCCTGGACACGCAGACCACGGTAAACGGTGGATCTCGCGAGGGGTCCACGTTCACCAGGACTGGGTCCCAGACCGGGTTACTTCCGTCTCGGCATACCGAAACCTGCACCGGGACGTCTCGCCCGACATCCCGCCGTCAGGTCTTGTGGTGTACCTTGGGGTAGGGTTCGTTACGCCTTATCTACCTGAAGCTGCGCTTGACCCGACTAAAGATGATTGGGAGCTGGAGCATCTCTGGACGGCGCCAAAGTCCACCATCAGACGTCCCTGGAAGGATTGCGTGAACGTCGAACATCTAAACAACGAGCTTCTGAAAGCCGCGAAGAATGATGTGCAACCAAAGGATCAGGTCGAGAAGTCCAACGCCAACCCCGCCGAAGACATAGAGAATGGCAGCAATGCCGTCGAGCAGAGAGAGGAGGAGGGCGGAGGGGCTCAGGTCGCACAACCTGGCGGGCTGGAGCTACATCAGGGAGAGGGCGACCGAGACCCAGCAGCTGCTCAGAGCGAGAACAACCCAGCCGCCGACCACGCGCGATGAATACATCTTATCAGAGACAGTGTCGAAGAGCAAGAACTCGACGATCTCAACATCCTTCCAAGGCCGGCGCACGAAGCCGTTGCCGTCGAGGGTGTCATCAGCGACAAAGACCGACGGATCCTACGGAGGCTGATCAAAGAAGACTTGGCAGACGACAAAAATGTACATCCGCTATCTCGCATCTTCAGATACATCGACGTGGATAACGAGATCCTGTCGAAGAAGACCGTGATCGACCACATCGACATGGGCCTCAAGCCGCTCAACGAGAAGCTAGAGAAGATCAACGAGTACGGCAGAGGGGGAAAACAAGAGGAGAACGGTTTCGTGGAGCAGATCCTCAAGCCATGTTACGAGCTCCTCGGTCTCAAGTGGCCGGGGACGCTGTTCGTCGCCATCGATGAGCTCGGCAAGCTCGATGAGTCGCTCGTATGTGCAATCATCAAGCTACGGGCGATCTACGAAAGTGCGCCAGTCAACCATGTCCAACTCGGCCACGCTACTGAGAAGCTGCAGTATTCGAAAGCGTCCCTCTACATTTGGCGGTTCTGTCTACTGCAGGACCGACTCAAGGGAATTGATTTCGCCTCCCAGGAGCGGGAGAAGTGGTGGACAAAGGTGTTTGGGAAGCCCTACGCAGACGAATGAAGATGATTTCAGGTTGGGGGACTTCTTCTAGTTTGAGAGAGGGGACAGCAGGATTGAGATGTGCTTCTTTGGGACTCGACATCGTGAGCTTGACGCATGTAGGATTGGCGGACAAGAGGTCGAGAACTTCGTGTTTAGACAGATACCCTTGTGTTTGAATGCTAGCATCGTTGTATTTGAAACCCTGCTTTTCAAACATTTTCCGTGAAAGCCGATTGTTCTGCAGACATGAACCAATTCCCGTCCCCAACGACTGCCCTTTGCTCCTTCCCGTGCTTCCTCGACAAATTTCTTGCCCACGACCATTCTCAGCTGGCAACCTTCCCTGATTTCACCCTCGAGTCTCACACTTCGCAACACACCTCTGCCTCGATTTTTCTTTCTTGCTTGCGTCACCGTACAAGACGGGGCCATCTTCTTTCTACTTCTGCAGTCAGCCAGGCTGCTGCCTTGGAACTGTCTCTCCTACCTCGCTCCTGCCCCTCAAGAAAGACCAGGCGACCACCACCTCACCTCGGCTTCGAAATTTTCGCCCGCCCCTCTCACCATCTCAACTTCCACCAGCTCTCCTGACTTTTTCGCTCCTCGCCAATTTTGTGACCGGCATCTTTCACCGCACGCAGTCGTCACTTGAGAGACCGGCTGCGCCTTCCTTTTCACCCAACTTGGCCCCGTTCGTCTCTTCGCCAAGTACCTCATCGTCACCTTCTCGCCACAGATCCCGAGTCGAAGGAATTTTGCTCGAGTCTCATCTTGGATCTCGAATTCGTTCTGCAGCGTCCCGCAAAAAGCTTTCCGATCTGCTTCAGTACTCGACGCTTCTTCTGTCTGCACAAAATTGCTGTGAAGCGAGTCCTCGCGCGCCCGCCTCACGCCTTTTTCGTCTCTTTGGATGATTCTCGGAGACTCGCGTCCGCATCAGTTGCCCCTCATCTGAGGACCTTAAAAGGTGCGTCACAAAGGCTTTCCACTTGGACAATCTGTTTGCTGATGAATTGACAACAGACTCACTCCGTCTCCCCTTCTGCTGGGCCACCACCACATCATTCTTACATCAATCCCAATCACCCTGAAGCATGGCCGACACAAGCGCAAGCAGCTCTGCTGATGCCGAAAGGCGCAAACGCCGACGAATCACCTCCAACTTGCCAAACAAGGTCCAGATCACGACATCAAAATGGCTGCATAACAATCGATTGTACTCTGTTCAGCCAGCCAGACAACAGGGCGAGAAGGTTGAGGCTCTTCACAACCTAGACGAGGTCGTGGTTTTACAGGTTCTCAACAGAGGGTGCCGACGATATGTTGCTTCTCTTGAAGGAACACAAAACTCGCCATGTCACACTACACACGCGTACTACGTCGGTATTGAAGGCACGGAGTTTTGCCCAGTATTTCTTTGCCGTGGCAGATTCAGAGACACGAGCAACTCTTTCAGCAAGTCAGAATATGCACTCGGACGGTCGAAGAAGGCAGGGTCCTTTGTGGTTCCGCCTTGCGACGTGGCCGCAAATGAGGTTTTTCAAGGAGCACATGTATGGCGTCTCAAATACTTGGACTCGAGACGTCTCCCAGACCGAATATTCGGAGTACAAACTTCAGCAATCCGACAACGTTGAAAAAGGACGAGCCTGTTCTGTTTTAATCGATGATTACAATGAGCGTCCCAGCTATACTTCGCTACCAAACACCCGCCCTCAGAACTGGCAGGGCTTTCGCATGATGATGCCCAAAATTGCCGGCAAGTCAATTTCCGATGCTCTCGGTAACGAAGTTGCTTCTTTCTTGGCCAAGTACGCCAGAGACGTGGTGGATCTGTCATTCGCTATATCAATGGCCATCGTGTGGTGTCGTCTGGCGTCGACACCAAGATACCAACCCGAACGGTGCACAGTGGACAGCAATGGAGAAGGTAGAAGGCCGGTCCCAAGACCAACTCTTGCTGTATTCCTTCTTTACGCTCCCCATTTCTTTCGTTTTCACGAGGAACATGGTCCTGCAGCTTGTGTCCATATCTTCAGGTACACACACAGCTTGTACGCGGCAGATGCGGACCACGACGAAGACGCCTTCTACATTGCAAAGACCGATATCAATCAGAGCAAAATTCTCCAAATTGTCCGTGACTTACATCTGCAAGAGGAAGACTGGTTGGAGATTGTTCCTCCCTCATTCGAGGGATCTCTTCTGACCATGCCAAATCACTACGGCCATATCGCACCAAGATCCGAAGAAACGAAGGCTTCCCTTATGCTTCCGGACGTCTACACACTCGGTCTTCCCGACTACCGAAACAACAAGATGAAAGGACATGGGCTTGTGACGCGAAATATTCTTGCCCACAAAAGATGGGTGCCTTCCCATGTTCTATCCGACGGTGCCGTGACCAAGAAATACAAGGGTCGAAAGTACTTGAAAATGTCTGCCTTGAGGCGCTACAGCGATGACAAATGTCCACAACTCTGGATTTCACCAAAACTTACAGTTCAAATGCCCTGGTTTGATGTCGATCCACCCAAATATAGCGTCCTGCCGCAACCTCAACCCCTTCGCGGAGCGGGACCTGAACCATCTGGACAAACCCAGCAGCCACCGTCGACCATGATACCAAAAGAGCCTATTGCGGAGTTCTCACAGAAGCTCGTCGTTCAGTTCCGAGTCGCCCAGAACAAGGGACTCATCAGCCCAAATGTGTGTCTAGGTGACAGCGGTTTGGTCTGGGAAGGTATGCAGGAGGAGATCAAGTGTGCCAGAGGTTTGCACTCTGACATCAGCATTGATCAGATGGTTGCCGCCGACGCTGCTGTGCAGGCCAACCTTCTGACCGAAAAGGACAAAAGTCTTTTGCATCGCCTTCTTGCCGATCTGGAAGGTGATAGCGGCGTTCCACGTTGCCTCCGCCCTTTCAAAAACGCGATTGACCCCTTTGAGGAGGCTCCCACCAAGACGAGCATTGCGGCCCTGATCCAAGAGATGGGTCAATCAGCGGAGACCGCCATGAACAGGATCACAGAATTCGGCAACGGCGACCAGCAAGGAGAACCCGCTTTCGTTAAACACATCATGAAGCCCTGTTGCATGCTCTTGGACATCGACTACCCTGGCACCCCGGTCGAAGGTCACCGTGCCATAGTCCAGTCCGACTTGGATGTGGGGATGGACGTTAGTGCCATCATGTACCTCAGAATGCTTCCAGGCACCGGTGACCTCCGAGACGCTGTTCAGAAGCTGAAAGGTTCGAACAGATTCAAGTCCACCTGGAGATTTCTCCTTTTCAAAGACAGGTTGTCTGGCATTGAATTTGATGAAGGACGGAAGCACTTGTGGCAGAAGGTATTTGGAGAGCCATTCGAGAGAGTTTGATTGTCGCAAGAATTAGCGCAGGTTGACGGAGGGTATCAAATTGCGGAGGATGACGTTGTTGAACCACTGGGTTGAGCTGGCAACTTGTTCGATAGGCATCATTATTGCAAGCATGGAAATGTACTGTAATTTAAGAAAACTCATTCATCACTCTCGGATCCCATTTTCAAACCCCACGGGAGGTGCTTTAAACATAATGCTGGGACTTTGCCAGACACGTATAGTCTTGATGCTTTTCTCGGTGTCACGAACAATGACGAAAAAGACGGCTGAAAGGGTGCATGAGAGCACCATTCGAGAAACGATGTGATGAAAATTGTGATGACAGATATAATGCCAACAGCTCTCCTGCACCATGTCACCAGGGAGAAGAATTTGCCAGAAGAGAGGCCACCTTGGAAGACTTTTCAGCTTCGGGAAGACGGCCCGTCTACCCCAGGAAACATTTGAGTTGTCATCAAACCTTCAACTGCAAGACAGCCACTCCTGTTTGACGGAGACACCCACAAATGCGGACGGATAACGGCAACGAACCGTCAGCTCAAGGCTGGGAAGTGCCGTCTGCGCATCGTGATTGGCCTGATCGGAAACGCCCCGCGGCATCTGATGTCGCGAAAACTCAAGTCTCAGCATGGACGTGCTCGAATCGGAACAAGCTTGAATTTTGACGCAAACCTGGATCATCTGTCACGTTCGTCTGAGCGTCGTGTCAATTCTGCCCGCCGGTACTTAAGGGCGTGTCCCCACAGATCTGGCCTTGACACATGCCGTCGATCACATTGATCTTAGTCTCTCGAGATCGTCCGAAGCCGAATACGAGATTCGACAAGCACGCTAAATGAGTACTTGTTTCTGCCGGCCCAGAACGACGCAAGTGATTCATGCCTCGAACCGGTATCCAGAAGGTGAAAACGGGTTGCATAACATGCAAGTAAGTCGCCGTCGTACTCGGCACCGCATCCTAGGACAACGTCTAAACTCTATCTTATCAGAATACGGAGAATAAAATGCGACGAGAGCCGCCCTTTCTGTAACCGGTGCTTGACGACAGGGCGGAAATGTGACGGCTACATGTCGCCTCCCAAGGGGACGTACTCTTGGGATGAGCTCCTACAAGGGAACATCTCGGATGTTGCCTTGGGACAGTCGGCACTGACAAATGGTACGACGGCCGAGAAACGTGCCATATCGTTCTTTCAACGTGTAGCCGCACCGGCCCTTGGAGGGTCACTGAATAAGCCCTTCTGGATCACCATCGTTCCCCAGGTTGCGAACCAAGAACCCGTGGCGAAGCATGCCATGATGGCCGTTAGCTCATTATACGAGACCTTTACCAAGCGCTCTCGCCTCGACATTGCCTGTGGCGCAGATGATCAGAGTAGCGCATTCGCTGTGTGGCATTACAACGAGGCTATAAGACTGTTACGAACAACGACAGACCGGGCTTTGATACTGTTCGTCTGTGTCCTGTTCATCTGCGTCGAGCTGCTCCGGAAGAACTCCAAAGATGCAGTTGAACATTGCCGACATGGGATAAATATCCTCAACGAAGTTCGCAGCGAATCGGATTTCATAAAGAACCACGTCCAGCCGGCAATACGGAATTTGAGCATTGTCCCATATCTATACGGCGCCGATCCTCATTCCTTCCCAACCCTAGGCAAGCCCGCGCCGGCCACGAAATACAATTTTCGCAACATCTCAGAAGCACATCAATCGCTGGTCTGTGTCCTGGTACGGGTTGTACGATTCGCGCGGTGTTTGACTGAACCACGTCTGGAGCCCGGGCGAAACGGTCCCGATCCAGGAACAGAGTGGACCCAGCAGGACATTGTAGAGGATATGGACGCTTGGTTAGAAGGGCTTCGTCACTTCACGGGATACATCTATGTCCCGGCAGGCCACGAAGAGAGGGATATCTGCAGGTTATTGGAGATGCGGTGGACGGTTGGCAAGGTCATGTTGCTAACTTCTCGGTCCAATAACGAACGCGCTTATGATGAACACATCGATAAGTTCCGAACGATAGTCAAACTTGCGGTCCCCGCGGCGGCGGCAGCAACAGCCTCATCTGGAAAGCGAAAACCGGGATACGGTACCGAGAGACACCCCCTTGAACTGGGGTTTACTTCCTTGCTCGCTTTTGTGGTCATGAAGTGTCGCATCTTCGAGCTGAGGTTGGCGGCATGGAAGCTCATGAACAAACTGCATCGTCCCAACGATAACATATGGAGCGAGGATGTGACCATTGTGCTGGGAAGAAGAATCATGGAGTTGGAACACCACGTCAACTTGGATGACATGAAGCTCGATGACGATGATGATATTAGTGAAATGGGGGAGGGCGATCCCGCATTAGTTCAGAAAGAACGCATTGTGAACTTCAGCGCCAACTTTGCGAATACCGAATTCACCAAGCGAAACGTGCGATTCAACTTTCTTTTAAAAGAAGGCCAGAGTAAAGAGTACGTCGTGGAGGATGATTGGATTTCGGTCAAGTCGCGACCGAAGACGCAACTTCTGGAGGAAGAGTCAGAGTGGACTTGGAAGGGACATTGTTGATTGCTTACGCCGCATGGGCAGAGGACTAGTTACAGTCGGCCTTATGGCTCTTTTTTTCCCATCACTATCATTCTTGTTGTTGATACTACTAGCATATCAACTGCTTTAGTTGGGCTGAACATCCGCTCAGCATCCGCCCGGACTGCGGAACTTTTGTTGATATCCGTATTCCTGTCGTCCTATCAACATCACTGCTCACAGCGCTAGTTTTATGATACCCTCGAATATGAAACTGTGAAATCAATGTGAAGGGAATGCTTCTTTGGCGATGATATGACCCTCTTCGTTTTCGGGCATCATTCCACCAGCACTCGTGACGGACGCGTTTAAGCCTGCCTTGTCGGAACCGCGGCGTCTCTAAGGCATTATCATATCACTCAAACTCCTTGTACGGCTAAGGAGAGGTTTGCCGTGATCTTTTCTTCCTCTTCTTTTTTCTATGCGTTTCTATCTTCTTCATTTTCTTACGTTTTTCTATCTCTCCTCCTATCTCTCCTTTTTCTTTTCTTCCCCTTTTCCTGCCTTGTCCAGCCATTCAACTACTCCCAACATTAGCTGGACACTTCGGTTGTGAGATCCATTGTATGTCCTGCATCGTCGTATGGAACCTCGCTAGAAAGCATCATCTTTTCGAACCGCCGGACTAAGCTCTGGCCTCGCGCAGCCTCGATGTCGGTCAAAGCTAGATCGAGGTCAATGACCCAGGTTGCTTCAGTATTTCCATTCAACCTTAATCGAGCCTCTTCGTGTGGCATCTCCAGTCGTTTTAACTCGACCAATACGCGATTCGCTTCTGCTGACTTCAAAGTTCCGTTTTGAAGCGCCATACCCACCACCGCCCGGGAGATTGCACCGGATGTAGAGAACGACACGCAAAGATCGGTAAGTCCTGCTAGACATAGGTCCAAATAGAAACGCCATCCTCTTCCAGGTCGCTCATGTTGAACATTTGACTGGGTCGCCTCTTGCATCATGGCGTTTGCCACGTATATCACGGCAGTTTGCCATAAGCCCGAGAACCTGGCTTTCTTGTAGCGAAGCCGGAATAGGAGACAAAGTCGTTTGAGTTGATTTACTGAAGCAGCATATACCGCTTTGGGGGTAGCGTGTTGGCTAGAAAACAAATTGAGTCGAAGATTGCAAGTGGGCGGTGTCAAGAATGGTCGGAAAAGGTCCGTCACAATCGCGTGGAAGTAGATGCTAGATTTTTCAGTAAGTGATTAACTGGTGTTGGCTGGTCAGACCTACTGCATCATCATAACGTCGTGGTTGCTGTCCTGATTCCTCACAAGATTAGGAGGCAAGTTGTTGGCCCATTGAAGAAGTCTGAGATAGATACCCTCCGCAAAGTCCAGCTGGCGTTGTCCTTTTGGTCCTTGATTTTTCGTGCCATAATAACTACACAGCATATCTTGGCAGACGGTCCATAAAATACTGGAGGCGTCGAATACCTCTAGCGGGTGGGCGGCGTTTTTGGGTATGCCCTCGAGCGGTCCATCCGCGAGAAGTGCCAGTGGTTTTGGAAGCAAGGGAGGCGTTCCAATTTCGCATGTGTGATAATGTAAAGACAACAGCCTATTCAGATCCGTTATTGTCAGCAAATGGTTCATAATGACCAGGTGCAGGACTGGGGCTTACTAACGAGACCCAGTTGAATACCCCCCAAGCCGTGTATGATGCGGCCCGCGTCCAAATATCATGGCCTTGCAACCATTGCATGGCCGAATCCTTCTCTTCCTTGACGTCGAACAACCCCATTGACCTTCCAAGCTCAACGCCCCTTCGCGTGAACTCAAGACTCAAATTGTTCTTTCCGTATGTGACGGCGCTAATACCGAGTAGCTGCAACCCGGAAATTGTTGTCAATGTGTTCTGTGATTGTTGGCTGGTGAGGTCTTTTTGGGCTTGTATGAAGAGTCTGAGAGACCACTCTGCTGGGTCGGGGCTGATGGGCGTGTAGGATTTCTAGCCGATGTGAGTATTTGACCAGAATCTGTATCTAGGAATACAGACTAGATACTCACGCATGCCCAACAAAGCAAGGAGTTGACGAGGAAAGACGAACAAAAGTGAGTCCTCTTTCCCACAAGATCATCCAGAAACAGATCCTGGTCGAAAAGTGGAAAGACAGGATGATCAACTTCGAAATAATGAGATAACACGCGAACTGCGAGATCGTTTGGTATTGAGACTGCTGTCCAGAAAGAAATATCGACACCTCCAAGCCGCTCATCAAACAATGGTTCCGATATATACTCGTCGCCAAACTCTGTGGGGGCTGAGTCCGGAGTAAACATCTCCTCTCCTGAGACGCTGCTTTCGCTATCCCTGATCAGAGGATACTGCCTAGCCGGTGATCTATGGTAGGATTATTAGCGCGTCTTTGCCCACAAAGCTGTGCTATCGAATTACGGATGAAGGCTTGACAACAAGAGGACGAGACGCCTGATTGTGCCGGGTGGTCAAAATCACTAAATTGGAGACCACTTACATCTCCTGCCTTCCAAACTGTCGCACAGCCAACGGTCTGAGCAAGTTTCCTAGCGCCGGAGTGAAAGAAATCGGGGATAATGCTGGATATGCAACGTTATGCTGCATCGACAACTCAGACTCAAGAATGTTTGGCGTCGGCGGAAGCATGCCTCTCAGCAATTGCACCTCGGACGGTGGCGCGATCGGAGATGGCGTGTTTCCAGCCCCTTGCCGTAGCTTCTGTAGCAACTCCAATGCCTCGCCGTATGGCATTGTCTTCAATGATTCGAGTACATCATTGACAGAGCCGTGCTGCGGAACCTCTTCACCCTCGGCCACGGTCACGGTGTGACGGATGCTGTACGTGTATGCGCAGACTTCGCGCCGCGTGACGCACATGAGGCATCTCGGAAGGGCACCATCGCACTAGCCGTGATGTCAGCGACTTGTATCGCAGGGCTGATAGAGTGAGAGCTCACCTTGATCTTCCGCCTTCGACAGGGATCGCACGCGCTGGGGGTTTTGCGCGGGCGTGCCGAACGTCGGGCGACCCGGTTCGCATTCAGGGGGCCGGCCGCGGCGTCCTCGGGCGTCCTCGGGCGGGGGCGTATCTGCCGGAGCGGCTTCATCGTCACGGGTGGCGATGATGGAGGCGGACTGTCAATCGAATCATCCGGACTGGTGGAGCGTCGGGGAGGTTGCGAAGACTCGGACCGGGGGGGTTGAGATGGTTAGGTGGCAGATAAGGGTACCTTGCCAATTGGGGCTTCCAGCCATTGCGGCACCTTGCTGACATCACTGAATTTGGTGGACCTGCGGCTATTCGAGCGCCAGTTATAGGCCTCGCGGAGTGATCTCCGGCAGGCGGCGGCTAGCTTTATTTGATCTTGCATGGCGTCAATATGGAGAAACAGTGGGGGAGGCCGCAAGGAGTTGTGACTAAATGGTCCTCAACATTCCGACGGAGTCCAGATTCCTTGGCATGTACTTCGTGGCTACTATTGAACATGAGGCTGGGAAAGGAAAAAGAAATATCCTGTGATCTGTTGGCGGCTGTGGCGCTCGCTAGAGCCGAAAACACATCAGCCGATTATTCTCTTGTTTTGGGCTTCCTAGTCGGGGTCCGTCGACGGCGCCGGAGAGTCGGAATCTTCTCGGATTACAAGCAATCCAAGCTTGAATTTGTTTGTCGGTCGAAACCGCGAAGTCTTCCATCCAAATTCATCATCCAATGATCCCGTTTCTCATGTCTCATGGATCGGCGATTTGTCGAAGACTAGGGGAGCAACCTTTCCGAACGTCTCAGATATCACGCGGATGTACATTCCTAGGAGCCGGAAACAGTAACTTAACAGACTCGAGTTGAACCCGTCTATTTGAACGAGTGTTTGAGCGGATACCCCTGGCTAGCGGCGCACCACATTGACCACATCATTCCCTCAGTTCTATTGTGCCTAACGTACGTAATTATCATCTTCCGCAGCGTCATTGTTCGTCTAAATGGCAAAACCTATCTGAAGACCATGGCCATGCAAATATCGAAGGGTACTGTCTTTGAATCTAGAACAGTATCAATTGATGACCTTACAATTCTGGAACCTCTTCTCGGCAGCATTATGTATAGCACGGAGGCCTACATACCTCGTCGTCAGGCCTTTCTGACCTGGAAGGCCTGCGAAACTCGTCCCGTCTCGACCCCCATAGTGTTGAGTCTCTTTAAGATGATGAAAAGCCGCCAGCTGTTGCCGCATCTCCTCCGTACCAATGTGTAGCTGCTCAAGGATCTCGGTAACAACTGCGTAGAGGATTTCTAAGCTACCGTCCTCAATCTTGACCGCAACGCCAACAGCTCCCTCAGCTCCAAGTTGCTTGGTGTACTCTGACTCCCGAATTCCAACACCATAACAGCCATCTGCACCCACCTTACCAATGAGGGCTCCCGCAAAGGCTTCCATCAACAGCGTGCAGAAGCGTCCTTCACCGCCGACCATCTCGGGATGATTGGCCATTGCGTCGAAAATGCGAGCCATATGCCTTGTTCGCTGAGAAGGAGATGATTCGTCGTCGCCAATTGCGTCAGCAGCTGCCGCGAACCTCGCATACATGCGTCCCATGGAACTAAGCGACAATCCAGGTGCAGGGAGATTGCAGCCATCAATGCCCCATTTAACGTCCTGTTCCGAAAGGCCACTTAGTTCCTCCACGACTTCCTTCACCTTGAGTTGAATTGGGTGCTGAGGAAGATGGTAATCGGCAAACTCGGCTCCTAGAGCAAGACCACCGCCTAGCATGGCAGCATGCTTTCCAGAGCAGTTGTTGTAAACCCCCGTCGGCTCAAAGTCGACCTTGATCCAATTGCGGTTGACATTTGGGCAGATTGAAGGGTGACCACCGCAACGCAGGTCGGATTCGGAAGCCCCGACTTTCTCTAGCATAGATCTGGCTCTGCCAATGTGCCTGTCCTCACTGTTGTGAGAAGCGCACATTAAGGCAATATCGGCCTTGTCGAAACCGAATTTTGAAAAGCCGGGCGTTTCCAGTACAGCAAGTGCTTGAGCTGGCTTTGCTGCGGATCGAGCCAGAGTCAATCGAGATGGGTTGCCAACAGCGTAGATAAGCTTGCCATCGGCGTCGACCACTGCGACATGGACACCGTGTCGGTTCTCGACGATACCGCCTCGATCAGTGACGACAAAGTCCTCCAGCTGCGTAGTTCGCGTCATTTTGAGAAGCTTGATCGAAATTCGAGACGGAGCAGGTGCTGCGATGCGCGAAATGTGAGTGTCCTTGACGAAGAGATCAATTGGCTTGTGACAGGAAACATACATGAGTCGTCGGACGTAGGCGCTTTGCCGAGAAAACGGGATGTGAAACGAAGTCCAGTGTCCGAGGCCCATATGCCGTCCCGGCCGGTGATTTTAAAGACTGTGGTACCGGCCCGGACTCTTCGCGGTCCGGAGTTGCTGATGCGCAGGCGCAGATAGAGTCCACTCTACGGGGCTCTTCCGATGAAAGGGCGCGGTGTGACATGTTCAGTGCCGCTCGCTGCGGAGCAAGGTTCATGGTAGCCTGCATAAGCTTACACATCTCTTCCATGGGGCTTGCGCCAATGATACGGACAGCAGATTGAAGAGTCATGAATGACTCTACCCCGAAAGTAACTCGCGATGATCTTAAAAAAAGGGCGCGACCAATCAATAATTATTAGCTGCATATCCTGACGTCAATGAATTAAGAGCCACAGAGGCGCTGCTAAGTTGGCAAATACCCTTCGACGCATCTGCGTCCTGCTGGCTTCGATTCATTTTGAGTCGTAGTTGTCAACAAGCCTAATTTTGTATCGCTGGTTCAGTTTGTACTGGCTAACAACGGCAATCCATAGGTTTCTTTTGAATAGGACAATAGTAACTCCTAAGACATTTCCCCCCCGTGGACACGTTAGGTAGCTGATAGCAGACACATGAGAACTCGAATCATCCGTACATTAGCTTGTGATTCATAGCAAGTCTAAGCAATATTCTTGTTTGGCTGTCAATGATGCTCCGCGGTCTGTGAGTACGCATACTTCCATTCGTTGAATATGATTTCCGGGAACTTTCCCTCGCCAGTCATGTTTCCTATCATGCCACTGTGTTTACCGAAGACTTAATGTTGACGAATCTCAGGCTATCCCTCCCCGAAACTTCAATCGCTTTTTATTGAATCAACGCAAGCTAGGGCGATGAAATTGGCGTTGAAGAGAGTGACCAAATGCCGGCAAAGCCCTTCCTGGGGACGTTTTTCCAACATCTTTGCAGGCGAAAGTTCTCCAGGCGGGATATCCCCATTGCAGTTCGGAATGTGCACTTTTGATGCAATACGATAGACCAAGAAGCCCAAGAGAACAGCACGGTGTATTTCAACTAGCACCCACAGTGGCCGAATGCGGAATCGTCGAGGCTGGAGCAGGGCAGAGACTCTTTTGCAAGCTAGAGTGTGGACTGCTAAGAAGACAAACGTCTTTGCATCTTCCACTGGAATATTTTTTGACATGTTTGGTTACCTTCCCTTTTCGGGGCAAACATCCAACATGCGATCCCGGATGCAGTTCCGGCAAGGGCTTCCCACGTGCGAAAATTGCGAAAACCTCGGATCCCGTCCCGTGTGTGTCACGATGTTTTTATGTGGTAAGTAGGTCTAATACTTATTAGACCTCATAACTCCCAGCGCCCAGTTCCACTGAAACGACCTGCAGATAAGCCGCTAAGATAGGTATGGTGCGGTGTGTTCTGCGCGCCCTTGGGGTCTTGGATCCAACCGGTCTAACGTCAGAACCCCGCAAGCGGGGCCGACGTCGGATTGGGGGGCACACTGTTGCTTTAGTCATGGAAAACTCAAAACTCCTTTTAATGAGCTGGGGACATCATGAAGTTGGTGCATTTTTCCTTTTGTTTCGTTGATCCCGTTCTCTACAGTCGAGGCATCTTCTCAGTGTAAGAAAGATGTCTGTCGAGTTGCAACCAACGCCTGACGCGCGCTCAATGCGCTCTGCGCCGCCTACCGATGATGAAGAGGGCAACAACTTGATCCAGACTCTCCCGCCGAGTGACAAGGGCGCGGAGGCATGGAAATTCCTCTTTGCGAGTTTCATTGTCGAGGCAGTTCTCTGGGGTACTGTCACTCAAGCCCAAATGTCAACCGGCTTTTGACTAACATTGACAGGTTTCCCCCTGACGTTTGGTGTCTTCCAAGACTACTATTATTCCCATCCCAATTTCGAAGGCAACCCAAACATCGCTGTCATTGGCACGGTGTCAACAAGTATCTACTTCCTCGGAGCACCAATTGCTGTGCCCTTGGTTGGCCGCTTCCACGCCTGGCAAAGACACATGGTTGTTGTCGGCTGGGCTATTTGCGTTGCATCCCTTGTTGGGGCGTCCTTCTGCGACTCAGTCGTCGGTCTCATCGCTACACAGGGCGTCATGTACGGTGTCGGCTTTCTGCTGCTGTATTTCCCCGTTCTGCGTATGCTCAACGAGTGGTTCGTGGCCCGCCGCGGCTTTGCCTATGGCGTCCTCTTTGCCGGCGCCGGATGCAGTGGTGTCGGTCTGCCGTTCTTGCTTGAGGTGCTCTTGTCCAAGTATGGCTTCCGCACCACTTTGAGATCGGTCGCCGTTGCGGTGTTCATCTTGGTGCTCCCAGTCCTGCCGATGATCAAGGGACGCCTTCCGCCCTCGCACCACGGTGCTCTGCGCATGTTCGACGTGAGCTCTTTCAAGCAGCCTCTTTTCTACTGTTTTGCTCTCTCGAACTTGTTTCAGGGGTTTGCCTACTACATCCCCTCACTGTATCTCCCCTCATACGCTTCTGCTATTGGGCTGTCCGGAACGATGGGCGCTTTGCTTCTGGCTGTTTACAACTTGGCAACCGTTTTCGGACAGGTCGGATTCGGCTGGTTGTCGGACAGGACGCCTAACATCCTCATTCTCATTTTCATCTCTTCGTTCGTATCGTCGGTTTCAGCGTTCATCATTTGGGGATTTGCTCACTCCTTGGAGCTTCTCGTGGTGTTCGCGCTCATCTTCGGCATGTTCGCCGGCGGTTTCCCCGTCTTCTGGGCCAAGTTTGGCGCCATCCTTTCCGACGATCCAGCACCTGTATTCAGCATGATGGCGTTCACAAAGGGCATCGGCAATCTTGCTACTGGTCCCATCACTGCTGGTCTCTTGACCAAGCCGGTCAGTTCGGGTTATGGAATGGGGCGATACGAATCGTTGGTTCTCTTCGTTGGCTCCTTCATGCTGTGCTCGTCTATGGGCATTCTCGGCTGGCCACTGAAGAAGGTCACTGTCCGCTCCTGAGACCGGAAAGTCAATGATGTAGTTTGGTTGAGGAACACATAAAAGTCACTCGTTCATGATAAATCTCGCGCGCTCGGGTTGTAAACTCATAGCCAATTACAAGAATAAGATGAATGCAACCCATTGTATCCAGCCTCGGCGAAAGCCGTATTTGATATGTGCTTTCCTTAGTCTGGACTTATACCCTATTCCGTAAAATACGAGTTGACATTAGAACCTTCGTGCATTGTCTTGGCCGCGGCTGGGTAGAAAGGTAGTTATATTGCCACACTGGAAACCTGACTCAGTCTCGAGTGTTTGACAAGGGACGTCTGAGCATATTCTCTACCTCAACCCAATCAAATTCCTTTACATCATCGGACTCGCCCCATCCAAGAATGTAGAGCAACCAGATAATATTTTTTAGGTGTGCGCCCTAGATAGGCCCAAGACCTCAAGGCCTTGGCTTCTCTCGAACCCGCAACTAGCCTAAGGCCCCGACGAGCAAACGTCGCGTGATTATTGTAGTGATCGGCAAACACCTAAATGAACCACCTGAGAATAGCTTTAATTACGACAATGCCAATCTTCAATTTCAACTCTATCTACGTTTATCAGGATATAAGAGAACCTGTTCACCTTCGTTCCCAGAGTGCCCCGTAAACACCGCGATAATACTCAATTACCTCATCCCAGTAGCATCATTCTCGACATAGCTTCTGTCAACATGAAGTTTGATCAAGCCATTGCCGCTTTTGTCTCTCTGCTTGCAGTCCCGACATTTGCCCAAATCACGCCAGTAACCTGTCAGAAGGAAACTGTGAGCTGTGTAAGTAAGCCAATACATTACGTTGGGCATTTCAACTGACCGTCAAACAGGCTGGCAATGAGGACTGCAACGCTAAAGGTTCGCCTGGTGGTTTTCCTTGCCCAGCAGGCTCTGGTCAGAATGATGCGGACTGCTGGATAGCTACAAGTGCAGGCGGCGACGCATCAAGCGTGAGCGTAAGTCGCAACTCTTTGTGGACAAAGTTATGTGCACCCCAACTAACATCTGACGTAGTGCTGGTGCTGCAGACCTCAGTCATGAGCCGTTATTTTCCTGGGATTTGGACATACTTCGACGCATTTGGACATGGATTGAAATACTCATAGTAGCACGTCAAGCAGATGCAAATGTAACTTTGAACATTATGAATTCTTCTAGCTTCTAGGGTATATCGAAGGATGCGATTAAAGGATTACGTGAACAGACTCGAGTACCTCGTCTGACTTCATTATAACTGAGATTGGCAACGTAGTACAACTTCGAAGTTGCGGCTACTTGGCCACCTCAGGCTCGGGGGTCGACCTGTTTGCAGAAGTAATGGTTTCTCCCAAAGGTCTCTTGAAGAAGACGTTTCTTTCCCAGCCATCGATCTCATCGACGACAGTCTCACGCACCAGCTCGTACTTGCCGATCTTCGGCAGGATCTTAGCCCATACAACCCAGTAAAGACCACCTGCAACAATGATGGCGATGCCGACGACACAGTGAAGGTAGTAGGGAAGGCTCTCGTAGACGTTCTGGCCCTCCTCGGGAGGAACGAAGGGAGCAATGACGAGGTAGACGTTGCTAAGCATGAAGAAGATGACGACGGGCAGACTGGCGCTGATGGGAGGGTTCCAGTTCCACTCCTTGCGGTTGAGGTAAAGGTAGGCCAGGCCTCCGGCGACAAAGACGTTGATGACAGCAAGAGGGTCTGTTGGGGTATTAGCGTGAGCTCTTGATAGAATACTGAAGTGATCAAGGCAAGAAACTTACAGCTGATGAGGTTAAGAATGAAGTTGTAGGCATCTCCAGGAGGAGGAGCGAGCATCGTGATGACGCAAATAAGCCAGTGCTCAAACAGACCAGCCAACGGAGCGTTCAGGGGCTTGTTGCTGGCAAAGAATCGAGAGAATGGAAGGATACCCTCGCGACCGAGTTCTTGAACTAGACGACCCTGGGAGAAGATAACGCTGAGAACGTTGCCGTAAGCAGACAGGGCGACGAACACCGAGAGAGCACGCTCTGCGGTGCCACCCATGACGTTGCGGAAGAGGGAGGCGGCGACCAGACGGCCACCCTCAAGAATCTCCTGCTTGGGAACAGCGGCGAAGTAGGCAATGTTGACGAGCATGTAAAGAATCGAGATGGTGATGATACCGGCAGGCGCGGCAATCTTGAGGGTGCGAACGGGGTTCTTGGTCTCGCTGAGGGCGTAGTTGGCGTTGCTGTACCCAATGTAACTCCAGATGACGTTGTACAACGCTGTCACAACTCCATAAGCGCTGCCAGTGGTGCCCTCGAAGGCATTGCGGAAGTTATGAGGCTTCTGGTCCTCGGGAAGCTTGACGTGGCCACCCAGGGCAATGAAACCACACAGAATGATGATCAGGATGATGATCAGCTTGATTGAACCAAGGAGGTTCTGCAGGCGCAGACCCCACTTGAGCGCAAGGCCGTGGATCAAGAAAGCGGATGTGATGCATGCCAGACCAATACCGCGCTGGTTCCACCTGTCAACCTCAACGTTGGCCGCGTGGAGGATGTACTCGCCGAAGACGACAGAGTTACCACTGGCCCAACCGAGGAGGATGACATATCCGGTGTACAGACCAGTGGTCAGGAACTTGGGGCGGCGGTAGACGTATTCGAGGTAGTTCTTCTCACCACCGTTCTTGGGGATAGCAGTTCCCCATTCAAGGTAAACGGCAGTTCCGGCGAGAGCGATAATCATACCAGCGACCCAGATGAAGAGCGACAAGCCGACACTGCCAGAAAGGCTGAGGATGGAACCGGGGGTAGCGAAGATACCGGTACCGACGACACGGTTGACGATCAGGAATATGGCGGTGGTGACTCCGATTTGTCGCTTGGCTTCACGCGCATGCTCGATTCGGCCTGTAGTTCAAGAGTCAGCAGCGTCCTAATGCGCCAAAAGCACCAGGTGAGGACGGCGACATACCAACTTCGCTGTCATAGGTGGGCGCAGCGGGGAGATCGCCATCTTTGTTGCCGCCCTCGGCGGAGGACGAGCCACCGCCATTGAACCTGTTCAAGAGCTTGGACATATTGGCGATTCTGATCTTGGCCGTCCTTGAGTACGCGAAAGACCAGAGACCCGAGGGTTGTTGATGCACTGGAGACAGGAGACGGAAGAAGATCCGAGCATCAGGGTCAGACTACAAGGCTGCCAGAAGGTTTTATGTCTGGACGTGACACCCGTGGGAGGGCCCCGCCAAGTGGATCACGTCTTAGAGACACCGAATTGGCGCCATGTGGCGAGAGGATATGTATGGCCGTCTGCAGTTCTTGGAGGGTGCATTGCAAGTTCGAGCCAAAATCTTCGAGGGTCCCAAGGATCTTTGCAGGGATCAAGGGGTGAGAGAAAGCGTTGCAGGCTCTCGAAAAGATCCGCAAACGAGAGGCTGCCCGCGTTGTTCCGAAAGTATGCGCGATTCTTTAGAGCCGCCTAGACCCAGAAATTGCAGCAACTGTCAAGACCCCCAAAGCACCCCACGCAAAGTCGAGCGCAGTCAGGGGAGTGACACCAGGGTGTCTTGTCCCAGTGGTCTGGTGCGAGAAGTTCTGTGTCATAGTTTCTGTTTGTGGTCCACAGCACCGATGACGCGATCAGAGGTGAAGATGTCGAAGTGGGAAAATTTTAGCTGGGACCCAATTAAATCCGGGGGGCGTTGGGGACAACCTGTGTGACTCCGGCGGGACACAACAACGACATTCCTCTTGCTGGTAAGATGTTACAGCCAAGAGTCAAGCATCAGCAGGCAGAACTTCCTATTCTTCGTGTTCTCGGTACGAAATACGCATGGTGAGACATGCCTCGCTTCCCAAGAATCACGTTCTTCTTGGTCCTACAGTTGACCCCCAAGATATTTTTACATGCCTTGCCTGACATGTCTCAATTGGTCGGGCGCAAGCTGCCAAGGCCATCAAAAGTTCGTTCACTCAGTCATCAATAGCTTCTCTTGGCCTCAAGAATGCCTAGCTGGCTTGGAGGAAACCTGGTGTGCAAGGTGAACGCACTCTTTCTAGGTTTGCACACCCACGATCGCTCGATCTGAAGCGTTTGCAGCTCGGCCTACGAGCTTTTTGTTATCCTTTCTCCATATCATCGCCTAAACATCAAACAATGATATCTCGTGAGGATTTCCAATGTCTTGAGTTAAGCTTTAGGACTTGAGTGGCGGGAAGTAATGGCTATCTCACCGCACCCTTATGGAGTCTACCTTGAGTGCTCCGGCAGTACAACGATACACAGAGATTTTGCTCTAGGATGACGTGACAAATAACACCCAGAACGCAGGCATCGGTCAGATGCCTCAAGGTCAATTGCATGGCCCACGGGATGTCACTGAGAACTTTGGCACACCACCATCGGCTGCAACCGAGTTCTAGGCTGCATTTTTCACCAGGAAGCTAATCCTCACCCCACGCCGACTTCAGGGGTAAAGGCTCTAAAGTCAGAATTTGCGGACTCACGGTTGATGATTCGACCCATCAGCATCCTACTGAGCACCAGCTGAAAAGTTGACCTAACATCGCCTCGAAGTTGTGTTGCGCGATTGACGGACGAATGGACGAGATGGGAAAGGCGATTACTCCCATTTCTCGGGTCCTTCCCGATGTGATATCTCGGCTTCATGAAGTCATAATAGCCAACATCGCGTGATAGCGCCAGTGAGCCGTCGACAAGCGCCCTCTCAGGCAGGCGTCAGGCGCTTTTAACCGAGACAAAAAGTCTCGCCCGACAACTTAAATAAAGTCAGTGGGGTTTGGAAACTCGCATGGATGACAAAGCTGCACTGCGTATCGCCTGCGATGACAGCTGTGGTCATTTGGATACCATGCCATTGAAGTGTCCCAATGAGTTAAGTGAGAATCACGCGTGAAACTGATAAAAACGATACTACAGCAGTTATAAGAAGATGTTTCAAGACCTATGGTCAATGCTGGTTGCTGAATCTCATGGATCAGTCTGAGAGCCGGCTGCGCTCGAGGATGAAGGGAACCCGATGCTGTATGATTCGTGCGGATCACGTCGCGCTTTCCCATTAAGAAGTCACGGTTCTCCCCTCAATAATGTGCAGATTTATGTAAAGGCACCTCATAATACGATGACGTCTAGGGCCCGCAAAATTGTCACTCCGGGGTTGACTTTCAGATAAGGGAGATTCGCATCTGTCGACCTCCTGTGTCAAGAATGCTGCTAACCAATGCCCCGGTTTCTCCCCAACCCTCCCACCAATCTGAACCACATCATCCGGTCAATTGGATAAAGTGCTGCATCGTTCCCTGTCTAGCGGCAGCGGGTCAAGGGTGCTGCAGCTTTATCGAAGTGAACCGTTACCGCGGACCGTGCCGCCACGAGGCGCTCCGATCTTTCGGAGGTCCCAACCGAGATAGATTGCCACGCGCGCCCTAAGGCGATCTCGCCCACCTGTGGAACGTTGAAGATCATTTATAGAATCTTCTTAACTACAATTGGTACTCTTTCGCGAATCGCAGTTCGTCCAACAGGTAGGAGGCAACAGAGGGCCGCTTTGTGACTGCAGATGCTGCCGTAGACGTCTCTCTCCGTAATGTAGAGAGGACAGAGACAGCATCGCATACATCGCCCCGTCGGTCGCACAGCGATACAAGAATCAACGACTACGGCATTTAATCACAGCCAGATCCTCGATTTCTGAAAATACGACGTTTCGCAGCGCCATGCCAACATGGAAAGATGCATATTCTCGTCCGGATGCAGAAGAGCATGCAAGGAAGAGTGGGTAATTGCGCTCCGGTTTTCGGAGACAGTCCGTTACCCCGGACTTCATTTCTTCCTAGCTGCGGAGAAGTTTCCGCCATCGCTCGCGGGATTCGAGTCACTAGACCGGGGTGAAACCTGCAAAGAAAAACTTCCGAGGAGCACGCCGTGAGTTGGGGTCGAAGAAGCCATTCTGATTCAGCTGCGATATCACCCACCCGCAATCTCATGGCCCAAAATGCGACATCACCCCAATCATGGTGACTCCGTGACACCACTGGAGGGCATTTCTGCCAACGACTCCGACATAGAGCGGGCTCAGGTAGCCGAGGTCAACAAAATCAACGATGACACCAAGGACAGGTTACCGCCACCGGTCGCAAGCGATGAAAAAGGAGTTCTCAACACCGTCGAATTACTCCTGAATGTTGATGCACTTGAGTCGACTTTCCGAATCTCAGATTACCTGCAGAATAATGGCATTGAAGGATTGCCGGCAGGTTCATATCCAACGGCGATAGACGCCAAATATCAGTCGCCATTCGCATGGACGCTTAAGAAGAAAACCACGGTACTGTTCGGAACATTCATTGCTTCTACGCTGGCAGCATATTCTGCAGGCGGATACGCCATGGCTTCAGAACCCTTGACCCAGAAATGGGACATCTCAAATACAGAGTTCAACGTGGGTATCACGCTTTTCGTCCTCGGGTTCGGTTTCGCACCAATGATCCTTGCCCTGATCAGCGAGATCTACGGTAGATACTGGGTTTTCGTTGGCTCAGGCGCGGTCTTCTTCTGCGGCACTCTGGGCTGTGCAATCACCGCATCTTTTCCAGGGATGCTCGTGTCACGGCTTATTGTTGGCAACGGCGCATCAGTCTTTGCTACCCTGACCGGAGGGGTTGTAGGCGATGTCTTTCACAAGGAAAATCGCAACACGCCGATGGCTCTGTACTCTCTGTCCATCATGATTGGAACTGGCCTCGGGCCCATGATGAGTGGAATCATCGTCGACCATCTTCACTGGAGATGGATCTTCTACGTGCAGATGATCACGGTCGGGACCACAACATTGGCTCTGTTCTTCTTCTTTGACGAGACAAGAAGCAACGTGGTATTGAGGAAGAAGTGCGTTGCCTTGAACAAGCACTTCGAGGATATCATTCTGCATCGCACAGCATCATCGACCACTGCAGATGGACCTATTCTCCAGTCAGAACTCCAGCCAAGCATGAATACTCCCGTTCGGGTTCAATTTCGGGAACATTTTGAGGGCCCGGAACTGGATTTAAGCATCATATGGCGGAGCTTCTCGTTTCCCCTCAAGCTGCTCTTCACGGAATCGGTTGTCTTCTGGTTCTCGGCCTGGGTCTCCTTCGCATGGGCAATTCTCTTCATGCAATTCAACAGCATCGGCCTCGCATTTCGGTCTACATATGACTTCAACAGCAGTCAGGTTGGTGGTGTTTACACCGCTGTCATCGTCGGGTCAATCTTGGGCGCAGTCATCACCATCTTTCAGGACCCAGTCTTCAGGAAGCTCATGCCTCGCCAGATGGCCACTCCTGAAGGCCGGTTGTATTCCGCCTGCATCGAATCCTTATTCCTTCCCATCGGACTATTCTGGTTCGGCTGGAGCACATCAAAAGATATCCACTGGATTGTCCCTGCTCTGGCAGTTTCTTCGGTGACGATTGGTATCTTCACGATCTATCTAGCAGTATTCAACTATCTCGCCGACATCTATCATCGTTACGCGTCATCGGCTCTTGCAGCCCAATCGATGTGTCGGAACCTGTTGGCTGGTGTATTCCCCCTATTCACGAACACCATGTTTCAGAAACTGGGCTTTGGGCCAGCTGGTAGCTTGCTGGGTGGGATTGGCCTGCTGTTGTCCCTCGTTCCGTGGTTGCTGTGCATCTGTGGGGAAAAGATCAGAGGTCGGAGCCCATTCGCTGGTCAACTCAAGTCTGCTTGAACACAGCATCCTTTCGTTCACGAAATTCACGAAACGAATGCAGAGCCTAGATCAAAGTAATAGCAAGATAATGGATATGACTTTTGTTATTTAGGCGCGTGCGTACCTGTCCCTGCTTTTTCTCCCAGTTCTGCTGTTTCCGCCGCCCCCGAAGCCTCTTTTTCGAGGCCTTACTTAGGGCAGTTTGCAACATTCGAAGATCCGGGTCCATTCCTTGTGCAGGCTTGTCCTGCCTTATTGGCACAGCTGCCAGAGGTGCAGAGTAACTTGACACCGCTTGCGTTCTCCTGGCACTCTCCCTTGGCGGTGCATTTGCCCTCTTGAGCCTACGGAGAAATTGCAAATTAGCTTCTGTTTTGGCCTGAGCCACATTAATGGTGCAGGTGACTTACCATGACCGTGGTCGCAAGACCAAAGATGGCGGCAACGAACAGCTTGTTGATCTGCATTGTGGTGCGTTCTTGTGTATTTGTAGAGAAGAGTTGAAAAGTGGAACTAATGTGATTGTTGTCGACCAAAGACTGCGCAGACGGTAGGCAAGATGCGACTATTTGTAGCATTCCCTTGGGCATAAAGTTGGGCCTATTTTTACCCACAATATAGCTGTGACGAAACCTCCCGGTTAAGGTTCAAAGATCGACAACACTCTTCATTCGCGTGTGGGCTATTCATGGTCCCGGCTTGTCGGCGGCCCCGAGACACCCGGCGAAGAATCCCTATAGGGCTCAATTCATAAAGAAGCTTGCCCATCACAAGACATCATTTGCGATACTGCTTGAGTTCGACAATTGTTCTCATGTGTTCGTTACAGCTGCAACGTTTCTACTCAGCCCGGTAAAAGTTTCCGGGTGAAGCAAACTGAAACCGGTCATGGCCGATCAGGCCAACCATGAACGCTCAAGAACAGCTTCTGGGACCCCAGTAACAGATCAGTCCAGAACCTTATTCAGTTGAGATGAAAGACATGCGTGTGAAGTCCGGAATTGAAACCGAGTGTGCACACGATGTGCATCGAAAGACTTCATCTGGACACATGCGATGCTATTGCATCTTTTGTTTGGAGTAACTTCATCGGAGACGGATGTTTCATGACACGCTCACTCTTGAATGAGCATCATTGGAGGGAGAAACGAAACGAACTTGCACCGTCGAGCCGGCGATGGCACATGATAGCAGCATCTCGGACGGTTGTTAGTCACGAGATGAGACGTTCTTCGGCAATTGTGAATTCGGAGGCCGCCAAGCTACATGATGGCAAGACTCCTCCAAGTTCAGAGGCCGCAGACTTCTGACGTATCATTACGCCCGTCTTCAGAAGCTGATTACTCATAACACCGTCCCTTATGTCGGCATGAGCAGCTTTCCTGACGGAAGGGCGGATTTATTAGTTTTGATGGCACAAATGCGCTGCGTGTTTGCCTTTTTCTCGGCTTGGTAGCGTGGGATACAAAGAAACTTTCACCCATCTTCTTGTCTGGACGCTACCATACCCTGTAAGCTGGACATTTCAACATGTAAAAGAGGCTGTATGATTATAAAGCATGAGAATGAGGAAAATATGAAAGTTGATTTATATGACGTACAGCTGCCCCGACACCTGAAAACAATGCCATTAATCACAATCAATACATTTGACATGGCCCGGACTGATTTTAGGTCGGAGGCCGATTAGATTTCGACTTTTGGGGGTTTTCCCCATTCTTTGCGATGCAACTGTCAACTATTATGTAGAGCCTAACCGCAACATAAGTAACAACCCAGGTGGTCAATCCACTGATTGTCACCTTGATAATGAAACGTGTCCAGAGTCCCAGACCACCCAATACGTCAAGGTTGGGTGCCATGTAGACAATCTTTTGCAAACCTACTTTTCAAAACTTTCTTCCCTACAACTACACGAAGTCTGGACTGATTCTCCTCATGTCGGATTTATGACCATCTTTCAACTCCCATATGAGCCCTTGAAATCATTGATAACCAATTTCGGGGTTTTCCTCTCTGTACTTGACGGCTTGACAACGGGTCAATATCGCCAGAGAAATGGATCAACTACCGGCAGAACTCATGGTCAAAATCGTCAATTATCTGGGCGTGCGCGGCGTGCTTGCGATTAGAAGAACATGCCGTGGTTTCTCTCAAATTCCAGTGGACGACATTTACAGACGAGCTGTTGAGGAGGATCTTGCAAAGGGTTGGTAGGAGCAATGTTGCAACTCGTACTTCCTTTCTCAAATGAGAATCCTCAGATGAGGAAGGAAGGTTTCTTGTTCATCTCAGCTGCATCTACATGTCCTTTTACCTTCGACCCTGATGTCCTATCCCTTGATATCCTATCCCTTGATGTCTTACTCAGTGCCGAACATAGCCGAGAGCATCCCATGTGACAGGCCTAGCCTGTTACAGATCTCCCCCATTTTCTTCCAGGACCTTAGGAATACGTATTGATGAAAGATACTTCGGTCACGCCACACATACTTCGGGCAGCTGCTGTCGGCAATCTTCTAATTTTGCGCGAGCTCGTAAACCACGGCGCTGACCTTGGGATGTATCTCACCCCGGGATGTCAGCACAATCCTCGACCAAATGTTCTATCAGGTGCAACCCCACTGCATATTGCTACGCAGAACGGGCAAAATGAGTGCGTGGAATATTTGTTATCTTTCAAAAGCGTTGCCGACGACATCGATCGCGACGGCTTCTATTGCTGCATGTGCCCATTGAAAAGACACATGGCATCTGAGTATTTGATGACAAGTGACTTGTCATCGAGTTTGAGTCTAGCAATTGCCCATCTGCACACCGAGACAGCCCAGACGTTGATCAAAAACGGTGCAAAATGGAATGCAAATGTCCATCGCAAGCTGCCTCCCCTTTATCACATGGTAACGAGCGGAGCTACTGCGCTGATACGGTACATTTCTAAGTTGAGACGTGAGAAGCAGCAATACTGGCCTTTGTCTTGCCAGCGATGGACTCTCCTACAGTGGGCTTCATATTTCAAGGGAGAAAGGGAAGAAATCAAGCAGCTCGTAAGCGCATTGATCAACGCCGGAGAAAACCTGGATACACCAAACAGAGACAGGCGGAATTCGGAAGCCGCGCGCAGTTCCTTGCATTTCGCAATTAGAACGGGGAATATTCGTCTTGCAACAGTTTTGCTAGAGGCTGGATCATACGCGGGGATAGACTGCGACAGAAAGGCGGTATACGAGCATTGGCAACATGATGGTATACTTTCAATACCGGTGCATGTCATGGCTCCCATGCCACCACCGGGGTGTGAGATGTGGCCTCTGGCACTTTTCAACTTCATGTGCGACACGAAGGCTGACGGAGGTCGAAGGCGGCCGGTTGGTGTAAGCGTAGAAGATTACTCTCGCTGGAGGAAAGGGTATCGAGACACGAAGGAGTACCGTCTTAAAATGGAGAGATTTTGGGGCATTTCTACAGAAGAGATGGACTACTTTCGAGCCTTAATCGAAGCACGTGTAAGACCTTAGCTGGCACTCGATGTATGCGAAGTCGCTCCAAACTGGTATCATGAATTGGATACAATACATCTAGCTTTTGATGCCACCTCACTTTAAACGTTTCATCCAAGCGTCCTAGCAGTGTAATGACAACATGTCGCTTAGCGTGACGTACATGTATTGATCAGATTGAGAAATTGAGTTTAGGAGACCAAATGATCATATCTTAAGCTGAGGGGCATGAAATGACTTTCGTAGGTGATTCGGGACAGTATCCTGCCCAATACGAACGTGTTGCCTTCTCGCAGTTATTCGGGTCGCTTGCGTCGCTGCTTGGAGTCAATACGTGTGAAGGAAAACGGCGACTATTCAGGCTTTGCGCTTACCGGTCTACCTGCAGCATGCACCATGATAGAGTATCCAAGAATTGGCCCGACGTGCCGTTGGTTCTAAAAACCAGCTTATTGATGTCCTGGGAAGAGTCAGTCTTGTGATCCCCGCTCGCCGCTTGTTCTTAACTTTTCTCACCTCGGTTTCGTAGCAGCATTCATTATTTTGTCTTGTTTGGATATCGACGGGACTAGCAAGTGCCAATAAGGGTGCCAGGAATAGGGCGAATTTGATAGAGAGCATTTTGGCGACTGAAAGCAACTTCAACGAATTGGAGAATCGCTGTCAAATGGTGCAATGATGGGTTCAAGGGGATGATGGAGCAATGTAGGTAACCGAGCCGCTGGTGGGAGAATCTCTAGGCCCTAAATACATGATGTTCACTGCTCAACGTGTAGGATTATTTCTCTCCAAGGGTCATCAGGGGCACGAAGTGTCAACTCTATTTTGAACCTGCCAAGTCAATTTAAAATGGGTGAAGCAGGGTAATTCAGCCTTGGGCTACATGCTTGACTCTGCTAATCACGGTCGATCGCAACCCTGTATTGATAAGCCTCTATGGTAAGCTCTAGAGCGTTAACCGAACTGCCTGCGGATTGACTGGGGAGGCCTGCTGTGCCTCAAGAGCTTTGAGTTTTGGCATAGTCATGTACGTGGAACCTGCGCATGCTTGGAATTAATTGCGGGCGATCAGGCGACCTTCCAAGCCGTCCTATTTTGGAATTTGGGACGAACTCCTCCGCCCCTACTTCAGATGACAGCCGGCTTATCCGCTGATTACGCCGATGTTTTCTGTTCTCTTCGTTCGTGAATAATACAGCGCGTCTCAATAACCTTCAGTGCGTGGTGGCGGTAGACTGCCACGGTTACCCCGCATCATGCACTAAAGCGTCCATCGCAGTCGTCAAGTCGATATTAACGCTGGTAAGAACGTGTCCAAAATGCAGATACTTGTCAACATGCACATACTACTCATTAGTACGGAGCACATATAGTAATAGGATACGATGTTATTGCATGATGATTGGAATGGCCCTCAAAAATGACTTGCTTACTCTTCCAAGCGTAGCTTAGAAGCCCCAATAACCCTTGACCAAGAAGGCTCCATATCCAGCAATGGCACTCAGAAGCCCAACACTGCCAAAATAGCCAATGGGCCTGCCGCTGCCGAGTCCCTGCTGCAGGATACCGAAATCGGCATGCAGCACGCGCATCGCCAGGAAGCTGCCGAGGAACCAACTCAGCACCTTACGGTTTCCGCCATTGACCTCCACCAAAGTAGCGAGTATGAAAGCCAACGGAACGTTCTCGGTGAAGTTGGTATGCGCACGAGTGAGGAGGTACAGTTTGTCGTTCTGGTAGGCGCGCCAGTCGGCGCTGCCAGTCGATGAGTTGTCCCCGAGGTAGTGTTCCTTTTGTAGACGTTCGCGAACCGTTCGTAGGCTGAGCAACGCGTAGTACGCAGTGAAAGGGAGTGCGAAGGTTCCCGTCACAGCTGTTCGTCGAGGGGTCAGGTCAGTGACTGGTCTCCGAGCTAAACTTGCATGTCTTGATGTGTCACTCACGGAGCAGCTTCGGGATCGTGGCCAGGCCAATTGGTTGAGAGCTCATGGCTGCGGTAGAAATGCGACGGAATTAAGTGATTGTTTGCGCATTTCGTGCATGTTCAATGGTTGCTTAAATGGCAGCCCGACATCCGGCAAATAATCTAGAGACCGAGGTGATTTGAATGCTTGACGCCACTATCTGCGGGAATGACGATCTTCCGCTGCTAGCGCCAGATTCTATGACGCCTTTGACATCATATGCGCAAGCTATCGCCAGATCCGGATCGGTGGAGCAACGAAGCTGGAATAATCTTCTGGTCAAGGCTTTGTGGTTTGAACCGCATGTTCCAGGATGCGAAGTCCACAACGGAGGCACTAGGTATGAATATCAGTACCAAGTTTCTTCCCTCAAGAACATGCGAATCTGACGAGCACACCCTGCCCCAATTATAGACATCATACTCAAGGAAATGAGCTGAAAGAGTAGACAGAGTACTGATGAATTAATTAGTGAATTATGTCTGCTCTCACCTCGTCTCCGTGGTGAATTAATTGCCCTCTAGAGGCATCAAATGAGTGTTCCTTGAGCCATACCAGGCCATTAAACTCCTAGTTATGCCGTGCAATCTCAAAAACCAGTTTGAACGCCTCCCATATGCAATTCGAAACGGCGCATTGACAAAATCATTTCACGTTCTCTACTCAAGGACTGGAGCGTTGCACTCGACATTGAAGCTGACAAAGCTAGCATCACCGTCAGGTACATTCGCGCATTCCTTGACCGAGACAACTTGAGCAACTCCGCCGCAGTTCTCCTCTGTGTACGCATACACTTGGATATGTTAGTTACAGTATGGAATTCAAGATACAAGGCTTAACTTACTCGTGCACGTAGTCTGGTTATCGGTTTGAATGTCGTTGAGGAATATTCCCTTTACTACTTGGGCGTTGAACGTCGGTTGACACTGGTTGGTCTGGGATTCGTTGATCGTCCAAACACCTAGGTTTCCTTCATTTGAGCCGTTTTGGCCGCAGCCTGTTTCGCTCCAGATGCGAAAATCGGCTCGGTGAGGGTCGTCTCGGCGCATGGGACTGGCCTGAGCTGCCAAAGATAGGCTGGCGATAGAGAAGAGGGCGGAGAAACGCATTTTGGTGATGGTTGATATAACGAGTCTTAACGGTTGTATAATCTCGCGTTGGTCGATTTTGTGATTGAATTGTGGTCTTTATATCTTGCGACGGTGAGAGGTTGAGAGGTGGTGTGATGGAGAGTAGCAAAATGTAGAGGGCAAGTGGGGAGACGTGTATGCTTTATGTATTCGTCGACCGCGGGGCAGCCTTGGATCAATCATCAACTGCTCAAAATAGAACGTGTTCGAAGGTACTATCATACGCGTCGCTGGATTAGCTGATGGCGAAGTCTTCACCGACAGCAAGCGGTCTCGCCAAAAATACGAACGATCAGCGTGACGAGGATTTAGGTCTCACATAGGTCTTACTCGGATGTGCCCACCCGTAATCCGCAGCAAACATTTTTTTTCAGGCATATGATGATGCGGTACAACCAGAAGCCTGCAGACCGCCTCGTCGGGACGTCCAGCAATGGTGGAATTTCCAATATTGCTTTGACGTGCTGCAGAAGAGAACCTTTTCGATTAGCCAGACGGGGCTCGGAGGTCGTTGCAGTAGTCTAGGGGAGGAGGACAGGAAATTTGGGGTCTCAGATATTCTCCTTCCGTCCGTGGAAAACCCCGCAACACGAGACGGATTTCCACGAGTTGATCGACGAGCTAGACTAGCACGGAGACGTCACTGGTCAGTAGCACATGCCACCTCCATCTTGGGGCGTTCTTTGATCGCCGTCGTATTGCGCCCCAAAGCTTGAAAGCGGCACTGGTCGGTACGTACTTGTGCAACGTCACTTCGACTGCTGCATCGGCGCATGGAGCGCAGAACTGTTGCACAATGTTTCCATGCATGAGTCTTGCAGGTCTCGGTCTGGCCACCGACTCGTGATCATGCAACTTCGTATCGAGAAGTCCACCCGCATGGAAAGAACAGCGAACAGCTCCTGGGCCACAGTCATCCCAGCAAGCGATAGTGTGGGCTCAGCCACGGAGGTGGTATGCCCACCCGGTGTTCCTTGTCCAATAACTGAGCCGAAAACGCGAAAGCAAGATCAGACCATTTTGCATCGTGTTTGAGAACAATGTAAAGATCAACTCGAGTCGTAGTGAAGACATAAACGCCTATTCTGTATACGCTAAGTCATTTCTATCCTAATACTTCTAACGAAACCGACCGAAACCAAGGCTTTTGGCCACTTCCATGCGTTCCGCTACTTGAAGATATATCGAAGTCGAGGATGGGCAGCCGGACCCCCCCAGGGCCGGAGTCTCGTCAACATCCTGTATCTCGTGATCGAATCTTGTAGATAATTATGAAACAAGTTCTCGAAGATTTCTATGCTGGGTTTGTCAGTTACTGTTGTCTCGACCGTCACGTTTTGGCCCGCTTGTTCTGGCATCTCATCCAAAGTGTCTGCAACATACCCCTGGACATGCTGCAGGAATTCCAGCAGCGCACAGGAATTACAATTTCTTGGGCAGATGGCGCTTTCCATTTGCTCATTCATTGTTTGCGGAAATATGTCGAGCGCGCGTTTGTTTCGTGGGAAGGGTATCCCTGGATAGCGACAGCGGAAGACGCAGTTCTCGAAACAGAGACTTTGCTTGCACATGGGGCACGCTGGATCGCTCTTTGCTTGTTCATTTCCTGGAACAAAGTCATTGACATCAAATCCTTCCCAGCATAGGGCGTACAGGCAGCCTCTGCAGAATATGTGGCCGCATGGGACGACGATTGCCGTGCTTTCTTTCGAAGGTTGGGGTCGACGTCTTCTCAGATCGCGGGCGCTTGTCACGCCATGAGTAGCCGCAAAGCCATCGGGCCGGTGATCATTCTCTGGAAATCCATCTCCAACGATATTCATTTCTTGCCTGCAGATGACGCATATGAGCTTTAAACCTTCGAAGAGATTGGGGTCAAGACTTAGTTGTCTTCTGACGGGTGGGAAATAAGAGCATCGCTCATCGATAGAGTTCGAAAGGTGCGTTTGGGAAGCCATTTGTGGCGATCAAATGGTTGAGAGATATAAAAAGAAAAAGAAAAGTGAGAATAATTAGTGCCTGTCGCTTCTGTTTTTGATGTTGTCGTGACTTCCAATTGCTACCTTAGCCATGGATGTCAACTTTATAAGTAGCTTTCACTTCGCGTCGGGCATGAGCATTACTGGTCTCGCCAGAGATTTCAAGACATTAATCTTGTTAGGCACTCTTCTAACATAGGCTGTCAGATGCTCATGGTCTAGAGACAAGGGCAGATGTGCCTGTGCAAGCATCATGTGATTCATTGTTCTATAATCAACCTCAAACAAAGAGCTTTGGTCGTTTAGCACTATTGGAGTGCACCTTCTGACAATAGAACAGTTATGAATGTTTATTGAGAATTATGTGGACTGAAACTATTTCCGCGGTGGGGGCGAACAAGTGGTTTGTTCATCTCGTTGCAAATCAACTGGTTCGAGACATGTTCTTCAAGCGGACTGTGAGAGACTAAAGGCCAGCTGGAAGCCTTTCATCAGGACACTCGTCCCAGTTAATAGGTGCTGTAACTGCAGTCAGAGGGTGTGACTGAGCATCATGGACAGATTCGATCACGACAAAGATCTCCAGAGGATGCAAAGAACCAGCGTCCCAGAGCTCCCTTCTGATGGTGGCAATCATTTGTTCTCGTATCTGCCGAAACATGATTTCGTCATGACCGGCAACCTCAGACGTGTAAAACAACCCCGGGTAAGCAAGCTGCAATTTGAACCCGATTCTCTCTGAATTGGGTATGCGCAATTCGTTTCTCAGTTGCTGCAGAGAACACTGACTAAACCGAAGCCGCGGTTTCCAAGTCTGAACATTCAAAGTTGGATAGCGCGAAGCAATGTACTTCAAAGTAACATTGACTCGTGGCAAAAATTGGTCAACCCCAAACGCAGGTGCCTGAGGTAAAGCAGAGTGGCATACTTGGCTGGGCCAAATAACAGGAGCATGAGTTTCCACTAATGCTTGCGCAACAGAGGCAACCAAATTTGAATGATGGCCATGGATTGCCCTAGTGCTCTTTGGGAGCACTTCCTGCTTGACGATTGGGGTGTTGACAAAGTGCGGCTCATCATCATCGGAAGCCGTGAGATCAATAACTAATATTGAGCGGGGTGCCTCCGTCATGGCACCAGCAGCGTTGTCAGAGCGTCTTATTCCAGTATTGCTCTGTGATCTCAGTCTTCCTTGGTTGGAGTTCTCCTTGCGGTCTGTCGGCGTCGCTCCCAATAGAACATTGTGTTTCTCGCGAGCATCGATGCTGCTTCTCAGCTTTTGGCATTTCAGAGACCGATCCGATTCAGCAAAGATGGTGTTCTTTCATGCATTTCCTATAAAAGCATGACCAAAACTTTGCTGCTGCAGGTCGGTTAGTCTTATTAACGTATGCGTCGGTCTCCAAAGGCGATTTTCGTACCGAAGGACTTTGAAGGAGATTCAAATTGGTCCCGCCCTCTAGTGCGCATGACCCTTCAGTCGCAGTATTCGAAACCCTAATCTCCATTAGAACATGGAAACTTGTTGCACATCTGAGCTGTGTGTTTGAATCATGTCTAAGAGTGTCACTTACAATGGTGTTGAGGCAAGTGAGACTTGATTTGTCATGAGAAGTTCGCTTGCCATCCGGACGTTGTTCCCGTTGCTGCAAACCTCGTCATTGCGTCTTTCGAAATTTGATATAGGTTCCGCTGGACTGTTGCTAGTCTCAAGCTTCCTCTTCTGTCTGTTCTCGTTCATCTTGTAATGCCATGTCATTTTGACCATCCATTGCTTCACATTTGGTTTAATGATCCTAATAGTATCAGCATCGAACGTGGGCTTGAAACCAAAATTTGTTTGCGCACCGTTCTTTATGTTCATGATTGGAGTAACGTAGCCCGTTGAAGTTCGGAGAATTTTTGTCGTTCGGCCAGAAGCTGGGCCCATTGCCTGCTGCGTCAAGAAAACCTTCGACCACTTCATTGAGAACTGACTGGTTAGGTTCATTCCAGCCTATCTCGTTGGAAGCTCTCTCATCTTGGGTCTTGAATGTGCTATGGAATAGCTTTATGGATGAAAGGAGGCGTTTGCAGCTCTCGGTAGTCTTGTTGCCGTACTTCAGACGGTCTCGGAGCACGGCGATTGATGGGATGTTGGAGATTGCCAACGACCCAACAGCGTCTCGCGCCATGGCTGACTGGATGTAGATGAAGGATCAAGTACGGGCAGAGATCATTTCGCGATTTGGCAGTTTTGCATACAATAGGTAGGGGTCAGCTGCGACGCGAGAACTTTTCATGGTCCAATTTCATTTTGTTTTGTATAATTCTCAGACTCCATCTTTCATAGAATCAGCGGGGAGCTAACTACTCACAAGTCCGAGATAGGGTGTTTCCATCATGTATCTACCCGCCTTGGCAAATTCCAAACGGGCTGCGTTTGCAGGATGGCCGCAAACGAAACTTGAAGAGAAGGTACGTCAGTCTCGGGACCAGGTTTCATCGTCGATGTATCCTGCACCAACATCGCCTCGGATAGGACGAGCTTTTTATCGACAGCCTGCTATGCTAGGGAGACTCAGAGCTGCTCATTCAATTGGTTACGAGTGAGCAACTTTTAGCAAACATCGACCCACCGAATCACCGAATCATCCAGACGTACAGTCTACCTAGAAGACATGGAAACCGGCACCATTCATAATGCAAAGATCGTATTTCATTCATGGCACATGAGCCAGTGTCTAGCTGACTGCGGCGAGAGCCTTCTTCGTCTCGGTCTTCAAATCCAGTTCTTGTAGTCCCAGAAGTGTAACGGCGGCGTTCTCCTTTACTGCATGCCCTTGACCATCTCCAAACACGTATTGTTGCAGTAGTTGGATGAAAGCACTGTAGTCTCCCTTCGCCAGTTTCTCGTCGGCGATCCTCTCCAGGTCGGAGGTCTTGACGTTGCTGACCGTAAAGGTGGAGCCGGTTTCCTCCTCAACAACCTTTAGTAGCTCACGTTGAGTAGTCGTGAAAGAAGCGACGGTGATGTACTTGTTGGCGGTTGCTTGGGGGTTCTTGAGCACGCCGGCAACGGACTGCCCAATAAACGCAAGGGAAGAGGCAGAAAATGGCTCGTTCCCAGAGTCGAAGATGGTGACGGCCTTGTTCTTGACATCGAGACCCAGCAAGCCCTTGTCGAAGCCCTGTTACACGTCAGAAATGCATTTCTTAACTGAAAAGCAACTTTATTGTGATGTGACCTACCCAATCAAAGAATGGGCCGACGGCGATGCCAGTCCAGCTAAACCAATCATGCTTCTTAGACAGCTCGATCAGGTAATCGGTGTTGTCAACCTTGGACTTCAAAATCGCACCGATCTTGGTCCCTTGGGCATCACGAGTGTGAATTCCGAACTCTGACGGGATGAATCGCTTGACTTGTGCAGCAACAGCGGCATCAATCAGGACCTTCTGCGCGCCAACCGCTGCCGTTGCAGCAGTAGAGACCACGGCGTCTTGTCCCTTCAGGGCTTCCGTAACAGATTCAACCGAAGACAGATCGACTTTCTTAACAGCAACTCCAGAGGGAAATGTGGCTGTGGATTCTTTCCTGCTGATGGCAGTAACTTCAAAACCGCCTTCGAGAAGCCCAGCAAGCACCTTTGGGCCAAGGTTTCCGGAGGCCTACAGGGATCAGAGCGTTTGGTTATAAAGTGGGCTCAAGGCGTAACTTACCCCGATGATAGCGACTTTCTTAATGGCAGACATGATGATATTTGGATGGGGAGATGTTTCGGTATACTTGTAAGAGAAACTCAATTTTCATATGTTATTTCCGCTGTTGTAGATTCATTGACCGTCTAGAGGGATGCAGTTCCTTATATGCCTTCAAGCCGCACTGACGACGAAGGGCCTCACCCCGCCTTCGTCACATCATCGCGCAATAATTGGAGATCTCGCATGATTAGCCAGCACTACAGCACGCGATACCCACTGCCGATTACCATCACTACATTATCAATCCGTAACCTTCCGCGAGTAGCTGGGTTCACGGCGAACGGAATCTGTTGCCAGGCCGAAGTTTAAGTTTCCGAGCCCCCACCATTCCGCCGGGACCTAATTGCCTCCGCTAGCCGATTTACTTCCGACTTTACTCATCGATCACCAATATGTTATTAGTAAATGCCAAAGGTGAAAAGGCCACGGTTGTCCATAGGGACATAGAAGCATGGTCTGGTAAGGTTTAGACTTTTCGTACTGCACGAGGTCTCGGTTTCTAACTCGGCATACAGTTGACTTCAATCGGACTGCCGTTATTACTTACATGGTCTTTTCGCTACATTAGCATGCTGCACCCAGGGTTTTGATGTTTGTTTGTTTGTTTGTTTAATATTTAACGCCATGGCGGCAAGGGCGCGGCCGCCCCCGCGCCCTTGCGGCAGACCTCCCGAAGGGTATGTGGCGTGGAGGGCCGCAGGCTCTAGCTATATACTCTGTAGTACACGCCTCTTCCTAGCGTCCTCCAGATCTTGCCCGAGGGCCACTATGTGTTCTATCCGTCCCTAGTT